TCTAATAGCAAAGAAGAATATAAGAATCATTTAATCAAATTCATAAATGAATGTAAAAAAGAAGGAATTGTACTTTCTAAAAAAAATCTATAATAAGAGTTAAACCAATGGTGTATGCTATAGAAGATACGCAAGTATTCAAAAATCAAATAAAAGAATTGTTAGAACAGAAACTTATTAAACCAAGTAATGGACTTCATAGTAGTCTAGCTTTTATGATTATGAAACATTCTGAACATATTAGGGGAAAAACTAGAACGGTTATAAATTATAAAGAATTAAATAAATATACTAAATTTGATGGATATTTTTTACCAAATAAAGAAGTTTTAATAAACCTTGCAAAAGGAAAATAATATTATTCTAAATTTGATTGTAAATCAGGACTTTGAGAAATAAAAATGGAATAAGATAATATACAATATACTGCATTTAGTCCACCTCAAGGAAAATATGAATGGTTAGTAATGTCATTTGGATTAAAAAATGCACCACAAATATATCAAAAAAAATGGATAATATATTTAAGAAATTTAATGAATTTCTAATTGTTTATATAGATGACATACTGATATGTTCTAATAGTAAAGAAGAACATAAGAATCATTTAATCAAATTCATAAATGATTGTAAAAAAGAAGGAATTATACTTTCTAAAAAGAAATCTATAATAAAAAAACAAGAGATATATTTTCTTGGATTATCAATAGATAAAAGAGGAATAAGACTGCAGACTCATATATCTAAGAAGATAGAAAGTTTTTCAAATAAGTTAAAATCTAAAGAACAAATATAAAAATTTTTGAGATGTTTAAATTTTGTTGAAGGATTTATTGAAAATCTTTCTAAGAAAAGACATGAAATACAAATTTTACTATGAAAAACAAATGCTAAGGGATGGAATGAAGAACATACAAATATAGTTAAATCATTAAAAGAAGAATGTAAAAATTTATCAAAATTAAAATTACCAGATGAAAAAGATAATTTGATTGTTAATATTGATACCTCAGATAAATATTAGGCAGCAATATTAAAAACATATTTAAATGAAATTTGTAGATATTCAAATGAAACCTTTAATCAAGCAGAGATAAATTATACCACTCATGAAAAAGAATTATTAGCAATTATTAGAGGAATAAATAAATTCTCATTATTTTTATTATCCAAAAAATTTATTGTTGAAACTGATAATTTTCAAGTTGCAGGATTAGTCAGGAATAAACTACCATCAGAACATCAATACAGAAGGCTTTGTATATAGCAAGCTTATTTGACATTTTATAATTTTGATTAGTTCATATTAAAGGAGTTAATAATTTTCTTACAGATTTTTCTCAACAGAAACATTGAATTTGTTGATGGATAAAGTCAAGGTTATGGGATTATACCAATCTATCCTACATATACAAAAATGGACAAATTTTCTTAAGGAAGAATTTGAAGACATAAATACTGGAGTAACACAAATCTCAGAGATGTTTAACTCAAATATAAAAATATTGTTGAATATCACTACTAAGCATCATCAAGAAGTCATAGAATTCAAAAATCAAGTTGATGCTATTGCATCACAACTAAAAAACTATACTGTTTGAGACAGATATACCAAAAAGTTCAGAAATAAGTTTTTCAAATCAATACAAACAGGGACAGTTGAAAGCAGAAGTGGACCTAGACGTGACACCATACCAATTTATAAAAAAAAAAAAAAAGATTCAACATCAACTAAAAAAGTGGTAATACATGGAGATAAAAAAAATTTCAAAACTATCAGCATCATAGACCAAAATGATACAATCCCTTTAGATCCAAAAGAAGAAGAGTATGCTAAAATAGTCAAAATTACTTATAAAATAAAAATAAGTGATTCATATTTCATCTCTCCGAAAAATAATATTTATTCCAGAATAACAACTATGGAAGGAAGAGACCCTTGGTTTATAAAGATTATGATAGACTATGGATTTATGGATTTCATATATCCAGGAAAAGATTTGATTTAAATTTCGAAATTTGATGACATATTCATAAAAGAAGTATCAAGATTTGACAAGGAATGAAGAATATATTTGAAATTTGATTCAATAAATCCTGAATATGATGGAATTATTTATTATCCAATTGAACACATAATCTCAATTGGATATGTTGCAGCCAACTTCCAAATAAATGTGGCGGAGAATAATAGAAAAGTTCTAACAGTGACAAAGTCATGGATCGGATATAGAAGAGCACTTGGAATTAAAGCTATATCAATACTGCTAAAAATTTGTTTGATAAAAAAATTCTTCATGCTTTTGTCAATAAGAAAACTGGATGCTGGTATCAAATAGAGGATATGAAAAAATCAGAAATCTTGAAGGACTTAACAAGATTCGAAATATATCAATTTTCAGGATGTCATACCACTATAAAAGAATTTTGCCAGTTAAAGGAGTGTTCCAACTACATGTGAAGACATACAAGATAGATGACAATAATAGAAAAAAATGCTCTTTGGATAAAAAATTGAAAAAGCATGTGGAGATATAGAAAAAGAGGACAATAATAGAATCTCCTTTAATAAAAATCAGATGCTGCATGTGAAGATGTAGGTCCAAGAAGGACAATAATAGAAAGGCAAGTGTGCCTTTGCTGATGAACTGAATGATGTAATAGAATAATAATAGAGCCTCATATATTTGTCTAAATGGAGGCATTGTAATAGAAAGAAATTGTCTTGAAATCTCGAATTGTAATCAATAGCCACTCTTAAGCCATCCCCAGTCTGAAAAACTAGTTATTCTGGAAATCTTTATGTATCAAATAGAAATCCTGTATAAATTCTGATAGAAATAAAAATTTCAATATTTTGATATCAATATGAGCTTCTAAAATCTTTATTATCATAGATTCTTGAAGGATTTAATAAAAAGTTTCCTTCTTATTTTATCAAAAAGAGAGTTTTTCTTTAATAGAAGTCTAGAATTTTATTCTTTAGAATTGATACAGTAAGAACAAGAAGCTGAAATAGTAAAGATTCCGTGAAAGCAGGAGGTCGTTGAAGGAAGCAATTTACACATTCAAAGTTCAAAGGTCACTCGGTTCTAAGAATAAAGATCCGAATCAAAACTAAGGTAAAACTATTAAATTTATTCTAAAATTAGAATGAATCTTTTTAGATCTTAGCGAATCAAAGGGATTAATTTCATGATTTGATGATTATTTGTATTAACGCCAAGATATACAATTGAAGGATTAGATAATTTGTTAGAAAAAATGTTAGAAGAAATAAAAAAATATTATTTCTTAATTAAAAAATATGAATGCATCTTCTAAAGAATATAATATACTTAATGAAAAATATGAACAGTATGTTACAGATCATTCCAATCTACTTGATCAAAAAATGGATTTATATGCTAAAATTCAAAATATAATAAATATAAGATAAAATAGTTTAAAAGATTAGAATATGCGTTGCAATATAGAAAGAATCATTTCATTAAGGGCAATATAGACTTTTCTATAAACATGAATAGTAAGAGGCCAAATAGAAAAATCCCCCCAAACAAACAGAGATTAAGTCAAAGTCAAACAATCAACATTTTCCACATCTTTCATGGGTCCCACAACTTTTCAACTACACATTTCAAAAAGTTCTATCACATTCTACTAAAAAATTTAATTTTAATCCCCACAAACACCCTTTAAATAATAAATTTGTCTGTAAATAATGCTATTTTTTTTTTGACGAGGTCTCCCAACTTATGCCAGACTATATCCTCGTCCCTGAACTTTCGGCCCCTCAGCAGCTCAGGGAGGTAAATCGCAGGATGTGCCCAAGTTGACCAGGGTTCGAACAGCCTTTATACTCCTGACCCCAAGGGAGTCTCCTCCATGGTTATTACATCACCAAGCTGCTCCAACTCTTCCTCTGGTTATTACAACACTCAGCTGCTCCAACCAGGAATCGAACTCCCCACGCTGGGGTTGCGAGCCCTGCACTGTCCTTCCTTTGCCAACTTGGATGTGCCCCGAGGGGTTATAATGCTATTTATTTTCATTAGAGATGGTGATAAGATCAATAAGATGGATCTCACATTCATATATTAGATTGACTTTATCAATGTAATTAAAATCAACTCGATCTAATTTGAACAATGAAATCGAAAATCGTGTCCAAAGTTGAACTTGTTGACCTGCCTTATTTTATGAAAATCGTTGACCTATTTCATATTTCACCGATTTAAATTTATGAAAATCACAAAAAGCCAACCATTTGATTTTCGAAAATTTATTTTTTTAATTTTTTTGGAAAAAAACCACCAAGCAAATCCCAATTCAATGCTTTAACCTCTGACCATTTTTTTCTTTTACGAATTGAAGTCCAAATCGATTTTTAAAACGTTAATTTCGCATCGTATGCCAAATCATATTGTGATTGGTGCTCAAACACCATGAGAACTTGATTGCACAATAAAAATACATCATTTTTTCAAAATATTAATATTTAAAAGTAGGATTAGTACGTCTTTTTAATGCTCTCGTGATTGCATCCCTCCATTAAAACCTACTTGCTGCAGAACTAGAGATATATACCATGAGGTCTGAGCGTCTCACTTGAATTGCAACTTTTTAGAATAATATTATTTAACACAATGATATTAAAATACCAATTTAAGTAATCACACTTGATAAGTCACATAACATTTAAGTTAATCTATCACTTAATAACATATAATCACCACCTAAATTGGTGTTTGACACCCATAGTACTGAATAACATTACTCAACTTTTTATGCTCTTCCAAAATAAGGTTTTCAAAAAGTCAGTTCTTTTTCAAATACAGTAATTATAATTAGAAAGAGACATTTATTTTTTCCAAATTCAGTACTAGGATTCCTAGTTTGAACCTCAATAACAATGAAATTGAGATAAATAGACCTTAAATTTAAAATTGCATTCATGTCAAGGTCAATTGAACAAATTACTCGTGTTAAAAAATAAATAACTAAATAAATCTATTCATATTTTACTATGAAAAAATTGATATTACTCAAAACGTATGAAGGACGAAATTCCAGTCCACTAAATAGTAAATATGAAACACGCACCACCACAATTACGAAACATGTACAAAGAAGTGTCCAGATATAGTAGTCCCATCTTACCAAATATGCACTACACAAACCCCAAACCCGATACAAAAAGCTTCCCACCCTCCAAAACTAAACGAACAAAAAGGGCAAAAATGCCAGATAAAAAGGAACACAAGCTCGGGCATATACGTTCCCAGCCATACTTCTGGCCTCGTCAAGGGTGAAAACTGCAGTAGAGGTACAATGATGAAGGCAGCAAAACTGAGATGATTTAAGCTTTATCACAACCAAGCTCCCCACCCAGGAAACAGATGACATAAACGATCGGGATCGATCGCATCTTGTATAAGTTGTTGAACCTACGAAAGAATTTTAAAAATATACACAAAATGGTAAGTGAAACCATGACGGAAAAATAATAGAAGATAGCTAGAGAACAGGAAGCATAGTTAACCCTGCTGCCATATTTAATCTTCTGATTTGCCATATATTAATAACAAGAGAATTTAATTGGAGGCATGGCCATCAATTCTCTGAACCCTGAGTGAACAATCGTTATGGTATGTAGAGCTAGGTCGTAATGGATAGTACAATTAATAAGATTTTAGATTTTTTTTTTTATCTTAATTCTGTATGTTGCAATCTAATTATTCTATTCCTCCTATACCAAATATGCCATGAAGGTATTATGATAGTTATAACATAGAGAATCTGAAAAGTGTACTAAAAACATCACGTACAGAATACAAACATGCAATAAAGAATAGTGGAAAATGCTTGTGTCCGATGTGTTTTTGCCGTTGGTTGAAAAAATTACCTGACCATGGACACTTCTCATTTCACCTTCTTCATATCCATCCAGCTTTTGCTTAACACGCATCAAGGCTCTAGCAGCATCTTTGTTCCCTTCATATTCATCCTCATCAGAATCTTCCAGGTTTGCTTCTAAATCATCGTCGGTTTCCTTACAGGACGCAAATCCATGTAAGAAGCAATGCGATGCATGCAGGTTAAGAAAGCACGTGCTGACAGAGACTTGAATACATCCATCAAAGAAAATTCAGGAGTTGCAGATTGGGAAATAGGCTTAAGTTACTGTTAGTTAACATAAATGTCCAGGACGCGTATCGTGGCCTTGTTCATTAGCAGCAACTGCCCTAAACTCATTAAGAGTCTATGTCATGTGAATCTTATTCCATATTCTGCAATGGGGGGAGAAGGAAGTGCTTCAGCCCCAATATCTCAAATTATACAATGACAAAACACCAATACATTCTGATAAGTGCATTTTGTGCACGTATTCGGACTACATAACTACGCTTTTATGTAGTCAAATTATTAATTTTTATCTAACTTGTGTTAATTTTCTTTTGTTTTTAGTTAGGGACCCGTTTTGAAACAATTCGAAAGAGAAGAAGGACAAATTGGCCGTTGGATGAAAGTTTGTAGACAATATCCCACACTTGGCAAATTGAAGGGCTTGAGTTGAACTAAAAAAGGACATGAGTAACAATTAAATCAATTCGAGGACTAAAGTACCTTAATTCCATGAAGAGAAGTCTTGGAAGATAAACTACATTTAATTGGGCCTAAGATCAATTGTAATGGAATAGAAATTGGGTCTCATTATTGGAGAATGGAGCTGAGGGTTTAACAATTATATACACACATGCAAACGGGCAAAAAAAAAAAAACAGGAAAAAGGAGGGCCGAACTGGAGGAGAAAATCTTGCACAAAAACATAGACTGGGCATCAGCTTTGGAAGAGAAAAAGTGGGCGGATGCATGGAATTATATATACACAGGGAATTGGACTAAAAAGGGATTATAATACACATGCATACAGAGTCGGTGGAAATACAAGTTTGAGAACTTATTCACGTTTGGACGATTTTTGGTGATATTTTTCCACTTTTCTTTGTTTAATTTTCACATTATGTTAGGCTAAATTATTTTATGCTAGGATTTGCGATGAACCTTATATTGTGAACTTTTAATCTTGAATTTTATTTATTTTGACGTTGAAACACGTTTTTTAATTATTGAATGATTGGCATAAATTTTACTCTCTCTACAATTATATGCACAATAGTTGTACGTGATTTGTTGCTTGTTTGACCCTCGAATGATGGAAAATAAGTTAGACATTATGTTAATTGTCGTAAAGTTCGATAGAGGATAGAAATATATCACTATGCTTTACGTGATCTTTAAATATTTATAAGTCTTTAATGCATTTTTATATGTTCGCATCCGTGATAGAAATATAGTCGGGTCCCATGTAAAAATAGATTTAATTCTACTCAAGAGAGATTGTTAAACAAATTAGATATTGGTCTTTATAGTTGAATCGTGTTGTCAATTTTAAAGGGGATTGATATAAGGGGATTCGGGATCCTAGTACGCATTTCTTTATCATATTTTTATAAATCTTGCATTTAGTTATAATCACACATTTAGTTCGTTAACTTAGGCTTTATATTTATAAGTAGGTTATTAAATCATAATTTAGTTAGCAAAAAATCACGAATTTCTATTGTTTCGATTAAGGCGAAGATAATTTAAATTTAAACTAATACAATCTCTGTGGGACGATACTTGGACTCAAAATGTCTACTTTATTATTTGAACGCGACCCGTACACTTGTAGTGTAGGATTTTTGCGAACACATTCTGCAGCCCAAACACCTCCTTTCTGGCCATTCTCAAATCTCAAAATAAATAAATAAATTGAACAGAAATATTACTGATACAGTGAAGCAAAATTCCTTTCTCACCAACAAAAAGGAAATACTCAAGTTCATGCATGGAGAAGGCGATCAATAGCATTAATTATTGAACAAGTACACTTAATCCACTCAGATTGCATATACTTGGGAATCATGGAATGCTAACATACCTTTTGACGTTGCATGGCCTTCAGAGGCGATAGAGCCCACTTATACAGAGGATCATGGATGAAAACCTGCACAAAATTTTCACATCAAAACAATAATTGACTGTTCTCTTTTCAGTATGAAAAAAGAGCCTTGTATTTAGTAGTTGTACCTCAACAATTGTTAGCAATGCTTCTTTATTGGTTCGCATAACAGATAGAGTTTCTTCGCAACATCTTCTGAAAACTCCTTCAACACCAGTCACACCCATGCCATCAACAATGTCCCTTGTCAGTCTGAAAGGAATCTGCAGGAGATGTAAAATATTAGTCAAGCAAGAAAGTAAATATTACACAACAGTGTAAAACAGCTAAGTTACCCGCTCCGGTGTTTTTAGCATTAAGCCTTGCTCAAATGCAACACCGAGATCTATGTGAACAACTTCTGCGGTGGCTTGATCAATGAGGATATTCGTGGCATGCCGATCTCCAAGTCCAACAATGTAACCCACCTAAATACAGATTGAATTTGTTTTTTCACAATCAGGGTTGAAGTTGAAAGATAGATACTGCTGAATAGAACCCACCCACCATTGAACTAGCAGCCACGCTTCTCGTATATGCAAGCCTCTTGTCAAACCAATCAGCAGGATGTGAAAACCTCTCCAAGAAGAAGTAATGCATGACTGGCCTGGATCAGATGCCAAATCAACCATTTTAGCTGAATTTAATAACGCTAGGTGGTTTTGACTAAAACTACATACCTGAAATTCTTGCAGACTTCCTCAAATGCCTTGCGCTTGTCATTTTCCTACAAAAGCAAAGAATGGTACAATATGTATGCGGTTAAATCAACAAAAGTAAAGAAGGGTACAATATTGAACAGGTTAATTCAGTAAGAAACAACAATAAAAAGTATAATTCCGAATACACTAGAAGCCGGCTTTGAGAATCCTTTATCAGAGATTGCATAATTCAGTAAGCAAGGATAGTGGTGTTTCTTTTTTTTTTCTTTTTTCCTTATTGCATTATAGAGTTTTAATATCTGAAATGATTTATAAATTATGTTATCAAGATGGTGTCACACTAGCACAAGCTCTAATTTCAGTAATCTGCAACTAAGGGTGCAATAGTTAACAGTCCATCTAGTAAATTTAATTAGACTTCTTCACAAAGTGGTGACAAAACTTCAAGCCTGAAAATTGTTTCTTTGTTGTTTTCCCACAGTTCTATACTTACAATCTGATAAAATTTGTAGAAACTGAAAACCAGTCATTAGAACTAGCAAAACAAGTTAATTCATGACTAATTTTTAAGTTCCAAATTTCTCCATCCTAAATGAAGAACTATTTGCTCTTGATGTTTACCACCAATAAAAGGATGGCAGATCCAAACCCAGGACATCTGTCTTAATCTAGGATTCTGTGAAACAACCTCAAAAGTTTAAGCAACCAAGTACAAGAGAATACTTATAAATTAACACAGTCAAGGATCACTGCAGATTCAAATAAACTGAAATGGGAGGATTAAATGATGGGGATACGAAGAATATGTTACATCTCATCCAGAAAGGAAAAAAGAGATTCTTTACTTAATTACAATTTCTTTTGTATCAACACATAGTCATCAGCAGTGTTCTCTTTACTGATTTCCTTCTCTATGCATGGATAGAGGTCAGGCCTTCGTGCTATGGTTAGCTTGCTCCATCATGACCATGTAATATGTCAATGAGATCACATATGATCCCAAAGATTCCGTTTTATTACCATATATATGTTTTATTTTAGGAAGTAATTAGAATTTACCTAAATTGTGCCATATTTCCATGTATGTATGCAATATTTATCTATATAATGCAATGTATCCCAAAAGGGGAAGACAATTCAGACAAATTTGACATGGTATCAGAGCCATACGTATAGAAGAAGAAAGGGAATTCGGTTCTGGGTGATTACAGATAATCTTCGGCATCTCTGTGAGAGATTTTTGGCGTGTGTGGAAGACGCGACTCACGGTGTCTCTTGGGTGAGTAACGCAACTCCTTTCCGGCGTCTCTTTGTGTACAATCGATGCGATTCCAGTGTCCTGTCTGAAGGCTCGACGCGATTTCGGGCATCTTCTTCTTTCCGACGTCTCTTGGGTGGGCGACGCAGCTTGCCTTCCGGCGGCTGTGTGCAATCGACGCGATTTCAGCATCCTCTGTATGTGGGTGGTCAACGCTAGCTGAGTAGAGTGTGGACTCGTTGGTCTGGGTCGTCAATTTATCTCTGGATTTCATAATTTTAGTGTGTTGGCCCACTGCTTTGAGGAGTAGTATTGTAGAAAAGGTCCGAGTATGGAAAGAAGACAAAATATAGTAATTATAGTCAATCAGTGATTATAATCTTTTATCTTTTTGGTAGAATAGTTTTATTCCTATTTTAGAAGATTAGTTTCCTTTTCCTATTACTCGTCTTGTGCATATGTACTTACTGTAATCAATGTTTTTATTATTGAAGAATTAGAAATTTCTCTCAATCTCATTTTCTTCATGGTATCAGAGCAAGGTGCTCTCATCTAGAAAACTATGACGGAATTCCCTATCGACAATTCTGCGTCTACAATGTCAGGCGCAGAAACAGAGGGTAATTCCTCAATTGGTCAGAATGCATTCGAGAATTCCTCGTTTCAACTTACTATTAAAAAATTAAACGGGAAAAACTACCGTGAATGGGCCCAGTCGATTAAACTGGTGATTGATGGAAAAGGAAAGTTGGGCTACCTTACCGGCGAGACAAAGAAATCGGCCGACACAGCCCTGCAACAACGATGGCACTCCGAAAACTCCATGGTCATTGCCTAGCTAGTGAACTCGATGAAGCCTTCTATAGGGAAAACCTATCTGTTCCTTCCTACAACGAAAGATGTATGGGATGCTGTAAAAGACACCTACTCGGACGCCGAAAACGCTTCCCAAATCTTTGAATTGAAAACCCGCTTGTGGCAGACCAAACAAGGGACATGAGATGTCACAGAATATTTCGTGGAAATGACATCTCTTTGGCAAGACCTCGACCTCTGCAGTGAAAAAGAATGGAAGTGTCCCGACGACATCACCTTGTACAAGAAGAAGCTAGAAAACGAAAGGGTCTATGAATATCTTGCCGGCCTGAATCGCGAACTCGACGAAGTTCGAGGCCGAATTTTAGGACGCTGTCCACTGCCTTCCACTCGAGAGGTGTTTGTAGAAGTACGTCGCGAAGAGGCTCACCGGCAGGTGATGATGAGGGAAATTTCTGGAGAAGCTTTGGCCCTAGCTGGAAGAAGAAATGGACCTCCAAGAACTACAGCTTCTGGGCCAGGACATTATAAAAATAATGGGCCAGAATTTGGGCCAGAAATTGAACATATTAATGGGCCTTTTAATGGCAGTGATGGTTTGGGCTTTTCAAAAGGAATTATAAATGGGTCAACCCAAAAACAACGGGGCCATCCTTGGTGTTAGCACTGTCGTAAGCTGGGTCATAAAATAGATCCATGCTGGAAAATTAATGGGAAGCCAAATGACTGGAGACCTAAGCTAAACTCGAGGAGCCGGGGATATCAGGTTGAAACGAAAAACAATTCAACTGCAAGCAATACATTTAATTCCGAGCAATTGGAACAACTCTATCAACTATGTGCAAGCTTTCAAACCTCCGATCAGTCTTCTTCTCCTAAAGGCCCCTCTAGCTCACTAGCCCACAAAGGTATCTTTCTTAGAGCCTTAAATACTTCGAAATATAAAAATGCTTGGATTATTGACTCCGGAGCATCCGATCATATGACGGATACGTATCATCTATTCAATTCTTGCTCAACTTGTCCTAGCAACATTCGAGTTAAAATTGCAGATGGCTCACTTTCATCTGTTGCAGGAAAAGAGAGTATTCGAATATCTGAGTCCTTAACATTGGATTATGTTCTCCATGTCCCAAATTTATCTTGTAACTTATTATCTGTCAGTCAAGTAACAAAAAATTCCAACTGCTCTGCTAATTTCTTTCCAACTTATTGTGTCTTTCAGGACCTTTCATCGGAGAAGACGATTGGTAGTGCTAAAGAATGCGAGAGATTATACTACTTTGAGGAAGCTGATGTGAGTTCACGAGGTCAACTTTCACAATGTAATTCTACATCTACCTTTAAAGATAGTGAAATCTTGTTATGGCACAAAAGAATAGGTCATCCTAGCTTACAATATTTAAAACGTGTTTGTCCTTCAATTTTCATGAATAAAACACCTATTGAGTTTCAATGTGAAAATTGTGAGTTTGCAAAACATCAGCATACATCTTTTCCAAAATCAATATATAAATCATCCAAACCATTTGCTATGATTCACAGTGATCTATGGGGACCTTCCCGCACCCTTAATCGTACCCAAACAAAGTGGTTTGTCCCATTTATCGACGATCACACTCGAGTATATTGGGTTTATCTGCTGAAAGAAAAAATCGATGTTCGATCAGTATTTATGAACTTTCATTCCATGATCCTGACACAATTTCAAACACAAATTCAAATTCTTCGCACTGACAACGGCACAGAATATTTTAACGCTTCTTTGCAAGACTATTTAAAAAAATATGGAATAGTCCACCAAAGTTCATGTGTCCATACCCCACAACAAAATGGGGTCGCTTTATTAGATGTTGTCAGAGTTTTGCTCTTGAAATCTTCGATTCCACCTAAATTTTGGGTAGAAGCCCTTTCTACAGCTATACATCTGATTAATCGTCTTCCTGTTCAGCATTTGAACTTTAAATCACCTTATTTTCACATGTACGGTACACATCCTAGCTATGACATGTTTCACACTTTTGGCTGTGTTAGCTTTGTCCATTTAGTGCCTCAGCAACGTCATAAGCTTGGTGCTCAATCCGTACGGTGTGCTTTCATGGGTTATAGCATTGCTCAGAAAGGCTTCATCTATTATGATGGTGTTGCAATATCATTTTTGTATCTCTCACAATGTGATTTTTTTTTAGAATCAGTACTACTTTCAACAACATGTTTCATCTCATGTTTGGGCCCGCTTATTAGCTTTGAGAATGACTCTAGTTCTGTAGAGCCTTTTAAACCATGTATAGTATATCAAAGACGAAGGCCTCCAGATCGACTACCCCTTCTTGTCTCCGATCCCAATCCCGATCTTTGATCTGATTCAATTCTAGAATCAGCTATTCTTCAGCGCTCTACTCGTGTAAGTCATCCTTGTACTCGATATGACTTCTCTGCAACCTTATCTCATTTCACAGTTCCTACTTCTTATTCTCAGGCTGCTGGTCAACCCTGTAGGGAGAAAGCTATGCAAGATGAACTTCAAGGAAGATATTTATATGACACCTCCTGCGGGTCTGTTTTCATTGCCATCTTCCGCTGTGTGTAAACTAAAGCTTTCCCTTTATGGGTTGAAGCAGGCTCCTCGTACTTGGTTTGACAAATTTCGTTATACTCTTTTGGGTTACTCATTTATCCAGAGCAAATATGATTCGTCTCTCTTCATCTTTGTCACCAAAGCGGGAACTGTACTTCTTTTGGTATATGTCGATGATATTGTTATTACAGGAACTGACTCTGGCTTAATATCTCAACTTCAAAATCAACTGAAGGATTCTTTTCATATGAAGGATTTGGGTCCCTTGCAGTATTTCTTAGGTCTTGAGGTGGTTTTAGGCCCAACTAGAACTTATCTGCATCAGCATAAGTATTTGGAAGAGTTGATTACTTTAGCTGGACTTCGGGATGGTCGTTCGGTTGATACTCCTTTGGAAGTGAATGTGAAGTACAGTAAGGATGAAGGTGATCTCCTTCCTGATCCCTCTCTATATCGCCAGTTAGTGGGTAGTTTGAATTATCTTACTATTACTCGACCAGATATCTCTTTTGCCGTACAACAGGTCTGTCAGTTTAGCATAACCCACGACATCTTCATCCGACTGGGGTTCGTCGCATTATTAGATACTTGCTGGGTACATCCAATAGAGGCCTTATCTTTCCTGCAAATTCCCCTCTTGAGTTGAGAGGATATAGTGATGCGAATTGGGCTGGATGTGTGGATACTCGTCGCTTAATTACAAGTTAGTGCATGTTTCTTGGGGGTGCGCTAATTTCATGGCGCAGCAAGAAACAGGACGGTGTCTCTAAATCTTCCACTGAATCTGAGTATCGTGCTATGTCTTCTGCCTGTTCTGAGATTGTTTGGCTATGGGGTCTTCTAGCGAAACTCGGTTGTCCTCAGCTTAAGCCTACTCCACTTCATGCTGATAATACTTGTGCCATTCAAATTGCTGCTAATCCTGTGTTTTATGAGCGTACTAAACACATTGAGGTAGATTGTCATTCTATCCGTGAGGCTTATGATGGTCACATTATCTGGCTTCCACATATCACCATTGCTGTTTAGATCGCTAACGTATTTACTAAGGCCATGACTCGATAGCGTCATCAATTCCTTGTTGGCAAATTAATGCTTCTTGATCATCCAGCATCAATTTGAGGGGGGATGTCAATGAGATCACACGAGATCCCAAAGATTCCGTTTTATTACCATATATATATATATATATATATATATATATATATATATATATATTGTATTTTAGAAAGTAATTAGAATTTACCTAAAATGTACCGTATTTCCATGTACGTATGCAATATTTATCTATATAATGCAATGTATTCCAAAAGGGGAAGACAATTCAGACAAATTTGACATAATATGATTCAGCCACTGAAGCTGCCTAACTGCTAGGGTGAGGCAATGTACATCAACCTCTCCCAGGCCTCATAGAGGTGGGGGTCTCCTGACCTGGTTACAGCATTTCATTTTTCCCTAGGCATGGTAATAATTTACACTTGTTATTTTCCTTATCTTCGTGCATATAATCTATTCCCTTTTGGTGTCACAATTAAGACCTTTACTTTCAAAAGAAAAGAAAGTGAACTCTGAAAGGGTAAATAGAATACGGGTAGAAATACCATAGAAAAAAATAACCAAGTATATGACACTTGCCATGGCCATCTGCTCCCGGCATTTGGGAAATGACCAGTCTCCGATTCCGTAGCGTCCATGGGCGCCTCCACTTCTGGAGCTGAAGTCAGGACACAGAATTTATTCACCATAAATACATTATATCGTATTGATACATTGTATTCCACTGCAAAAGGTAACAACCCAAACCTTCCAGTAAGATATTCACCAAGTGGCACAGTTCCATTCACCCATTCAAGAACACCAGCACTGGGGGTAAAGGGAACGACCTGTCTCGTAACAACAATTAAATTAAATTTGTACATCTGATCAGAATGTGTGGCCACAGATACAATTCATTAGACAAGTTCAAAATTATTATGTATAAATAAAATGTAATTTAGAACTCATCTATGAGGTTCCAATGTACAGAAAGAGCAAAAGATTCTTTAAGAAGGAATGCATAATAAAACAAGAAATTTTTCAAAATAGTCACCTCACCATTAACAAAGTGAAAATAGACATTTTTTAACTATTTTATTCAAATAGCCTATTTTATAGGTGAAAAGAGTAATTTAACATTACCAAAAGGAGTCGTAAGTAAAAGTAGCACCTCAGCTCGACAAACTCTCAAACTCAACGAGTAGGGTGAGTTGGCTTTTTACTCGCCTCCTATAGTAGGGGTCTATGTATGTCAAAACCTTATAAATACTAGGTTGATGTAAATGCCTAGGGCTTTTGTACACTACGCTGGATAAGCGAACTTATTTAACCTTCTGTACTGATGATGCTACAATTGGCTGATGTCTCATACGCCCAACTTGCTCATGCTTAAAGATAAAATTGAATTTTGTTTTACATCAAGAGAAATCTAAAAAGTATTACAAGCAAGGGTAAATGAATAAGTTCAAAGAAAATGGACATGATTTTGGTACCCCCAATAAATGAATTTCGAGGAACGGGAAGCAGTAGTGAATGTTACAACAGGGAAATGGAGACACAAAAATAGAGTTGGCTCCAATGCCACAGTTAAAAAAAGTGACTTAAGCTAAACAACAGATGTTATTATAATTATTGTTAAATATTGTCTCAAGGAAACTCCTGGACAAGATATATATGAAGGAAAAAATGCTGTTATTTTCCTAAAGAGTACATAAGATGCGCTAAAATTTCTAAAAAACATTCTAGAAAGGAACTAAGTAGTGGATTAAAATAAGTTGACTAAAATAAGGAACTTAAATCATACGGGTCCTACAATACAGGTTATTAAGAAGAGCACCTCTTGACATATAAGTGATGTAATTATATCTTTCTAGATTCCAACAATACCTTGTACGTACGTATTCTGAGTCTCCTTTTCCATGTGTCTCGATTGTTCTGTAAGAAAGTGTTAACTAAACCAAAAAACTGCTCCATAACCTGCATGATACAAGATCAACATAATATCAATTATGTGTTTCTTGGCTTGAGAAATAAAGTCCACCAGACACCTGGAAAAATGTAACGACAAAAATATATATGAGGGACCAATTTGAGAGAGGATGACTTCTTTAAATGCATCTGCTGTGTATAAATAATAAGAAACAGAAACCCAAGCTGGGTGGCCGATGATATGGTCATTAATGCAAATATAATAAGTTCAACAAGGTAACTAAACAGAACTTGGAAGCTACAGGCATACATACTGCATTTACATAGAGTTTTTCTTAAGCAAGACAAAACAAATTGAAACCTTAAGAATTAATTATCAGATTGTGGAGATAATTGGTATTCATCAGACAAAAGTTAACAGTTCTAGAATTATGCTGACTTTGATTTATCAATACAGTTGAATGCACATCAACAAAAACTCCTAGCTGTCAAAAATATTATGCCAGAAAAGCTAGGGATGCCCTACAATCTAGATTGAAGAAGTGGTGTCACTTATAAAGGCTAGTAAAATTCACAAGAAGAGATGATTTGAGTCCATACAGCATCTTGTCTCAGGTCATCATTGCCAGATTTTGCAAGTTGTCGATATCTGTTACCATCAGAACCTAAGCACTCAACCACTTTTGGGGCATTTATGCCATTCATTATGCTGCATTAAAAATAAAAAAATAAAAATTCAGCAAGGAAGGGACATTAGATCTGCTGAGACCACCGTTTTCATAAACCTCTATATAATATAAGTGAGCTTGTACACTAAATACTTACGTTACCGAATCAGACAACCCTCTGAAGTGAGGAAAAGATCCTTCAGGGTATTGACAATTGCGGTCAACAGGAAAATTAAATGTTATAACAGGAACCTGAAATGCATCTAAAGTCAAAAACTAGTAAAGGTGAAGAAAACTGTATAAAGAAAGTTAAAAAATAAACTAGAATGTAGAACTATAACATCAACAAGCAATGACATACATATTTCGTATGAACTGTCAATAAGTGATGATAAGCTGTAAGACATGTTGTTCAACATTGGACATATGGGGACTGTTTTGAGATGGTATATAGGTACAAGTGGAGCATATCATGGCCACCCACGAGTATGTTTCTTTGGTAGTTGACAATATAACTAACAGGTGCCTTTGCCCCGTTCAATATTTCATAGGACATGTCACTACGTTTTAAAGAATCATAACATGAAATATGCACATGGCAAGCAAAAATATACGTCCCAAAGACATTAATCAATGTTAAAGCACAAGTCAAATGTCTTAAAGTACTGGAGTGCTCAATAATTAGGCACTTAAAACTAGACCTTCTACTGGGTGATAATGGAAACATGACAGCAACAAGGTTAGAGAACAGCGAGGAAATCAAGAGAGTATCTTCATCTGATAATTACTTTTAGGCCTGGGCGTCATGTGGGGTTAATCCGAGTAATTTCAATACCTAGAACCACCCATTACATTTCAAGTGTTTCTATGTAATTACTGGAATCGAACCCAAATTCAAACCATCGATTTCTGTTTCGGTTCCGATTCGAATTCAGTTCTACCTATAACATTTTTGTTAAAAAATTACAAGTTGAAAATACAAATTATTTTTCCAATATCTAGTAGAAATAAAAAATAAAATAAAATGTCACAAAATACATATTACAAATAACCCATATATCTAGCATATAGGATTCAATTCTGGTTGCGACTCTGAATGCTGAGCTTCAAGAACGATTTGTGGGGGCGGACTTGTAAAGTGCAATCACTAAAGACTTTGAATAAAAGTGATACAATTCAACTATTTAAATAAATAAAATTGATTTATTAGGGTACATGCTACTTGAAAATTGCAAATGTGCTATTTGTTAGGCTGAGTCATTAAGGCAGGGTAAATTAATTATAACAATTTTTTAAAAAAAATAGCAAATTCGATACCGGAGTTGAGTACCCACAATTCCGGCTCAAGAACCAAAATCAACTCGGACCTAATCAGTTCAAAGTTCCAAGTTCTGGTTCCTAATTTTATTTTATTTTTTTTTGGAACCTGACCTGAGCGTTCGATTTCGATTCAGGAGGTTCGACTCCAGCTATAATGCTCACTCCTAATTATTTGATTGTTAAAAACAAAAATAAATAAGCACGAGAAAGTGAATAATTTTTCCAGCTTGAAAATATGAAGGCGGTGAAACAAAAAGTAACCGTTTGTGTTTTAAACAACTAAAATAAGCCACATATATTCTAAATATGGCATTATAAAAGTGCAACACACAAAACGAAAATAAGAAGTGACTAAGCACCTGACAACAAGAAAAAAATTTTGTCAGATGTTTTACGAAATTCAAAGTTATGGCATGAAGCGAAAGTAACTGAAGTTTAGTAGAAATTATTGCTTTTCAAAAAGCAGAAGCAAAAATAAATCTCAGAGAAACAATATGAAATCAGCCTTATACAACCTTGCTTCTATTTCAAATCTGAATGTTGGACCAGTACTCCTTTGTGATGCTACTCATCAAGCTAATAAAATGTGATAGCATTTTACGATGTTCAACTGAAATTGATCGTATGCACATAAAATCATATCCAACTACAAAAGAAAGTGAAAAGACAGTCTTACAAGTTCAAGTTCTCGAACACTGCGGATTTCTCTTGGTAGATTAACCTTTTTGTTGGTATCCTGTTCACATATTCCAGTTATTTGTTCAAATGACACATTCGATGGTTCAAAATATTCCTGATTGCAATAACAGATCCTGACAAAAACTAGATATCAAAGAACTAAAACTAAACACTTAGTTACCTCTCTCTTTGTTTCCAGTTCGGCAAGTTTAATGTAGATCTCCACCATTTGTATCATCTAAGTCACAAAAAAGAGTAAACTCGATGTCAGGAATTGAACCTCAGATACAGATACAATGCATGAAATACCAGATTGATGAGATCTCTACTTGTCTGATAATAGCACCATGGTATGAAGATAGCTCTCTCAAAAGGTTCTCTGCAGCAATCTTTTTATCCATATCCACCACAAATGAATTTCTACTTCGCTGCTTGTCCTTGATGCGATCACCATTTGACAAAGCAAGCAGCTAACAACCAGAGGAAAAAGGATATGCAGCAAGAATATATTAAATCCCAAATAGACAACAGGCTTTACACCTTGCTTCAAAATTTCTAAGCGCTAGATGACTGGTAAATAACTCATGCAAGTGAAGTTCAGAAGTCAACTACTCAATTGGAAAGATGAGAAATCTAGGGATTGACTATTAAACATGTAATTAATTTTTTTAATTTTTGAGAGTATCACACATCCATACCTGAAATATTGTATGATAAGGATGGTTGATGGCCATCTTTTTCACCAAAGATACCAAAGCAAACTGCAAAAAAGTAAAGAAATTTAGTTGTATAGTGGTAATGAGCCATGATGCACCAATACGGACATGCAACTTTCATTGAAGTGCTAACACTGACATACCGATGCGGACATGCAATTTTCAAAATGGGATGAAGGGTGCAAATTGGAAGCTTCTTGAGTAAGTTATGAGGGGTTAAAATAGTAACTTTACTTGTTAAAAGGGTTAACCCACTTTTAAAATGAGAAAAAAAAACTTTTTGACCAACTTAAAATTTTTTCACCAATTGACCCGTTTACAGAAATGTTGATCTATTTTTAATTCTAAAAATAAAAAAAATAAAAACCATCAATAAATTTGTTAAAAAAATCATGCCCCCAATTCCAGCCCCAAATCTTGTTTTACAGTTTGTGAAACTACTTCAACTTCTCCAAACAAGGGTTTGGGGACCCGCCCGTAAAAGTCACCTTGCCATCGAAATCTTGCTAGAAAAAGCTTGAAATCGTGCGGAGATGTGCACAAACAAAAAGATCTACCTTTCATGATTACTTTTTTATTTTCCTTTTTTTAAGCAAATATGGACATGCCCAACACGAATAGGCAACGTGTCGGTGTCCGACACGTGTTAAAACACCACCATGTCATCGGTGCATCTTAGGTAATGAGAGAAGGGGGGGGGGGGGCGGGAAAAAAAAATTAAGAGAGAATGCAAAAAAGAAAAAAGAATACAGCATCAAACTTTAACCTGGAAGCTTTTATGTCCAAGGATATCTTTTGTGCCACCCATTCGTGAAGCAATTTGGTATACCAATGGTATAAACTTGTAAGACTGCACCTGCAAAATGAAAATAAAAAATGTAACACATGCATATTTGAAAGTACAGAGAATTGAAAAAAGAGAAAATTCTCTATATTTTTTCATATATACACTACAATCGGGTGTCCCCATTAATAGTACACGGGAAGAGTTAAAGATAAGGAAAGAAAAGATTACGGGAAAAAGAATTATTTCCTAAATCCTAAATAGACCTAATCACCTCCAAGAATCATTCAACAATTACAATTTTCCTAAATACAAATATTAATTATGGCAGTTAAGATAATGTCATATCCTCGAGATTTCAACTCTCCCCCTCAAATTGCATTGTAAATGTTGATCATATCTAACTTGTGAATGAAGTCATCAAATTTTTGTTGAGGTAGTCCTTCGGTGAAGATGTCTGCTGTTTGTTCCTATATGGGAACATATGTCATACAAATAGTTCCGTTTTCTACCTTTTCTTTAATAAAATATCTGTCCACCTCTACATTTTTAGTTTGATCATGTTGGATTGGGTTGAGAGAAATGTTAATGGTAGCTTTCTTATCACAGTAAAGTTTGACTGGAAATTTTATTGTAACATGTAGCCCTTATAGGAGTTTCTTCAACAACAGCCCCTCACATATTCCTTGTGCTACTGCTCTAAACTCGGTTTCAGCACTACTTCTAGCTACTACATTTTGCTTCTTTCTTCTCCATATTACTTGATTTTCCCATACAAAGGTGCAATATCCTATAGTTGACTTTCGATCCTTCGTTGAACCTGCCCAATCTGCGTCCGTGAAGATTTCTATTTCTTTTCTCTCACCTTTCTTGAAATATAGTCATTTTTTGATGGAACCCTTGAGATATCTGAGTATCTTGTAGACTGCTTCTAGATGAACTTCCTTCGGAGCATGCATATGTTGATTTACCACACTAACTGTAAATGCAATATCAGGTTTAGTGTGTGACAAGTAGATCAATTTACCTACCAGTCGTTGATATCTATGTCTACAGAATTCCCAACATTCTCGATCCTTTTTCCGCATCAATAGGTGTATCACTTGGCTTACATCCAAGCATTCTTGTCTCTATAAGAAGATCAAGTACATATTTTCTTTGTGAGATACAGATGTGACCTTGCTACTTCCATTCCCAAGAAGTATCACATTTGTCCTAGATCTTTTACTTCGAATTCGGCTGCTACTCTTCTTTAGTTTCTCCATTTCTATTATGTTGTCACCTGTCAAGATTATGTTGTCAACATATACAATTAAAATTGTTTTAGTCCCATCATTGAACTTTTTGAGGAACATAGTGTGATCTGACTGCCCTTGTTGGTATCCTTGCCTCTTTTAATTCCTTTGCAAATCTATCAAACCTTGCCCTAGGTAGCTGTTTAAGACCATATGGTGACTTCTTGAGTTTAAAAACTCGATTCTCCTCATTTACCTTGCAAAAACCCAGAGATAATGTCATGTAAACCTCTTCTTCCAATTCTCCATTTAGAAATGCATTCTTAATATCCAGTTGCTGGAGAGGCCAATCTAGGTTTGTTGCCAATGACAGTAGTACTCGAACAGTATTTAATTTAGCCACTGGTGCAAATGTCTCTGTGTAATCAATATCATACGTTTGTGTGTATCCCTTCGCAACCAGTCGAGCCTTATACCTTTCTATTGTCCCATCAATTTTATATTTTAAGTTGAAGACCCATTTGCATCCAACTGGTCTTTTTCCTTTAGGCAGGTCCACTACTTCCCAAGTTTTTTTTTTCCAATGCTAGCATTTCCTCCATTACCGCTTCTTTCCACTTTGGAATTTTCAAAGCTTCCTGAATATTCTTTGGAATTTTTGTACTGTCAAGTTGAGAAGTGAAGCTACGGAATTCTGTACTTAAAAGTGTTAAATGACATGAACTTTGAGGTAGGATGAAGAGTTCATGATCGGGGATGTTCTCTAAGAGCGATGGGAAGGTTGATATCTGATGATTCAGGTACTTTTGTGGTGTCATGAAATTCTAGAGCTATCATTGGTTTCGACTCTCTTGGTGCTTTAGGTGTGGGGTTCTCATGCATTGCTTTTGATCTCCTTGAGTGGACAAGTATTTCATTGTTTCATTGTTTTTCTGCATCTCCCCCTGAATTCAAGTTGTCACTTGTTAATGACATAGAAGAACTAGATAGTAAGATAAGATCTAGATTTAGGTACTGATCTTCACCATGATCCTCCCCCTAAAGAGAGGTTTTCTGGAAATATGGAGTGTTTTCAAAAAATGTGACATCAAGACTCACAATGACTCTCCGTGTAGAAGGGTCATAACATTTGTATCCTTTTTGAGTTGGAGAGTATCCGATAAAGACACATTTGATTGCTCGAAGATCAAGTTTATTTCTTTGATTGCTGGGAAAGTGGACGAAGGTGGTACAACCAAACACTTTGAGTGATAGATTTGAACCAAGTCGAGAGCTTGGAAAGAATTATTGGAATTTTGTAAGTGGCAAGTCAAGGTTTAAAGTACGACTAGGCATTCGATTGATCAGGTAGGTGGCGATTAAGATCGCATCACCCCACAATCTTTTTAGCATATTTGTAGTAAACATTAGGGCTCGAGCAACCTATAGAAGGTGCCTATTTTTTCATTCAGCAATCCCCCGTTTTGTTGGGGTGTTTTAACACAGGAGCTTTGATGAATTATTCCATGTGTTCAAAGGAAATCTTCCAAATTTTTGTTGAAGTATTCTGTGCCATTATCAGTGCGCAGAATTTGAATAGGTGTTTCAAATTGGGTCAATATCATGGAGTGGAAATTGATAAACACAGCTCGAACATCGAATTTTTCTTTTAAGAGATACACCCAACAAAGTCGAGTGTGGTCGTCAATGAACGTGACAAACCATTTTGTATTAGTTCAATCAGGTATACGTGAGGGACCCCATACATCACTATGGATCATTGTGAATGGCTTCGATGGTTTATACGTAGATTTTGGGAATGATGTCCTTTGATGTTTAGCAAGTTCACAAAATTCACATTGAAAATTGACGTGCCTTTTATTTAGGAAAATAGAAGGAAATACATGTTTCAAATATTGAAAATTGGGGTGTCCCATTCTAAAATGCCATAACAACATTTCACTATTACTAGAAATAGATGCAGAATCACAAACGACAATTCGATGTTGCTTACTCAAATTAACCTAGTCAAAGTAGTAGATCCCATCACACTCAACACTGCCAATCGTCTTCCCCGATGATAAGTCCTGAAAAAGACTACGGAGGAAAAAATTTAGCCGAGCAGCTCAAGTTCTTTGTTAATTGGCTAATAGATAATAGATTATAGGCTAAATTTGGAACATGAAGGACGGATTCTAAAGTGATGGAGTCAGAGATGCGAATACTCCCTTTTTCGACAACAGACGAGAGGGAACCATCTGCAATTTTAACTTTGAAATTTCTCGCAGAGGGTGAATATGAAGAAAAAAGTTGGTGAGAACCCGTCATTTGGTATGATGCCCCAGAATAAATGATCCAAGGAGTTTTCAATTGAGAGGTGACATTTAAGGCCTTTAAAAAATTACCTCGATGAGGCAATGAGCTTGAAGGTCCATTTGAGGAAGATTGGTCGGATGCTAGAAGGCTAGAAAATTTTTTGTAAAGTTGTTCTATCTGTTCAGAATTGAATGCACTGCTTGATGAGGGGTTTTTAGTTTGCTAGTCTACTAAAGCTTGGTATCCTCGATTTCTATTATTCTGCCTTGGCTTTCAATCAACCGATTTTCCATGTAAATCCCAACAGGTATCTTCTTTGTGTCCTGGCTTATGGCAAGGCACACACCAGGGTCGTCTCTTTTGTTGCTTTGGGCTCGGCCCATTAAATCGCCCTTTTGAATATAATCCTAAATATTCAGCCGGCCCATTTTTTGAATTTCCAGCAAGTCCACCATTAAAAACTCCACTTGGTCCAATTTTGGAAGAGAGGCCCATGTTTTCTAGCCCAAACTTGTGAGGCCCAGTTTCTTTTAACATTAAGGCCGAGACTCCCAATTCGGCCCGTCCATTTTTCTCTCTCCCCAACATTACGCTTCGCCGATTTTCTTCTCGACGGACCTTCAAGAAGACGCGTCGATGGTAAGGGGCAACGGGCAAGAATTCTTCCTCTGACATCATCTAGGTCACTGTTTAGTCCAGCAAGAAATTCATAGACCCTCTCACTCTCCAATTTTTTTCGGTAGCGCGCGCAGTCGGCCAAACACGCCCATTCCTCTTCAGTGCTTAAATCCAATTCCTGCCACAAAGCCACCATCTCCATGTAGTAATCAACTACTTCCCTATCTCCTTGTTTGATTTGCCACAATTTCGTTTTGATTTCAAAAATCTGAGACGCGTTCTCTGAATCGGAGTAGGTCTCTCCTACTGCATCCCAAACGTCCTTTGCGGTTGGCAAGAAGAGATAGGATTTTCTGATGGAAGGTATCATAGAATTCACGAGCCATGCAGTCACCAAGGAGTTTTCTGAATTCCACCTTTGCGAGTGGGTAATTTCAGTTCAGGTTGGCTTCTTCACTTCTCCGGTCAGGTATTCCAATTTTCCTTTCCCATCTATTATCAGTTTGATGGATTGGGCCCATTCTCTAAAAAAAATTTCCGTTTAGCTTTTCTATGGTGAGTTGGAAAGATGAATTATCGATTCCTTCCAAACCCACAGAGGGAATTGTCTCTGTTTCACCATCGTATGACTCGGAGGTCATTGACTCCTTACTGGTGTCGACAATTTCTGCCATTAGGTTGAGCCACGATTTGGCTCTGATACCATGAAAGTATGGAGAATTGAAAAAAGAGAAAATTCTCTATATTTTTTCATATATGCACTACAATCGGGTGTCCCCTTTACTAGTACACGGGAAGAGTTAAAAATAAGGAAAGAAAATATTACGGGAAAAAGAATTATTTCCTAAATCCTAAATTGACCTAAACCTCCAAGAATCATTCAACGATTACAATTTTCCTAAATATAAATATTAATTATGGCAGTTAAGATACTATCATATCCTCGAGATTTCTACAATATCTTCAATCAAGAGGTCAACAATGGGCATTTAGCATGTTTTACAACACATTCCATTAAAAGGCAAAAACTAAGAAATAACATAAGGTTGTTTACATACTAACACTACATACCTCCCTGATTGTGCCAAGCATGCCATCTACAACAATTTGTCTAGATGAAAGATTGAACCATAGGGAAACAAGCCGAAATACCTGAAAGTTAACGAGGCATTTAATCAGTATCTAGTATTGTTAATATTTAAATTAAGAACCTCTGAAGTAATAGAAAGAATGAAACATCCCAATAATAGCATTTAATGAAGGATAACTCTATTTGGAAGCTACGTCCTATTACACAAAGTAGCTAGTAGAACATATGAAAATGCATGTGAAACATACATAAGCAAGCAAAGTTAAAAAGTTTCCTCCGGGTCAGTCAAGCAGGAGATGCGATGCATATGTCACTGGTCACATACCCGTGCAAATGCCAGGATTTCCGATTATGTAGAATTTCAGGAGCATTCAAAATTAATTGCCAAATGATATTCAGATGATGATCCGACATTGAACTATATCACAATAACATTCAGCTATTGTTTTTCTCAACAAAGAAACAAGACACAAGTATATACCACTCGGACATCATACTTATCGCCTATGATCAAACACTGCTTGTACCCCTCTAGCGCTGTACATAGAAAGTTGTCTGTGTCTTCCTGAGGACAACCAAATTTATGAGTAAAATAATAAGATAAAATAGCAGTTAAATGAAACACAATAAGCTTCAACACTGATCTAGGAATAGCCTAAAATGAGTTGATGAAAGTTATGAATTAAACAATCACGTGTAACACATAATCCCACCAGTTGACAACAATCTGTCCAAAGTGGAATGTAGGATGCTGACATCATAAATCTTTTCTGAACAAAAGCTTAAAGTATGGAGTATCTGACAAATCAGAGGACCTAGAAAGACACGATTTCATGATTTTGATTGACATCAACATCCAGTCATTACAGCTTCCCAAAGCCCAACAAACATGTTCAATGCTCTCTAACCTTGATACATAATATATTCACATTGTTTAACATAACCAAAATGTCACTCTTCCAGGATATAACAAAAATATGGCAACATAAAATTATCTTATTTATGAGCATAAAACTTGTGACAATTTAAAACTCTAGAATCATCTTACTTGAACTCACCTGTAATTTCTCAGCTTCTTCTTTGTACATTGCAAGTTGCTTTTGCAGCTCTAGAATTTTCAATGAATAGTCAGTTTTGTCTCCCTAAAATCCATATAAAGAATAAATATTTTAGGAGAAATATATCCCTTGATGTATCCTTAACTGATGGTGATTATTTTATCTGAATTACTCTGAAAGAGACTAGAAGTTGAGGACTTGCCTTCGATGAACTCTTGACTCGTTTGAATAGAGCTTCTAGCTCCTTTGTCTACACGTCAATAGATGTAATAAAATGTTATTACCAAATAATCTTTACAACTCCTTTCTTCAAAACTGTTCAGCTCAATCTCATGAAGTTTTTCCTCTTTCTAAAATCATCTTATCGGAAACATACCTTGTGTTTCCGCAATCGCATTGTTACTTGCCATTCATTCGAGTTAAGTCTCTCTTCAGAACTACGAAATAGAGCATCTGCATAATGAGCAAGATGGAAATGCATTTGGCTTCGTTTTGCCATAGACAACTTGTCTACAGTCTTGTGATCCTCAGCTATGCTGACTGCGTGCTTCAGGTATTTTTCTAATATAGTCCTAGAGCTGCAGGACCATCACACAGTTAACAGTGATATATTAGTTCAGAAAAAGGAAAACATAAATCATATACAAGTGCACCCACACATATACAGAGAAAGATAACTACCCACACATATACAGAGAAAGATAACTATGTGTTCAACAAATTATGCTTAACAAGTAGCAAAACGGTTGATTACATTATACAATGATTGAAGAGGGTAAGATACGTTTGCACTTCAAGATCTTGACCTAGTTAGTTCATGAATTACATCACACTAGCTACCTGTAACGACCCGGACCTCTCGCCCAAGTCGTTAGCTTACGTACTGTCCGTTAGCTTATAATTGGTACCAGGATTCAACTTAAATCTCTCTTATGTAGAGATCATGATTTCGAATCCTGGGGGACACTTTTTTTTGTAACGATCCGGACCTCTCGCCCAAACCGTTAGCTTACGTACTGTCCGCTTTGGGCGGGCCTTGTGCCCACTTACCCCTCACGGCTTTCCTCGTGTCCCCCAAGATTCAAACTCTTGACCTCTACATAAGAGAGACTTAAGTTGAATACGTACTGTCCGCTTTGGGTGGGCTTTGCGCCCATTTATCCCTCACGGCTTTCTTCGCGTCCCCCAATAATCGAACTCTTGACCTCTACATAAGAGAGACTTAATTTGAATCTTGGTATTAATTGGGCAACCTCTACATAAGAGAGACTTAAGTTGAATTCTGGTACCAGGATTCAACTTGAGTCTCTCTTATGTAGAGGTTGTAACGACCCGGACCTCTCGCCCAAGCCGTTAGCTTACGTACTGTCTGCTTCGGATGGGCCTTGCGCCCACTTACCTCTCACGGCTTTCTATCGCGTTCCCCAAGATTCGAACTCATGACCTCTACATAAGAGAGACTTAAGTTGAATCCGGTAGGCTGGGAACTCTACGAGGAAAGGAACATCCTGTAGAAAGCTTTATCCTAGAATATATAATGAAGATCATCATTGAACGAGGGATAAGAGCCGGGAAACAAAGAACTATGATTACACAATACTACTATTGTATTAAAACCCTAAGCTGTGCGTTTCAAATAAACAGCTTATCAGAGAGAATCACCAATTCACTATTCCATGATATTGAAAGCGCCTTTTGTCAAAGAGTTGGCATGTACCTAAAGGTCAGAATTAGCAAGGAAGGTTGGAGCCGATACGGGTGAATGACAATAAGGGCCCAACAGTACAGGTAAATGCCATATGTCATGTTCCTATTTCTATTGGGAAGTATTATAAGGATGATGTTGTTTGTGACGTGATTGATATGGATGCTAGTTCAGAACCTCTTTATCTTCGGTCGAGTAAAACTCCTTTATCGATTGCCTAAATTGAGAGTGCTTCCCCTTTTACAAGAAGGTTTTTATTCTTAGAGATGGAGCTCTAGAAGTTAAGTTCCAAACAGTATTGGTTTTATGCACGATAGTCAGCTATGCTAGTCCACGATGAACGACAGAGTGGTATGGAATACAACGGGATTCAACTTAAATTTCTCTTATGTAAAGGTCATGAGTTCGAATCCTGGGGGACTCGATAGAAAGCCGTGAGGGGTAAGTGGGCGCAAGGCCCACCCGAAGCGGACAGTACGTAAGCTAACGGCTTGGGCGAGAGCACTTTTTTGCTTTCACCCTTTCAAGTTAGATATTGCTCCCTACATCACAGTAATAGATTTTAACTCTTAAAAACGCTCAATTAAAGTCATGTTTCTTTAATGTCTTGTCTCCTTAATATCAAAAAATCATAATACGTTAGTTTAGTTATACATCCCAGAGATTTAGAAAGAACTAATATCCACTGAAGACAGCTTTGAGCAATGCTACTGCATATGTAATCTTGATCATTGTGATGTAGAACTAACTTGCTTGATCGAGTTTCAGCCAGCCACTTTCCAACTAAGCGAAATACATCTGATGCACCTTCCTTCAATTGTTGATTTTGTGAAATATAATCAGCAAGGTTGATAGCCATGTCATGCTGACCTTGAGCGCGTAGGAGCTTAGCTTCTTCAAGCTTGTACATGAAAAGAAGCATGGCATTGTTAGCTTATATTTAAAAGAAATCAGCATAAAATTGAAAGTAGACACATGGATATACACGTAGATAGAGAGTGAGCGAGTCAGAGATGTATATGGAGCCTCGAGACCAATTTTTACTGCTATGGACAAAAACTAGAAACACACCCCACAGAAAAGGACGAATAAATTGCAACGTCATATGCTGAACAGGATAACTACGTTACTCAACACTTCTTTTACTATGCCATATCCATCTCCGAAATGATCCAATGTTCGTGCCCAACCATATGAAACACCTAGAACAATTCCAAGTACAAATCCAAAACTAAAATCTACAAAACACTATGTATTTTCGTTTGACATCTTTTTAGTTATATTTCCCTTCTCAAAACAATTTAAATTGTCTTTAATATGCTCCTCACTAAGATTATTATTTTTCTTTTATTGATGGTCTAATATGTTCATAGTGTTTATAAATGGATATGACAATGAGACATGAATAGAAAACTTTGCTTGCTCATAAGCTGCTCATTACTCATCTTATTTAAATTAAGCTTTCGGAGATGTGACAATTTATTTATTAAAATTTCATCTTCAATCCTTCCCTAACTTGTACTTTGACAAGATTTCAAAATCAAACTCCTTCCCTAATCAATGAAGTGGCTCTATACTCATGTCCAACATCAATACACCTTTTTGAGATAAATCCAGTGTCCTTAATTTGAGAACTCACATGCCCCACACACATCCTAATCGCATATCAAAACCATACCCAAGTCTGAACAACATAGGTCGATATCAAAAAGCATCCTATAAAGATTATGATTGGATAAGGGCGTGAATAATGGCAATAAATAGAAGTGTTTGAGAATATGAAATATCACGCAAGTATTTGTTCATCGAACTGCATTTAACTACCTAAATGGCAGGTAGCATCATAGTTTAAACAAAATCTATGCACCTGTATTGCATGAATATCTACTTGATGCAAGGCTAGAAATATACATATATACCTACCTACACACACACACACACACACACATGTAAATTATCGCTACAGTTTCCAAGTATAAGAGGCACAAAAATGAAAAAGGATTACATATTTCATGCATTATCAAAGAGGGAAGAGAGTCCATACCCTTCCAAGCCAATACAAATTAGAATATTCTCCTGCCATATCAGAGCAAAGGAACTTGAATTTGTGTAAAGTTGCAGCCGCATGTGAAAAATTGGAGCCCTGTTGATGAAAAATCAAGTAACTTTCTTATTGGGTCTAGTCTAGATTCCTTTAGCAAGATTAATTTTCAAGAGAATACCTTACGAAGGACTGATGCAGATTCCAAGAGATGATTCACTGTACTGACCATACAATTCATAATCTGAAGTAAGACTCTTCTAAATGCTATGAATGGTTCCAACAAATTCATATGTAACTCTGCTCGTTTTAAAATGAAGTTCCAATCGTTGTGCAGCCATTGCAACTACATTTGCAGATGTTTAAATGAATCAATATAGATGATAAACTATTTCAACATTTATTCCTCATCGATACTGGTTTATAACTTGATCTGGGTGGTATACTTGTCCAGAATATAACATCATAAAACATGTAGGTAAGGTAGGGACAGATTCAAAAAACTTTCTACAATCAATCTTTCTTGAAGATACGAATTAAATAATATAATTGTAGCCTCTCAACGGCTTAAACTTTTAGAACAAGTAGTTCAACATGGTATTAAAGCAAACAAAGGCCCTAGATTCAAATTTCGTCGCCACCCATTTATAAGAAATTGTGTACTCGTAAAGCTTTAATGGGAAAAATGAACCCATGAGTAAAATTTAAATTATATACACGTGGCCCTCTTTAACAACTTAATTATTTAGATCAAGTGGTTCAACAATACTTTTTAGGATAATATCATAGTTTTAGTGTAGCACATTGAAGTTGATTTACATTTAGCAAATGTTTCACAAGTTTCTAGCAATTAAAAATTCCAAGCAGAAAATGGTTATTAAAAGCAAATCACGTGGAAACATATTCCATCAGGATTGAAACAAAAAGAGAAGAAGCATGCTCCTTGATGTGACATGGTAGATTTCAAGAAAGATTAACTTCATGATATTGAACTATTTATGTATATCAACTTCTTTCCATCAGCAAGAAGCTCAACTCAAACTCTTTGTTCAATACTTTGGGATTGCTACGGTATCAAGGACGCCTCCAAAGTTAAGCCAAAGGGCTCAACCCTTTTACTTACATTCCATGTCATTTTAGGTTGAATCACATTCTCTACTTTTACCATTGACAGTTCGTTTTCCAGCAACATACCCCAACTGGGTATGACTTCAACCAAATAGTTTACACCCTTATTTCTGATTCTATCTTCTTGTCTCAGCAATATTTGATTTACACATATCTTGTTTCTTAGTATAGACCAACATTTGTTCCCATAATATAGCATATGCTTGCCTCTCTTAACATTTCTACAGAATTTACCTTCTGATCTTATGGAAATTTACCTCCAGAAACTCAAGAAAACATAAATCTCTCAACAGGAAAGTACCATTTTAATTGAATGTCAAATATATACAGCTTCTCCTTTAAGATATAATTGTGTATGGAATTTTAGAAAGCAGAGTGTTATTGCCTCTTATCCTAAATAATAAATATCGTAAAACATAAGGAATAAAATCCAATTCCTTCATAGTTTGAGAAACATCAAGATGTGTGAAAATATAGCTTCCTTGTGTAGACTGCAGACTAATTATCACTATCATATAAACCCATTTATGGACATATATTTACTTTAAAGTTCGTTATTTATTAAGAAGATATCTTTGGGTCCTATACTCCAAGTCATATGCCATCTTTTGTGCGGGATAGACATAGAAGGAATGTAATCCCTCCATTTTGAAAGACTTCATTAAGAATTATAACATTTCTTATGTACTGTACATACTTGATTTGATTTTCAACTCAACCTTTTTTCATTATCACTGATAATTAAAAGAGTTCCTTACAAACAAGGAAACGCCGACGCGGACACAAATTGATCAGTAACCTAGAGAATTTTGACTTTACTAACATGGAATGTAAATTAGCAAATATGCGTAAGCAATTTTATTCCTGTACTAACTCTCTAACATTGATTACATACGAAACAGAGATTTCTGTCAAGAATAATCCCAGATTATACACCACTACAAGAACATTACCTTCTCTGGGAAATAGAAGCCATTAGACACATCGAATGGTGATACTACAAGTTGCTCATCAGAAGATAGTGACGTGTACGATGAAAGAGAGTTCAACAAATACCTGGTCCACGGAGGGGCAACAGGTTCGGACAACAAATACCTAGAGAATATTGACTTTACTAACATGGAATGAAAATTAGCAAATAGCGTAAGCAATTTTATTCCTGTACTAACTCTCTAGCATTGATTACATGCGAAACGGAGATTTCTGTCAAGAATAATCCCAGATTATACTCCACTACAAGGACATTACCTTGTCCAGAAAATTGAAGCCTTTAGACAGATCGAATGGTGATGCTACAAGTTGCTCATCAGAAGATAGTGACATGTACAATGAAAGAGAGTTCAACAAATACCTGGTCCATGGAGGGGACAACAAATACCTAGAGAATTTTGACTTTACTAACATGGAATGTAAATTAGCAAATACGCATAAGCAATTTTATTCCTGTACTAACTCTCTAGCATTGATTACATACGAAACAGATATTTCTGTCAAGGATAATCCCAGATTATACTCCACTACAAGGACATCTCCTTCTCCGTAGAAGCCACTAGACATATCGAATGGTGATACTACAAGTTTCTCATCAGAAGACAGCGATATGTACAATGAAAGAGAGTCAACAAATACCTGGTCCACAGTGGGGACAACAGGTTCGGATAACAATTTCTGTCTCTCAGAAGAAGTATCCATATTTTCACATGACGAACTCCAACGTAAATCCCATGCCTTTCCAAGATGATAAAAAATCTGGCATCCAAATGAAAAATAAAATGTTGATAAAAGTTTAATATCTCATTTGCAATAATCTTTCAATAATTCTGTTTGAGGTAATTTTCCATAAGCACACATAGAAAACCAAACTCCAATTTCAATCTCATATTGAAATATAATTTGGGTTTTCAGTGTTATGGGCACATTATCTAAATATATAATTAAAAAGGAGTTCTAACAAGATTTTAAATTTCCAATCACAAAAACATGCGTGAGATTGCAAGAGACTAAATTCAGGGGAAGTGATCGCTAGGAAAGTACCTGAAGTTTAACTACCGTTGAGTATATGTACTCAGTACTCTCCTTACTTGCATGGCAGAGAGATAGCAAAAGATCCTGAGAGAAATAACCCATAGATATTTTTCGCCAAGTAAAACTCAGATCAAATGTAAGAGATGTGCCGAGCAGAAACTAACCTGCTTTGAATCTTTCAATTCTTTATGAAATTCATCAAATTCTCCTTCTTGTAGTGCTCTTAAACAGCTGCATTGCAGCAAGCAGAATGTCCACATTGATTTTAACAGACAGATATCAAGTTTGTGCAATTTTTCTCTGTGTTCGCTAGTTTATGATGGCAGTTTTCAAGCAAATGCTCAATCAAACTATTCAAGATCTAAGGAGATTACCTGTGTAAATTTTTATTGAAACGATGTCCCTTACTGTGTTGATATGAAACTGATACATCAGAACTTGAAGAAAGTAGAGAAAAATCCCAGTTTCCTGCACGCCAGGCAGCTTCGTACTGCACATGAAGGAAAAAACCACAACGGGGAAGCCAACAAAGCAAAGCATCAATATGAAACAAGCATCACAGGTGAGAAAGACACGACATAATCAAATTACTTTCCATCAGCTAAAAGAAAATAAACATATCACCAAACCTGCAGCTCAGTAAATTCTAGATCACGTTGAAACTGGCCTTTCTGAGAAGTCAATCCTTGGCAATACACATCCAACACATGAGTGCAGCCAATTTGCTGTAAAGATCTAATCAGTCCTTTATAGGGTTTCTTGTGCACTATCTCATCTTCGATTCTGGACGAGGATGGATGAGCAGCTTGTAGGGAATTCTCTAGAGCAGAATTAGTGGAACTACTAGTTTGAACCATTGGCTCTGAGCGTACTTGCAAATCATAGTACTCAAGTGCCTTACTCCAATTTCCCTCGTGTTCATAAGTGATAATCTGAGAGGTCAGCTGCAGAATGAATAGGGGACAAAACGGTATCAAAATCTACCCACACAACTTTCGTGATATATTGCGTGACATCTCAAGAATTATGTGAATCACATATTGAAAAAAGTCAAAGGCAGAAATCGCCTCGGCCAGAATTCTATCTACTGAGTATTGTTTTCTTGATCTTTGCTTTTTCCTTCCTAGAAACGTGTACATAATTGGACCACTGACTTTCCGTTTGTTATGAAGAATGAATGGTATAAACTGTATTTCAATTTTTTCCTCCCTAATCTCTGTTATTATATAAATATGTATTCACAGTTCACAGAAATTAATCGAAACAATTCACAATTATCTTGTGATAGAAAAGCATGCAAAGGTCCCGAAATCAACTCTTGCTACCACCCATTTATGAAAATTGTGTAAGTGTCAGGTCTTCGATAAGAGAGGAATATGGCAGGCACATCAAGGGTGTTTAAGACTATCAAAATGAATAAATATGTCCCCGTTCTAATGTCTCGATCTTTTAGATAAGGTAGTTCATCATATACATTCTAAGAAGTAATGAGCTTTTAAAAGTGTAGCACCTTCACTACTCCTTGATAATTTAGGGTGTTTCAATAGTTTGATATTGAAGTGGAGGACAACGTCATGATCGCATAGTGCATAACTATATGAGCTGGTTTGAAAAGCTAAAAATTAAGCAAGGTGAGGTTAAAAGAGCTAAAATTTGAGGATTCGGACTACTTATAAGAATTAAACCGATACGTATATAATGAATCTTGTGATGAACCAAGGTGAAAACATGATAATCATAAAAATTCAATGATTTATTATTAACATGCAGCAAAGACTGTAATAGTAGTAGTAGCAATGGTAATAGTAACATTTAATGGGGGTGGAAACAAAAAATGGATACTACACCGCATCTAAAGGCATGTGGCATACCAGACCAAACTGATGTAATAAAGGTTTTCAAGCTAGAGTTATTGAGATTACCTTTCAAAAAAAAAAGTAAAAATGCTAGAGTTATTGAGATTGTGATGGAAGTGGAATCAGAAAGATAACAAAATATGCACTTATATTAGGCGCAAAACTGAAAATAGATTGTAATTTATTTTCATTGATTTTCTTATATTTAAAATATTTTCTTTCCATAATATAGTTTTAGCCCCTCTAGGTACGGATTCTTAAAAATCATTTCTTTCCAAATTCACTTTCAACTTCACATTCTTTCAATAAAAATAATTTTGCACTTTGACTCGTAACTTTTCCATATTTTTAAACCACGTGTTCTCTTAAAAAAAACCAATTTTCACAAAATTTATTCACAATAAATCTACATGAAACATGCCCTCAAGTGATATTTTCACCAGTTGACCTTGCCTTGCTTGGTCAAGTACTGTTGGGTGATTTTCTTGTATTTTAAACATTTTCTATCCATTATAAAGTTTTAAGTTAGAGAAATTTCACCTTTTCTCCTTGTCCCACTTGGTTAAGGATTGTTTCCACAATTGAGCTCAAGGGTTCCCGAATCTGTATCTCCCCTCCAATAAAAAACTAATAGAATTTTCCATTTAGCAACTACGCCCCTATTTTATAAGAAATTTGAGTGTAACATACTAGCATTTCTGAATAAAGTAATAGTTGATTGAGTAGGCAAGTTGACATTATTCTCCCTAAAATTTCAACCACAAAGGTTAATTAGCGGAAAACTACTTTCGATTTACTGCTCTGCTATCATAAACTCATCAATTGAGAATTGTGTGGAATTCTCCTAGACATTCTTTTATGATGTAACACCTAATGGCAAAAACTAGTTCTCACGTGTTCATTAAATTATAAGTGTAAACATATTCACACACAATTTTTGCCTAATAAGGCTGTATTTCTAGGACTATTTCTAGCTTCAATACAATTGTCCTATAACAAAACATAGATGATTAATCTAACAGCTAATTAATAGGAATATACGAACAAAATGATTACCAATCAGATTCCTAGAATTATCAAAATACATTAATATCTTACATGCCCAAGATTTTTCTTTCTTTATTTCTTTCTTTTTTTTTTTTTTTGGATAAGCATTTTATTAGTCAGGATAAAGACAAAGAAACATTTTCAATAGCCCCCTTAATTACCCTAAACACCATTTATCTTTACTTGCATCCTAATATATTTTTGCAATGAGTATCTAACACTCTCTTTTCAATAAGAAGTAATGATTTTGAGTGAACTCGTGAACATGTGGCTAGGAATCAATTTTATAATCTACTTTCATTTATACATCTTCAACTGACCTTGTGAGATTGAATAATCCCATAGAGACTATCAGGCTCATTGATTTGCGTGAATGCTGAGGCAAGTATTCCAATGTGGCGTGGAAGCTGACATTTAAGAAGAAAATTAAGTAACTCGAACACACAGAGACGGCATTTTATATTGTGTGACGGAGAAGAGAAATGTGTGCAATCATTTCTCCAACATAATAAATACTCAAGTTGCGTAAGCATACTGTTTCATGATGAGAGAAATCTGGGCTACCCAATGTGAGGCTACCAAAGTGTTCCTCACACCAGTGCTCCACGTAAAGCACAGCAGTAAAGTAGGAGCCACAATCCTGTATACATAATAAGTTAAACAAAAGAGGATACAGATGGAAGAAAACAGTAATCTCTGATAATTCGAATGCATGAGAAAGAGAGTGATATATGAACTCACAATTGCTGACTGCGCAACTAGAAGATAATCAACAGAAAGCCAATAAACCTAAACAACACATCAAGAATGAGAAAATTAGTGGCCCTGCAAAAAAAATGACAGAGACAACAACCATGTATTTCACTGAAAACAATTTGAAATAACATCACAAAAGCATTCAACATTTGTATGTCCTGTACTAAAGTTTCGTTACCAGTTTCACTACACCCTCTTGGGTTTAGGCTAGGGAGTGACTTTATTATCCTATATGTGGTTATACCTTAACAGATTTGTCCTTGTGAAAAGTTTATACTCTAAAAGATGGGTCAGTGAATTCATGTAATGTTACTATCATCCTGGAAAGTGGGAACACCTTTTTAGGTACAATGATTACATGGTTAACTGCATTTGCCATGCGAAGAAGCTGTCCAGAATGAGTTACCATATCAGAATTTCTTTAATAATAAATTCGGCATTGATAATTGGAAGCACATTCCAGCATCAAAGGAAGATTTTGATAATGTACTACCTACCACAAGCTTCTGCGATCCTATATCCAAAAAGTCCAACAAATCTGATAAAATCATGAAAGAAAACCTGGCTTGTATTTATTTATGCCACTGATGAAAACTTGAGGAAATGAAGAATATGAAATGCAGTGGGTTTGGGATTTTGCCCTGTTTACCTAATTTTCTAGGCTTCTAAATTTCTTATACAGAATATATGACATAAAATTCCAAGTGTCGTCATCCCATAAAATATAGACTAATGTATATTATGATCACATAAAAAGAGAAAGGTATCTAAAATGTCTGACAATATGGTGTACTCTACGAGATTATATTTTTCATAATATTTTGCCAATCATTAAAAGAGGTGAACTTATAGTTTCCGTACATTCATCATGACTATATATAGAAATCAGATATAGAACAATGATATTAAATATATAAAATCAAATGGAGTGAACAGATTTTAGAGCTATTAAATGGAAAGATGAAGGCAGAAATGTCTACCTTTTCCCAGGACAATGTCGACATTACCAGTCCAGAAGTTGAGTGATGTTCCTTCACCTTTGCTGATGTAGAACGTGATTTTGACCCATAGCCAGAAGCCTTAGTGCCCTGTTTAAACCACTGAATCTAGTAAGCTAGATTATTTCTGTTACTTGAAACCATTTAGCACATACACACGACGTCAAAACTGGACAATAACGCATTTATGCATATGACTTATTACAACTCGCAAAATACGAATCTACATTTGCAAGCGCAACTAAGCAACCTTGTTGACATAATTGCACTACTGATTGTGAATAAGAAGAAATGACCACAAAGATAACAGCTCCTAGTAGTTTCTTCTCTTTTGATAATTGATCAGCTCATATAGATCAGTCAACAAGTGTAAATTTGTGCTAGGTTATCAAAGACAGACTCCACGACATTGAATAATATAATAAGAAGAACCACTTCAACTACAAGTCATTGATAATATCCATCTTCTTTACTATAAAAAATTCAGGAAAAATACAATTTTAAACCAGTAAAAATCGAAGAAATCAACATAGTATTTCGATGTAATAGAGATCTAAAATTATTCTTGAAAGCACAATGAAGGTAATTTGGATGGCAATACACTTGCGTCGAACTACTAAATTTTGCAGAACCATCTCATGTAAAAGTTGTAGCTATTAGCATTGACCATTTCGACCACTTACTAATATGGATTAATATGATGCACTAGAGAGTCCAAATACTCAATTAACAAATTGGCTTGTTTTAACAGTTTGTGCATTTTTTTGAGTAAATTAGTTCTTGTGGAAAACTTGATATACCAAATGTTGTTTTATTCTTGTCTTGGACAGGTGGTGTAAGTAATTTAATGATAACTTCGACTCCAAATGAATATTTTCAGCATGGCACCTAAATTGTTTTGACATTTGTATAGCATAATGATCCTCAATGTCTTTGGCCTCAGTTTCAGCATGCAAATAATTTCTTTATTATTAAACCATGGTTTCACTTTACAAGTTTTTAAATGGAAATTTTATTGATAAGACCTTTTCAATTGTAGCCAATATCTTATTACGAATAATTCCGACAACTTCAGGAGGAGAAAAAACAAGTTGTGTTTCTACATCTTTCCAGCAGTTCATTAAGAAGCACAGAAGAACAACAGTGTCATCAGTGTCACCATGGTTACCCCAAACATCAGATTATCCATTCTCAAAAAGCATAACGCATAATACAAAAAACAGTTTATTTAACACCTGTACCTTTAATCTTTCCTGGTTATGAAGAGCAGAAGACGACCTGGTTCTTTCCAATACGTGGCACAGGCGAAGCTCATTAAGAGCATCCAAGAAAATCTGAATCGATTTGACTAATGTATTGGACTCAATAAATATATTCTCCTGTACCTGTACATCAACTAACAATATAATTGTGTCTCACAAATGCACAAGAAATAAATGTTAATGTAATTTCTGTCTAAGTGATGGAAACATAACCTTGACAGTGAAAAAACTTGAGCTTGACATAGGAAACTAACAAGCAAATATAACAGAGTTTGAAACAGACAATGTTTACTCCCTACATTAACTAAGAATTACTCTTTCAAAATGTAAATTCTATTGATAGTCACCAAGGTACTAATTTACGAAATATAGGATCCTAATATACCACAAAGTAGAAAGCCTAGAAGCATTGAGAGGGTACGTAAGTTATTCTCACAAGATTCTGGACGAACTGTACAAAGAATCAACAGGGAACGTAGCATCCATGGATTACCAATCGGTACAAAGAATCAACAGGGAACGTAGCATCCATGGATTACCAATGGAACTTCAATTTTTGAAAATATTTCCCTCTATCAAGAACAAGCTCAGACCAGCTTTAAGAGGTATGGAAAAATATTCCCACTCCATCAGCAAGGAGATGAAGCCATGCAATGAGCAGGGAAGTTATTCACTTTTGTAGACATTAAAAAATTATTTTGTAAAGTGTGTAATTTGGGCCATCCATAATTTGTAGTTTTAATGTGAAATTACTGACCCAAAAAATTAAATCAAGAAATTCTAGTTTTTCATGATGTCAGTTGCCACTTTGTTGGAATGTTAGGGATGGTTTAATCTTGACTCCAAGAGATACCAGATAACCAAGGATTCCTTCATATAGTGGGTAACAGGGTGTTTATACACCATCGTTAAGTTTATTGACAAGTTATTCGAAGGCCTTCGGACTATACGAGTATTCCTATTAAATTATAATCATGTAAACTTGCTGGAACATTGATTATATGAATAATGCATGAGCCGACTAGCTCAACGTGCTTAAGAAATTGCAATGTTGCAAAACAAACTTCCCAAAAGTAGCATGCAAAAACATTACTGGCCACTAAAACAATTCCTAACCTACTAGGTTAAGCCTTGGCTATTACAATTACCCCCTTTATGGTGAAAGCTCCAATAACAAAGTTTAATTCAATTGTTTATGTTCAAAAATTAACTAGAATGATTCCTAATATGCAAAAGACAAAGGCAGAGAAGACCAATTGTACCAGAAAATGGGCAAAGGAAATCCCTAGATTCCGCCAACAACTTTAGCGAGACCAAGACTATCCATTTATCCTTGTAAGTAACAAGGTAACAAAGGCCCATGATTTTATATTCATCAAACGTAATAAATTATCTTCACTTGCTGCCCTCCATCCCTTTGCAAAAATGCTTAAAGGAACACAAGAAAAACACTAATAACAAAAGATCATAATAATAATAGTAATAGTACTAGTAATAGTAGTTCATAAATGGTCAAACCATTTCTTATCCATACATTTCGTGGGAATCACAAGTAGTACCACTTATGCACCACTAATTTCTATTTATTTATAATTTCAAATATTTATAAACACCTCCCAAACAAGCTTTTAAACAACAATTTACTTTTAAAACAGGTAGGAAAGTGAACAGTTCCCCAGAGTGTGTGTGTGTGTGTAGTGAGAGAATACTGGATATAAATGGATTGGTGGACCAATGTAATTGACTACTAAATATAGTGTTATTGCACTTAGTAATTTACAGAAAATCCAGAAGTAACCTTCAAAGAGATTAGTCTACATATATCAACATCCAAATCCGTCCTCCCAGCAAGATTAACAATGACATTGCAAAACAGAAGTTCTGCAACTTCAGATTTCACTAGCACAATATCTTGACATAATCTGAAACGCGAATTGAAATCAACATATATTAATGAATAAAGCCAATAAGTAATAAAAGTTACGGAGTCTTTAGGAGAAGAATGGATAACCTTAGAATAAGATCGTTACAATAACCCATGAGGGCATGCACAAGTGGACATATCCACGAGTCAAAAGTTTTTTCAGAAGTCCACACACTATGGTTGTCGATGGAAATTGCTTCAGCTAACAATAATGGAAAGAAAGTGTCATGAATTAATTAACAAACCAGATAATTTTGAGTGATAAAAACTAACAAAGAAAATTTCTATTTTATTCTCAAGCTCATGGGTATTAACTAGAAACTTCAATAAGTACAAGCCTAGGTATATGCATGAACCTTGTTGCTGCTATACCTTTCCCCTTTCATAAGCTTAGAATGATCTGCAAATTATGTTCTTGATAAGAATTAAATGAGAACCGAAATTTAATGAAATTAGACTGTTACACCGGCTAATCAACCACTTTAAAGAGCTACTCATGCAGCTGCACAACTAGATCCTTCAACCTGGAAATCGTGATTTCATCTATTTATTTGGGTAGCATCTAAGTAATAGTCAGCACCAGAAGACATTATTATTATCTTGGTGAATTTAGACGCGTTTGACGGTGTTGGATTTGGCTCATCGCATACAATAATACATATCTTTGCAAATGCATACCATTGTATTCCTTACATGGGTCCCTATCATTCATCTAGAGCATTCAAATTTAAAACTAGGGCCCTCGCTCAACTATAAGAAATAGTCAAATCATTAGATGGCAGAAACTCTGAAGGGATTCATTTACAGGTTCTCGAGGTCAGATCAGATGTTAGTTCTTATTTAAAAAAAATTTAGAATATAATTATTTAGTCTAGATTTTTTATTTTATTTTTATTTTTGATAGTTGAGGGACTAAAGTGAAATAGGTTTTAAATTCTTATTTTGGGCCAAATAATTGGATATTGATAGAAGGAAGATAGGTATTCTAATATTGGACTCTTTTTGTAGCTCATAATCAATTAGAAGTCTTCGACTCGAAAAAAATGTTATGCATTAGACTACATCAAGTTAAGTCCAATTAAAAGAATAAAAGTTTAATAGAGTTGGTAGGGACTTGGAATATTAATCAAGTAAAAACTTTTTTCCTCTTTTAACTTTTTGAAACTAAGTCCAAGTCGGCCACATGCCCTATTTCAATGGGATGATTAGTATTTGTTCAAATTTCGCTTACTTTTACTGCACGGTGTGTAGTTCACCAAGAAACCAATAGTCGAGTATACTACTTACTCTACCATTTGAACCCATTATTATCCAATTTCAGGTGGTACACGGCTTTTTTATTGTTATTGCACTAAAATTCAATTTGCAAATATTTATTTTCACTATAAATACCCCCATGAAGTCAAGAGAAACTTTCATCACGGAATATTTATACTGACACAGCCAAAGAAAGTCAAGGTAGAAAGAGACAGAAACATAAGAAAAGGGTTTTCACATCATTTTACATTCCTTTACAACCTTTTAAATCTATCAAGGAGAGATACTTATATACAAGTGGTTTGTTCATCTATGATTTTATGTATTAAATTAAATATGCATGAATTGCCAATGAACCTTCGAGCTCTTTATAAAGAGAGATGATTTCCATAGAAAATTCAAGATGACCTAAGATGAGTGTTTCGCTTAGTCACTAGCATATTCCAATAAGAGGAGAGGTATGAAGTGTTTAAATTGATTGTTATATAATTTAGTATGGAAGTTGCACATCTAATAGGTTGTTTTTAAACTCACTTTTACAATGATTTTACAAGTTAGTTCGGGTCAATTTAATTTGTGGCAGGATGGTGATGCACGCTACCAAGTGGATTGATAGAAAAATAAACATTAAGTTTTTCTGCCTTTCAATTTATTAGTTAGTTTAATTTGTTCAAGGACGTGTTAATTAATTCGTTAGGTGATTATGCCAATTTTCTTTGAGATAAAATTTCCATGTTTTGGTTTAATTTTATTGATATTCCAGTTATTTTATTTTAAAGAAATAAAGTTTTATTGTTCCGCATTTGATGTGAAGAAAAATAAATCATTAATAATACTTTAGGATTTATGAAAAATTTAGGTGTTACAACTTTGCATCATTGTGTTTTCAGTCATGTTCTATTCAACTGTTGATTCTTCTACGATTTCGTTGACCATCAAACTTTTATTATAGTTTCAAGTTAAATTTACCGATACGCATTAGCATAAAGTGCTTGCAGTGGAACAAAAAAACTACTGATAAGTATATAAGGTGAAAGTAGCACTAAATATACTTCTTAAATAATTAACTAATGAGACAAAAAGAGACAGGCTCCCTCACGTACTTGAAAATGTAAGCATGTATGCTTCAAATTGAAAATTTACCATTGTACTTTCTTTGTAGAGTTGCAATGAATTTCTGTACTAGCTCCATATTCACTCCCTTGGAGTGGACCTACAGACATACATTAAAGCACCATTATAAATACATAAATCACCAGAGTATTTACAAATGCCGTCAATGATATAATATTTTGGTGTGCTTAAAATAAACAAGCAGGTCTCAACAATTTCATCAAATTAAATAGGAAGGTGCATATGTATCAGTTACCCCTGGTTCGCAATCAATTTTTCTGGGATTTATATGATAGAAAAAAGCATTGATTGATAATCTTTTAGTCCATCAAAATATTCTGTCTATTGGCCAATAATCATTTACTCAAGTGTAGAACTTACTCAAACCCTATTTTGCCATTAACATAACAGTGGCAGCATCAGAACAAGAAATAATGCTTTCAAGTAAACTCTCACATAAAATTTATAAATCATATGAGAAACACATATGAGCCTCAAAACCGAATGACTTCATATAATAGCTTTTCCATCTTTAGGGATTAAGTATGAATTACTGGTTGCAAAAAGCTTGAGGAAGACAGGTAAAGTCAAAGTAAACATGCCAAGAAGACAGAGAGATGAGTGACAGAACACCAAAACAGCACTCTCCCACGTAATATATATAATAAGGCAGGTTCAACAATAGTTGATGTGTATATGTTGCAAGATTACATGTGAATTTATATGGTTGGAAAATATGTTTCAAGAACTTGGATTTAGATATCCCCATCCTATGAATCTAGCATCTGAAATGACAGTGTAGAATTAAAAGAGTTAATTCTGTAGGGCAGATCCGAATGATTTGGAATTGATTTCCACATGTGTCATATGTATTTATGTAATTATATTTAGCTGTAGTAGTTTCCTATTTTTCTCTGATTTGGTTAGACATGTTAGACATATTATTTTCCTAAATTAGTGGCTAGAATCAAGAAATGTGAATCGGCCTGTGATTTCTCTTCCTGTACTTGTATATATTCAGCATTCTCTGTAATTAATAAGAGATAAGTCATTTCACCATCTTATTCTAAATGGCATCAGAGCTACCCATCTGAAACCCTAAATTTGAGATGGCCTCCGGAAAAGAATCTTCATCTGATGTAACCTCTGTTGTAGAGGACATCATCTCTACCCCTCATGGAAATTCTGAACATTCCATCATTCCCATTACTGGGGATAAACTCAATGGACAGAACTATCTCTAGTGGTCTCAATCAACCATGAGGTATATCATCGGCAAAGGGAAAGATGACTATCTCACAGGAACTGCAAAGCCACCATCCATGACGGATCCCAAATTCAGAAGGTGGAAGTCTGAAAATTACATGGTCATGTCCTGGCTAATCAACACGATGGATGTCGAGATTGGCCAAAACTTCATGTCCTATTCAACTGCAAAAGAAATCTAGGATAGTGTGAAAGAAACCTATTCGGACAATGAAAACACCTCTGAACTTTTTGAAATTAAAGTAACTCTCTATGATCTTCGACAAGGTGATAACTCCGTGACTTATTACTTTAATCTTCTCACTTGATACTGGCAACAACTTAACATGTTCGAAGATATCTCGTGGGAGTGTCCTCAAGATGGAAAGAAATACAGCACTATTGTGGAGAAAGAAAGAATTTTTAAGTTCTTACTTGGCCTAAACAAAGATCTTGATGAAGTAAGAGGAAGAATTTTGGGAACTAAACCTCTGCCCTCTCTCCGTGAATCATTCTCAGAGGTCAAAAGAGAAGAAAGTAGGAGAAAGGTCATGATGGGAACTCAATGGATCACAACCCCAACTGAAAGTTCTGGCCTTACCGCTCATGGAGACAACAATCAGGGAAGTGACAATCGCCCTCACAAAGGAAGACCATGGTGTGATTACTGTCGTCAACCTGGACATCTTCGAGGAAAGTGCTAGAAACTTCAAGGTAAACTCGTCGATTGGAAACTAACTAGGTTGAATTCTGACCGTAAAAGTTGTGGTTTCTCTGCTACAGCTGAATCCACAATATTCAACAAAGAACAACTTGATCTCCTTCTGAAAATGTTCAACCAAACACAAATGAGTTCTAATGTCATCAGATCTGGTTCCATAGCCCAGAAGGGTACATTCTCAAGCACTCTTAACAGCAAAGTTGAGAAAAACGGCCCTTAGATAATTGACTCGGGTGCCTCCGATCATATGACTGGTGATGCCACTTTATTCCACTCTTATTTACCATGTTCTGGAAATCATGCAGTGCACATTGCGGATGGTTCCTTATTCACGGTTTCCAAAATTAGAACCATTATTATCTCTAAACATATTGTTCTTAGTTCTGTCCTACTGGTTCCAAAGCTATCTTGCAACCTATTATCAATAAGCAAACTCACAAAAGATCTTAATCGTATTGCTAAATTCTCCCCTACTCATTGCAGATTTAAGGAACAGGACTCGGGGAGGATGATTGACAATGCTGAGGAGTGTGCAGGCCTCTATCTCTTCAAGTCATGCGATTCTCCTGGAGTTCAAACTTTAACAGCTCATTGCACTACTACACCAACCTTAGTGAGTCAGTCCAATAAGGATTCTATGTCTGTTTATGTTTCATCCCATGATAATAATAGTGCAATCATGCTGTGGCACTTCAGATTAGGTCATCCTAATTTTATGTACCTGTCAAAATTGTTTCCATCACTATTTATTAATAAAAATCTGAGTTTATTCCAATGTGAAATCTGCCAATTTGCTAAGCACGCAAGAAGTCATTTCCTACACACAAATATCAACCTTCACATCCATTTTCAATTGTACACAGTGACATTTGGGGTCCTTCTTGAGTTAAAAATATATCGGGAGCACGATGGTTTATCACTTTTGTTGATGATCATAGTAGAGTCACTTGGGTATTTTTTATGAAAGAAAAATATGAGGCAGGTCCAATTTTCAAGAAATTTCACTCAATGATTAAAAATCAGTTCCAAGTCAATATTCAAATTCTGAGAACTGACAATGCTAAAGAGTACTTCAACTCCATCCTTGGTACTTTTCTTACCGAGAAGGGCATAATCCATCAAAGCTCATACATTGATACCCCACAGCAAAATGGAAGAGCTAAATGTAAAAATCGTCACCTTCTACAAGTTGCCCGTGCTCTTATGTTCACATCTAATCTTCCAAAGCGTTTCTGGGGAAATGCTGTCCTTACCGCTGCATATTTGATTAATCGAATGCCCTCTCGTGTTCTCCGGTTCTACACTCCGAGCCAAATTCTCACAAAGCATACCCATCCACACAGCTCATCTCTAAGTTACCACTAAAGGTCTTTGGGTGCTCAGCTTTTGTTCATGTTCCACCACATCTTCGCAGTAAACTCGATCCAAAGGCCATTAAATGTGTATTTCTTGGGCATTCTCCTACTCAAAAAGGGTATAAATGTTATTCTCCAGAAACGAAAAAGTTATATACCACTATGGATGTAACATTCTTCGAAAAACAATTTTCTACCCCAAAACTCATATTCAGTGGAAGAATTTTGGCATTGGAAGAGGAGAAGAATATCAGTTTTGGCAACTAGAACCTATCCTAGCTACGGCAATACAACCTGAGCCAATTACATCCATATCACCCGATTCAACCTTGCTCATTCCTCCTTAGTCAACGATCGAACCTGTAGAACCTGTCATCAAATCCCCAACTCTAAGTACACGTGGAAAAGGCAAAGAACTCCAAGTTTACTCCAGAAGGTCAAAAACTGACAAAGAGAGAGAGAATCAGATTCTTCTCGAGCATGGCCAAACATCTAATCCAAGTTCTGACCCTGTGGATTCAGGTAACATCGAAAATCCATCTGATCCTATTTCCTAATCATAAAATGATCTTGAGGATCCCGTTACCCAAAGAAAAGGAGTCAAGTCTTGTACTCAACACCCTATATCTAATTTTGTGTCATACAACAATCTTTCTACTGTATATCGTGCCTTTATTTCTAATCTGTCACTTATAAAGACTCCAAACAGTGTTCAGGGGGCTATGAAATGTCAAAAATGGAAAGAGGCCATAAATGAAGAACTGCGAGCTCTCAACAAAAATGGCACGTAGGTTCTCACAACTTCCAAAAGGAAAAAGACTAGTCGGTTGTAAATGGATCTTCAACGTAAAATACAATGCAGATGGAGGCTTAAACAGGTATAAGGCCAAGTTAGTAGCAAAAGGCTACACTCAAACATATGGAATTGATTATCAAGAGACATTTGCCCCTGTTGCTAAACGAAATACAATGAGTCCCTCTTATCTTTGGCCTCAAACTTAGATTGGCCACTTCACCAACTAAACATCAAGAATGCCTTCCTAATGGGGACCTAGAAGAAGTTTATATGGAGATTCCACCAGGGTTTGAAAGGAAAGAAAATTCCAGCCCGGTTTATAAATTGAATAAATCATTGTATGGACTAAAACAATCACCAAGAGCAGGGTTTGAACGGTTCACAAGGGTTGTGAAGAAATATGGTTACTCACTGGGACAATCTTACCATACTCTCTTTACCAAACATTCGCCTGATGGGAAACTAACTCTCCTCATTGTATTTGTGGATGACATCATTGTCACAGGAAACAATCATGACGAGATGAGCCAATTAAAGTCTATTATTGCATCAGAATTTGAGATTAAGGATCTAGGAAATCTAAAATATTTTCTCGGCATGGAAATGGCCCGCTCAAGCAAGGGAATAACTATTTCCAAAAGGAAATACACCCTTGACCTGCTTACGGAGACAGGTATGCTTGGATGTAAACCGACGAATACTCCAATGGACTCAACACGTAAGATTGGGATGAAAGAAGGTAATGCTCCAGTCGACAAAGGAAGATATCAACGACTAGTGGGAAGACTGACTTATTTATCTCACAGTAGACCTGACATCGGATTCTCCATGAGTGTTGTTAGCCAATTCATGAATAATCCAACCGAGGAACATATGGAAGCTGCATATCAAATACTCAGATATTTGAAAACGACACTAGGCAAAGTACTATTCTTTAAAAAGGGGAACAATAAGAGCAGTGAAGTCTACTCGGATGTAGATTGGGCAGGCTCCATAACTGATCGTCAATCCACTTCTGGTTACTGCACCTATGTATGGGGAAATTTAGTCACTTGACGAAGTAAGAAACAATCTGTAGTAGCTAGAAGTAGTGCGGAAGCTGACTTTCGGGCTATGGCACTTAGCATATGCAAAGTGATATGGCTAAAAAGACTCCTAGGTGAACTAAAAATCTCATGTGATGACCCCATTAAAATGTATTGTGATAATCTAGCTGCCATCAGCATAGCTAAAAATCCAGTTCATCATGACAGAACAAAGCACGTGAAAATTGACAGACATTTTATCAAGGAGAAAATAGAATAAGGAATCATCAAGATGATCTATACTTCTACACATCTTCAGATTGCAGATATACTTACAAAGGCCCTTCCAAGAATCAACTTCGACGACCTAGTTTCCAAGCTGGGAATGATCAATATCTATTGCCCAACTTGAGAGGGAGTGTAGAATTAACAGAGTTAATTCTGTAGGGCATATCCGAATGATCTAGAATTGATTTCCACGTGTCATGTATTTATGTAATTATATTTAGCTGTAGTAGTTTCCTATTTTTCTCTGATTTGGTTAGACATATTAGACATATTATTTTCCTAAATTAGTGGCTAGAATCAAGGAATGTGAATCAGCCTGTGATTTCTCTTCCTGTATTTGTATATATTCAGCATTCTCTATAATCAATAAGAGATAAGTCATTTCACCATCTTATTCTAAAGATAGCAATCTCAACAGCATTTATATCCAAAGTTTCAAGAGAAAAACACATCATATTGAAATTGATTGTCACTTAGTAAAATAAACTTTTGCACCGTACAATTTGCGTATTACTATTGGAAATCAGTGTATGTATATACCAAAGCGTTGGGAGCTGCAAAGGTTAGTTCTAGTCGTAACAAGTGGGTAACAGGTGATATATATGTTTTAGGGAGTGTTGATGGGAAAATTTGTTAAATATGCAAGTATTAGGAATAACACAATCCACAAGAATTCCTACATCCATTTGTTGTTTCATACTTCAAATGCAAGAGCATAGATATTCAGAAATAGCCCTAGACCCTGAGCTAAGATTTCTCAATTTATTTCAGCAACTAATGCAAATTTAGCAGCCAAAACTTAATATAACAACAGTAGAACTAGTGAATTGGGATGAAAATGGACTCAAAAAGGACCAAAAACTCAATAACGCGCCTTCTCTGCACTTCATTAAACCTGACAATTGAGCACTTAGGCACAATTTTTAGCAACTGTGATATGCTACACGAATTGGTTGTTATAGTTGTTAAGGATCTAGTTGCTTTAAATTTAATGAACAGAGCGGGTACAGAAAAAGGATTCGACTCTGAATTTATTGTATGATAAGGCACAGTTCATTCTTGTCCCTATGGTCCATGAATGAGGAAGGAACAGAGTAGCAGAAATAATATGTATCACTGATACAGCTAAATTTATCCAAAGTATGATCTTTCTTGAACACACAATTGACAAAAACAAGTTGATTTCTCTTCTTTTCACAAAGGATGCAAGCACTCAGACATCTAAACTCGTTAATAAACTTGCATGGCTCACATTTTTCTGGGTATCTCTTGTTTATTTATAGAACTCCCAGTAAATTTATAGCTACATAACATGATGTCAAAGACAAAAGATTTAGAGAAGTATACACCTCAATAAGAGACTTCTCACAGGAATCCAATGAGAGTAAAGCTCGTTGACCCTTTTCCGTTGAAAGTATACCCTGAGTAGATGAAAAAATAATACAAAAACATTTTGATTTAATAACATATATCAAATTTACCCAAAAAAAAAAAAATAATAATAATAATAAATAAATAAATAATAAAAATAAAAGGACAAAGTCACCATAAACGTCACAACACTTAATTGAGATACTTTTAACACAAACAAGATCTTAAAGAAGACATTGCAAACAAAATTTACAAGATATCTGCATATAATATTCCAATAGGAATTACAAGTTAACTGATCCAATACCACAATCAAATCAACGATGATATACACAAAAAGCTTAAATTGAAGTTAAATTTATTTTTCTCCGTGTAATTAGTTAGCAGCCCATATTACTAAATAAAGAAAAAAATTCCTTGAAGTAATCAAAACAAAAATTAAATAAATAATTTGTACACTCTCTAATAGCTTAAGCTTTCACATGATGAGAGTTCAATATGGTATCAAAGAAAACAAAGGTTTGCGTTCAAATCTCACAGACACCCCCATTCATAAAAAAATTCAGACATTAGGGTTTTGATGAAACAACAATCCATCCGACACATGATTATTATTAGTAAGCAGCACCATAGCTAGTCCAAAAGTCCTGCATGTTGGTCAAGATTACTAGATTTACATCCATAATCCATGGGTGCAATTTTATTGTCCATCACAAGCTATATTCATTTTGAAAATTTTAGACGCCATCATCTAGGGAAATCAAGTGCATTGAAAATCTATATATTTTTTAATAATAGAAAACTTTCACATAGCTTGAGCCTAAAGAATAGTTCTAGAAGTCTTACATATAATGTACATGTCACTTCATAGATCATTAAGATAAAACATTAGATAGCATGACCGAGGTTCAGTGTTGTATATCATTACTCGCATAGGAACTTGTATCGACTCACCCGAAAAGCTTGTGATGTCATGTCAATCATCTCAACAGATTCATCCATCAGATATTTCTTCAAAAGCCTCATTAGTACAAGAAGAAGTTCCTCTGACAAGCCTGTATCCATGCAGAAATTAGGATCTGCAGGACTAATGGCATTAACCAGTCCAGATGCACGTATATGAGACTCCCCAGGACGATGGAAAACAACACTATGGGGATCACCAATACCCACCTGCAAATAAAATTAAAACTAAGAAAATGTGATGTCGAAAGTTATATTGAGATAAAGGCAACTGTAATAGCAATACCCTGGATACAAAATCAGACACCATCGCGCCAAGATCATTTGTGTTATCCATGCTGCACATTTCAACGAGATTCCAAGCTGCGGTCACAATTTCATTGTCTGCATGCGAATATGCATCTTCAGAGACATCTTCTCCATTCTTTTCTCCTGGATGCATTCCCCTTGTAAACAAATTCTTGTGCAATGATTTGAGACTGCAAGAGCGATCAACCAACAAGATTACTGTAGTTAATTATTGCACAAGAAAAAACAGAAAATACGATGCAGTTCACCGTTGCGACAACAAAATTTGGCTGGTAGCAGAATGTTGAAGACAAATTTAAATTAAAAAATAAATAAATAAATTGCACTAAGCTTTGAGATGAGGTTGGTCAATATAGTATAAAAGCCACTGTCACCCATCTATGAAAAGTAGAGTTCTAAAATGTGTACATATGGCGTTTTTCGAAATGCCCCCATACGAGATATGCGTGTGATAATGCGATCAACCCATTTTGTTGACATCATATGCACGGTTGAACACCAAAATGTGCAAGCATTTGTGTTAAAAATTGTGTCCAAAGTAGCCTGGAAAAGTCAAACCTATTTTTATAATTAAAAAAAAAAAAGGAGGGCAAATTGAGCCCAACAAACATCAAGTTAGCCCAAATTACCCAAAATCATGAATTATACACAACAGTATGTAGGGTTTTGACATTTAGAAAAATTGGAGCGTCTTTAAAGGGGTAAGAACTAATTAAATAATTATGTTGATGCATTTTAGTTATTACTTTGGTAGTGGCTTGATGAATTAAATTAGTATACTAGAATTTTCCAACTTTGTTTACGTTAATACGTAGGTACACACAAAGAAGAAGAATTGCTAGATGCCACAAGGATGAGGAATCTAGTTTATCTCCAATTTAATGCAAGGTTGATGAAAAGAAGAGGATGAACGATAAATTAGAAACTTTACTAGCAAGTGATGCTAGTAATGCACAATCTTAGATTGTTGACGGCTATGATGATGAAGAGATTAACAATGATATCTTACCATCTACAAAATGTAATAAAAATTCTCAAAGTTGAAATAAAGGAGCCCAGTGAAGATGATTTTGCATCATATCATATGAAAGATGACTTGGACTTGGACGAAGAAGAGAAGATTGAACGGAATCCGAGAAAGAGCTATATAAGATTAGGGTTTTTTTTTTTTTTAAATGAAAAAAAATAGAAATTCGTCTAATCTAATTGTAGAAATTGATTACCAAGTAATTATAGCATTTATAATTTGGAGCAATATTTTTAGTTGAAAATTTAAATAATATGTATAAACTTCAAAAAATACATTATTTTATTTATTAGTTTAGAATACTTAAAATAATATTAAAAATTGAAAAATGCATAAATACATATATGCTTGTAATGCTTGATACTCGATCGATACTGGTGCGAAAGCGTTGATAAAATTCTTATAATAAGAATTACGTAATAAATAAAAACTATATTTGAACAATCATGTCACGTATATATTGAATAATAATTGACTGTTGTTTTAAAGTGTAAAATACTCCTATATTTATAGGCAAATTATCTCCTATTCCTAGTAGTATTAGGAAATTGAAATAAGGAAACTAGAGAACTAATAAAATTCTAATCTAATTAAAACTCCTATTCAACTCAATAAAGAAAATATAGTCCTAATTAAATAAAATATAAAAGTCCTATTACAAGAAAACTAAATAGAAAATAAACTTCTAAAAAAATAAAACATATTAGTAGTAGGAATAGTAGGAAATTATTAATTGTAGTAGGAATGGACTACATCGATACATATTGTCACGTATTACGTATTTTAAGACCCTAATGAAAGGTGCACATTGCCGCCATGTTGGGGCTTTGATTAAAAAAGAATCAAGCCTGCACATAAAGGTCTACTTTCAAGAAAAAAAAATTGCAAAGCTCTAAAAATTCATAGAAAAAATTTATTTGTTCTATATGCTATATTTTTATATTTCGAAAAGTTGGAGGATTAATGCGAAACAGATATTGAATTCAATTTTATTTTGGGTCAAATAATTAGATATTGATAGATCGAGATTTAGTATATTGATATTGTACTCTTTTTGTAGCCTATAATTGCACCAAAATTCAATTTGTAAATATTTTTTTTTACTATAAATACCCCATGAAGTCCAGAGAAAATTTCACCACAAAATAATTATACATAGACACGGTCAAACAAAGAAGTGAGAATTATTACCATAGAATATCTATTTACACATTTCATAAAAAGAGAGTGCTTTTCGAGGCAGAAAGCAATTTTTCACATTTATGTCTGGAAAATTTCGAAAGTTTTGAAACGTGATTTTCGAGTTTTATCTTTCAAAGATTTATTTGATCTATCAAGGTAAGATACTTATGTACAAGTGGATTGTTTCCTTATGCTTGAATGTATTCAATTAAATATGAATGAATTGTCAACGGACCTTCAAGTTCATTATAAAGATTTATGAAATCCCTCGAGAATTCAAGATGATCTGAGATGGGTCATGCTTGGCCACTAATATATTCCATAAAAGAAGAGTAATATGAAATGTTTAATTAATTGTTATATAATAAAATTGAATGTATCATTTTGGATATTTTTAAATACTCACTGTTACAATAATTTTACAGGTTAGTCGAGTCGATTTGGATTTTTGGCGGGAAGGTGATGCAGGCTGCCAAGTGGATTAAAAAAATAAACATTAAGTTTTTCTATCTTTCAATTTACTAGTTAGTTTAATTCGTTCAAAAACATGTTATTTAATTAGTTAGTTGATTATGTCAGTTTTTTTAAAGATACAATTTTCGTATTTAGTTTAAATTTATGGATATTTCAATTATTTTATTTTAAAGAAATAAATTTTTATTGGTCCGCATTTAACGTAAAGAAAAGTAAATCTTTGGTAACACACTACAATTTATGAAAAATTGAGCTGTTACAAAATTAAATAAAGTATTTTTGTCTACAACAATTTAGACTTTTAGATTAGGTGGTTCAACACCTAATTGTTCCTCTCTTATTGTTTGGTTATCTTCTTGTTTGATAGGAATAAATGTATATGTCAACCTCTTTCAAGATATGAAGCTACTCAGAAAAGGATATTGTGCACATGTAGGAATAAATTAATCAAGAAAAATTTAACACATAACCTATAATTTATAAAAGGCAGCTTTTTCCTTCAAAACTACCTCTCCAGAAGAAAGATGGCAATGAATCCAAATGTTCCTAGAATTTACCATCCTCAAACTTCTGAGGAAGTTTTATAAGAATTTGAAATCAGCAATGAACCCTTATGAATCCTTAAAAATAAAAATAATTAATTATTTATTTATTTATTTATTTATTTTACACCTGTTACTAGTATATTGAATCCTCCAAATATTGTTATGTGACACCTATTAATTGCAATGTTATTGCTTTGATATAATATGCTTCTGAAATGAAGAAACTTCCATACGTCTTGGTGAGAAGCCCTCTTTAGGTGCAATTAATTCTCTCTCTCTCTATAGGAAAAGGCAGACAAATCCTTTTTTCAGAAAAGTAAAAATAAGTTCTCAGTTTGATGAATTCTAATTTCAAGATGTTATTAAATTATGATACTCCTCAACGGGAAAACTGGGAGCATGTATTAAGAAGATCATATCCCTGCCATGGGGAGAGGTTTGTACAAAAAGGGGATAAGGATTTGGATCCGAATATTTAGGGTTTGCATCCTACTCAGCACTATTTTTGCTTAGTTCTTTCAAAAGCTGGAAATACTAGTTTGCACGACAAAACAGAATGTATTTTGTGAAAATAAGGAAAAACCGTGCACCTGTAGAGAAGTAATCTCGGTGGAACATAGCGAGATCTCTTCACAAGCTGAAAATAACAATATAATTAATTAAGTAAAAAATACGGTGGAATTGAAAAACTGATGATATGAGCATGAAGAGAAATCACTTATTTGCAAGCATATGAACCACGTAATCCTGAGCAGACATCACTCCCTTACATTTAGTAAGTGAACCCTTGGTGAGTAGTTTTGACATATCTTCTGGTGGAACCTTTGTATTTCATCAAATATGTCTATTTCAGGGAATGGCTCTAGCTCCTAAAGCAATATGTTGGCAAATGATCAGGAACAATACCACACCAAGAAACAGTAGAAAAGTCACTGTGGCAAAGTGAGTCGTCCAAATCACCAAAAATAATTTTCTACAGAAGTTATGAGAGATGGAAATTCGAGGAGATATCGTCATACTTTAATGTATTCGTGTAGAGATGAATGAGTATCCAAGATAAGCCGTTGGAGCAAAGATATAACTTCAGAAGAAGCAGTGACAGAAAGCTCGCCATTAGAGTCAGAAGGAATGCAACATGAAACCAACTTAGACACCAAGAACTGACCAATAAAGTAACTAGGTCAGTGTGGAAAATTAAAACCTAAAGTTCAAAAAGAACGGACTATGAGTTTAGGTGACACATAACCTGAAGGTGTTCGCCTAGCACTCCAGTAGTCTCTCCTGATGGGTTATCACTGAAGATCTTGAGCAATGTGGAAATAATATAACAACATTGATCCATTAAAGAATAGCAACCAATGAATTGACCAATTAAATTGAGAATGTAACTGTTCACAAAGTGACAAAGGTGTTAGAAAAGTCCAATAAAAAAATAACACCGAACTATTCATAAACAGGGTGGGGGAGTTGATGGCTGAATGAGACGAGAATTATCCAACTGGAAAATGTCTACATGACTTCCAATCCAATCTCAAATAGGTAACATGTATTCAAGTCAATCATGGAGATTTAAGTGTACAATAATCAAGGAAAATAACAGCATTAAATTTGATATTGAATGATAAAAGGTCTCAGTTGCAAAAACAAATAAAATGGTACAATATCTATTAACTTTGCTGAAAACAAATTCTGCTAAACAGTGTGGCACGCTGAGAACCACGTTCAACAAAATTCCGAACTCAAATCCAGTTTGAGAAGTCTAGTGATTTTTTGAACTAAATTTGATGTTATTCGTATAATAGTATTATGGAACTAGTTATGATCTGAAGTAGCAGAAAAACAACGAAAAAGGCAGCTTAAAGTAAATACAAAGTACAAATGGTTTTCTTGACTCGATTGGATGCATCTTGTTGTTCCTAAGAAAAGAGGTATTGGGAAACTGGTGGTAGGCCTTACGTAGAAGAAAACCAGTAAGAGGCAGCTGGAGTCATACAAAGTGCACACTACAATACAATTCTAAAATAGCTTCAAAAGCCTTGAACTGATCAACCAACATTCTAACTCAAATAAAATGGGCTACTTGACTATATGCTGAAGCTAAGCCATCCTTACCCTCACAAAGCATTAACTGAAAGTTCAGATTCGAAGACAATAACCATGTGTGTGAACTCTCAGAACAGAGAACAAGAACCAAAAATCCATCATCAGTGAATAAAATAAATGAGTCGCAATTAAGACCACATTCATGAAAAATATATTTAACGAAACAGAGATGTCACAAGCAGCATATCTAGTTTCTAGCATACTGTAATATATGTGATCGACAGCATAAACAAGCACAGAAAGCAATGAAGTTACTTAAATTCTACAGTGATCTAATGGCTTTAAATGGAGTTGGGCAAAGTTAAATTTTGACATTCTGTAACCACCTGCTCATGCAAAGAGAAGAGGGAGAAAAAGGCCAACAAGGTTAAAACTCCTTCATATTGCTATAAGCAACCCTTAGATCTATAGACACACTCACTTTAAAGTACTAGGAATTTCAGCTCTATGCCCAATCACGTCAACAAGCACTTCAATTCCAGCCAAACGGTTACTTTTGTGCCGATTATGCGCAGCAGCAGTAATTCTGTAGTGCATCTCAACTACGAACTGCACAATTGTGAAGTAAACATTGAAAATCAATAAGCATTCACAACAACCACTCAGAAAATGAGCAGAAATGAAGTGGCAAGAAATAGAATAATTCCCCTAAAAACTACAAAGGATATAGGAAACAAGAAATCACCATAAATACTCTGTCAGGTCTAAAGATGTTAATCTTGTCAATAAGGCTGATACTTCTAGAACAATCCTCTCTACAAGAATCAAGTAAAGAAATTTAAATACATACAAATTTATAAAAACGAAAAGCAAAATAAAAAAGTTGAATCTAAAGGAAGGTACTGCACATCTCCAAGAATCCATCAACAATAGTTTGAATTGCACGTGCAATTGTGTCTTTGGAGAAGAAGGGAAGTGGAGGATCTGAAGCGCTGGAAGCAAGTGAGAAAGTATGGTTTACTATAGAAACCTGCAAGCAAATAAGAAAATTTATCTTAACAGTTAAACTTTTTCGATTGATGCCATCAAGACAAACATAAACTAGTTAACTGAAGACCAACGACCACCGTAGAATTGCAAGCATCTTCTATGCAATTCCTATGAAAGAAAACCAAGCGGAAAAAAAGTACTAAACAAACAGCTTATATACAATTAAAAGGAACAATATTCCATACAATGGAAACTGCTAAGTGTTCAGAAAAGATGGAAGCAGGAGGAGAGAATCGGGCAAAAATATGAGAATAAGAAAAAGACAGTAATGAAGCTTTGATATCGTCTAGAATGAGACTCTATAATTATATTTCATTAATTAAAAGAGAACCAGTGATTTAAGATGTTCAAATAAGATTAATTTTTTTTTGAGAAATAATCAGATAATTTTATTAATCAAAGGATAATACATGGAAACAAATAAGATTAAATTGAATAGAAGTTATATCTATCTCATTCCAAAAACTAATGATTAGAAGCACCACTAGTAAAATGTAAAGTCCATCATGATCTTCTGCAGGAGTAATAACTCCATTAGATAATACACCTAAATACACCCATTGTCAATTTAAAAAATCTACAACTTTTGCACCTAAGTTCCCTGAGAAAATATACAGTAAGATTGTCGGCAGATAACTGTGGATCATACCATTTGTTTCTTAATTAGTTCGTCTCTTTCTTGCTCAGATATTTCAGCAATGGACAAAATTAAACTTTCCAGAGCTTCAGATCCCTTTTCCCACCCAGCTTTCTTGCTACAATACAAAGCCATACAAACAGAGAAAATCTGCACAAAGTGATTCCTAATCAGATCTGCACGGGGCTGGCAAGCAACCTGAAAAAGAAAAAAGAAGAACAAGCATACATAAGCATATTTATCGAAGATACCTAAAGTAAAAACGTGAAATACATATAAGAGTTAAATGAGTACTAAGTGCTCCAAAAAGAAAATCCACTGAATACATCCTTCCAAATGAAGGCAACTATTTCCACTGCTGTTTTCATTGAATTCATGTCCAGTGGTGCTGAAAAATATCTACTGTCATAATAATATTCGCATCTATGATTGTTTTAGCATGTGACGAGAAACGCATGCCTCAATTTAGTGGTAAGTTCTCGGACATTTACAGAACAAATTTATAGCCAACACAGAATTACAAGTGAACTTAGAGCGTTATCTAGACATGAGGAGTACCAATCAGAGTTTTTACCTTAGCAACCCACGTTAGGCTGGACGCATTCTCGTGCAAGATCAAAGCTGGAAGTAGCCAATTGCAACAATACTGCATGAAGGTTACTGGTTCCACGTTCAAAATGAAAAGTTCTCTTGTCTGGAAAATGGATAACAACCCATGAATTGGAAGCTGTCTTTAACGATATAAGTGACATACCAAGAGCATCAACTAGATAATATATGACAATTTACCTCAACAAGAGCAACTAAGCTCACACCACAAACCACCCAGCAAAAGAGAATTTGCCCCATAAGCTCCTCCAAATACTATAAATGTAATTATGCAAAATAAAAGTTATGTGAAAGTTGAAATTTTTATATCATCTGCACAATAATCAAAATAATCAACAGATAATCTTCCTATCACCTTTGTCCTATTCGTATAGTGTAGTTCCCTTGATAAACTGTCAAGTGAGGCAATGACTAATTCCCTGGAGCAAGGGACAAGATTTCAGAAAAGCCAGGTAGGCTCCACGAAACCAAAGAGGTGAAATTTTTTTTCCTTTTTACCTTTGACAAGGATAAATTGCAGCAATAGCACATATCATAAAAACAGCCTGCATTGCAAAATTTAGACATCAAAGCAGTAAGAAATAATGCAATGTATTTTTTTCTTGCTAAAATAGAAAGAGACGAGCATCAGTCCCTGTAAGTTTTTAGATGTGTCAGTTAAGTAACTGACAAAATAAAAGGGTAAGTAAAAGAAAAGAAATGATATTTAAGGAAGAAGTCGTATAGCTTAACATCCTCTAAATGGGGCATACTAGGGTCACAAGGTTCAGAATGAGTCAATGACCCATTTCGTTGTGGGTGAAACTTGAAAGCGACCTATCTCATACCTCACAGAATAAAAGCAAATTATTATTTGATGAATGGTCTCTCATTTTATGTTTGTATTCTTAACCATGCTTTTGGTCTACAAGAGTTTCCCTCAGTAAAACACTTTGGCATTGATATTTACAGATCTAAAATGGTTACAACTGGGGTGATAGTTTCAGAATTAAAATTTTATCAAATGCAAGGGTGTGATGCCTTTTCCCTTTCTCTTCATTCCAGAAGGTAAAAAATATGCGAGCATCAACAAGTATTTGCATATTCCACAGTACATTTATCATAATATCAGGATATAGATGCCAACACTACAATGTCCATTGGACATTATTATTCACAGGCAGTTATTTATCCTTCGCGATAGATATTTCAGATTTATCACTTAATAAAATAAAATCAATTGTTTACAAGGTCTTGGAAAGAGTACCTCTAACTCAATTTTCTCACTGAGCAGAGCAAGATGAGTGAGAGTTATTATGGTGGTTTCCATCATTGGACGAGGTTGAGGACCAGCAGCTAAAACTTCCGCTGCTGTAACAACTTTCTCTCTTGAGGAGACAACCAACTTAGTACCAAAATTTGAACTGATACAAGGAATTTGAAAAATAAACGAGCATGTAATAGGTATCTTTAGAAGAGAAACCAATGCAAGTAAATCAAAAACAAATTGACAGGAACGTTTTGCAATTCCAAATGATTGATATGGAATTTTAGAAGCACTAGAATTAGAAAGTATCTACAAGTCACATGAAAATCTTATAACACAAGCTGAAATATGAAATCACAACCCAAAGGAAAAAAAAAGGATCATACAGCAAGTATATGACAAGAAGGTTGTTAGTAGATGATGAGATCACATGTTCAACATTTTATAAATATCACATTTCAACTTCTTTACGAGTCTATGTGACCTTTCCACTTGTTGTAAGAAACTGGTTGACAGGTAACTACACGAATTTACAATTAACAAAATCCACATTGGGGTATCAAATCTCAGAACGAACAAAATTTCCATTGCTGGCATTGATTTTCTTCACCACTCCCCATCAAGCTTGTAAGAAGATGTCTACTAGCTTGCTTGCTAAGGGTTGGAAAAAAAAAAAATCTTGGTTTGATAGTCCCTAAGCAAATATATAATAAATGTTTCCCGAAAGATACAAATGGAGCACATAAAGCCATTCTTCAATCTCTCCTTGATGAAGTGCCTATCAAACCGGTCAAGCTCACACAACAGGGAAAGAACAAAAGGTTGATTAATGCTTAGTCTTATCATGCTCGGTGGAATTATGCTCAATATTGGTGGTTGCTCTAGTATCATAATAGAGCTTCAAAGGATCATGAGTAATCATCTTCAATTCTGATAATATAGAACTTAGCCACATCATCTCACGTATCACTTATGCTATACCCCTATTCTACTTCTGCACTAGATATAGCAATTATTAATTGCTTCTTGCTTCTCCAAGTTATAAGAGTACCACAAATGTTTTATCAGGAAAGATTTTTAACCTTCAGTACTCCATTTGCTCTTCACAAAGAGAATGCACAAACAGACTAATTACACCTACAAAGCAATGTCTAGTCCGGTTTGAGACACATAAATAAGCCTGTCCAGCTTTTGATTTCTTTCCTTGTCAACTGTCTCATTTCTAATATTGCCCGAAGTTTGCATTTCATATTAATAGGAGTTTCAGCTTAGTTTCAACCCAATAAACCTTCTCTTTCAAAAGATCTAATGTTTACTTCCTTCGAGATACAAAGATTCCTTTATGAGATCTAGCAACTTCAATACCTAAGAAATACCATATAACTGGATATTTAATTTTGAATTCTCTTGCATAAGGATTTTTCAAATATTCGAATTTCCTGCACATGATCACTCATAACAATAATACAACCAACATGAACTATAAGATAGTAAAATATTTGGCATGACTAGAGAACAGTACATAATAGACAGATCAAATCAGCATGTCTAGAAAGGGATATAAACTTCCAGCAGGATTAGGAAATCTGTAATCTGAATTTGAAGCCACTTACCACACATCTTGGAAGAGCTCAACATGACCATCCCACGTTTGGAAAAGGACACCAATCCACTGAGCCAAGGAAAATCTAACTCGATAATCAGGATCATGGAGCAGCATAAACAGCTTTTCAATCATCGACTGATTAACGATTTTCACACATATAACATGAATCAAAAATGACATTTTTCAGTACAAATTAATAGTCAGGAAGAAAAAAAGGAAAGGATGATAAATTGATTCCTTTGGATTCTTCTCAGTGTCGTTAAAGAAAAGAACATTGATAACCTGAGCAATATGTGGCCTGAGAGATACGAAGTTGCATACACAATCAACGAGCTTAGCACGACCACGCCAATCAAAAAGACTGTTCTCAAATACTCTATTAACTATATCTCCAAGAGAAACCAAGCCCTGAAAGCAAGGTAAGCAACTAAGTTAAAGAATGCAATAGTCTTCTATTGCACTGTATTAACAAACAAACAGAAGATGCAGAAGAGGTAAATAGTCACTTACACATCTGGAAATGCATTCATTTCCTAAATACGGTTACATTGTGACAGACACATATATTAGCACCAAAGATCACCCCATTTATGAGATCACACAAAAGCATGAAAATATATGGAGAAAATAGGAGTTTTAGTACAAGAAGCTAGGAAAAAAGCATGCTCAGTCGACGGTAGCAAGCTGTCAGAGACTTGCAGTTTTAAAAGCTCCATGCGGCTGTAGTATCTCTAACTTTTCCATCCTCACACTTACACGCTGAATCAGCTGTCATATTAGAGTAGTGGCAAGCCTTGGCACACCAGATAAAGACTAAGGCAAGATAATAATTTTCAGCAGAGATTGGAAGAGTAGCTTTGTATTGTCTACAGTGAGCTCTTTACAAGCAGGAATTCATAGTGGCAAGAGACAGTATACAGATTGAACAGTTTAGAAGATTCTCAATGGAAGCACAAAGGTTTGGCTTTACATTTCAAAGATATACCATTACGGCAAGATAATAATTTTGAGTAGAGTTTGGAAGAATAGTTTTGTATTATCTACAAAAAGCGCTTTACAACTTCGAATCCCATAGTGGCCAGAGAGTACACAGATTGAACAATTTAGCAGATGCTCAATGGAAGCCCATAGGTCGGGCTTCACATTTCAAAGATGTGCCTTTATGCAACATACCTCTTCAGATTGCCTTTTCCTTAAAGGTGAAGTATCGTTCTTATCCTTCACAACTCCATCCAAGTGCAACAAGCTCTCCAACAAAGCACAGATGGCATCTAGTATAGGTGCACACTGGAGTTTCAGGTTTTCCCATGTACTCACAACCTCATTTATAGACAGAACCTGCAGAGTGCAATAAATTAACTAAGAATACAATTTCCAAATCAAATAACTAAGATTGCCTATTTGCTCAATTAAATAAGAAAGATTCAGCCAGAGGGGGGTACCAAATCTGATAAATGCCTGTAGGAAGACCAGTGCGCCTGTTGGCAGAGAATGAATAGAAAGTTTTCCAAAACCTACTCCAACATGATAATTGAATAATAAAATCACGTAAATACAGATACGTATGCAGCAATATTGGAAAAGGACTTGGGAAAGAAAACAGATATGGTGTTAATATACCTTTGGATCACTCTCTTTCTCCTTAAGTTTGAACAAGATTTCCCATGTAACTATTGGTGAAATTGAGAAAAAACTTGAAATGATTGACAGGAGGTCCATTTTCTGATTTACAGATGACATGGAAGTTCCAGAGGTCTGATCCCCATCAATGGTTAAAACATCATCAGTAGACCCACTATTCACATCCAACTCTACATCCACGATCATAACTTTGTTGTTATTCGGTGGAATACGATCTCGAACAGAATGCAAATCTGATAAGTCAGAATCAACGTCTGAATGAAGATTCCTTCCGCTTTCAAGACATCCTTCATATAGTTTTGCCAGGGCCTTCAAAAGTCTCTCAATGGATTGAACAATTGCACAATAAAAAGCATCATCTTTCTGTTGCCATTTGCTAAGCAACGGCGAGTGAGCAAAGCATTTAAAGGAAGCCACTATTGAGTCCATGTTATTGGAAACAGAATTCGAACCCAAACAAGAAGACTTGATAGCATTATAGGTTTTCTGAATAACTAACACAGCGTGATCCAGTAACTCTAACAAGATTTCACCCAGTTTGGAAAGGAAAGGAGAGATGTCCTCTCTAATCCTGAATGTACGGAAAACGAGTAAAACGTGATGGATACAGCAAGGATAGAATAAACTGCATTAGTCTCTAATGGATTATGACTTTTTCTGGAAACCTATGAATGCCGCAAATTGATCCTAGAGAGTAATACCAAGATGCCAAGTACAATATGTTATCAAATCATGTTATATTGTCATCAGTCCTTTAAACATACCAGGAAGAACTCGAACGTTAAAATTGTGAGTGCGACTAGGAGGAGAAGATCAAAGTCGCCAAAAATAAATAAGCAAATTCTGGAATCAAGTGATTGAGAAAGAATCTCCTAGCAACCAAAACTACAATTGACCATCGTATATACAATTTTAATTCGATGAAGCATTTAAATGGAGGTGTAGAAATGAAAAATGACAGATTTTTACCAAATGGAGAATAGCAGTGAAGGACAAAATCGAAAAACTACCTCGTTGAATACGAGCAGTACATGAAATTAGATAAGAGAGCGCAAGCGTAGATGACTTCGGGGAGAAGCATCTTTTCAATTTCTCTCTCACTTAAATTTTCAAGAACATAATTTTCCACTTCATGAAGCAGCTGATCTCTTAGTTGCCGAGGAAGACGTACAAACTCGTGGTACTTTGATGGGGTTACCTAAAATTATCAATTTAAACTGATGAAAATCAAAAAACAACGAAACTAAGAACTTCTTTCAAAAAGAAGGAAAGAAGAACATCAGCACCTTTGGACATGAATCGTAATGAATCCTTGCAAGACTTTCAACTGAGCAATCAAAAAACTCACAATGACTTTCTAACGACTGTTCCTCTGCCTAACACAAATAGCATTAAGTCACTAAGAACCAACATATACCAGATGCATATTTTTGTCGATACAAGAGTGAATCTACAAGAGAAATACCTTTGATCGCACCTCCATAGCTTCAGGAACATATAATGAAAGATCTTTGGCATCATATAAGAGAGGAGCAGAACCAACAGAAAGAGCATAAATCGCTGCTGGAACTAGAACAACAGACCGCTCATTCAATGTCGAGCACTCCTACATGAGGAGGAGTTAATCTCAAAGTTTCTAGAGCAACTTTCATCCCCCTCCCCCCAATCCCCCTTTCCCAAGCGCCAAAATTGGAAACAAGGGAAGAACCAAAAAAAGAAAAGCAAATCAAGGCAAAGGAACAGATAAAAGGATCAGTAGAAAAGACAGTGAAAAAATGTCATCTGCTTGACCAAAACTGTGCAGTGAGGGATGGGAATGATAAAATAATCGAATTAGTGTCTGCACTTTACATGTACAATCTCACATCTATCACAGAGAAAACAATGGTAAAAATTGGAAAATAACAATTAGAGGAAAGGATAATCCAGCATCTATTTGTTATCCATATATGTTTGCACTATACGGTGTTTATAAATAACAGTGAAACTATAAATAATTTGGAACAAACCTTCCCATTGACCAATGCCAGAACAGCTCGCACAAGATACTGACGGAGATATAAAGCATCTCGAAGATCACCCTACAGAGAGAAGAAAATTATCATTGAAGTGATGTTACAACAATATTAAGTTCAAAAGATTTGGGAACACCCTCTTAGCTATGCAATTTATCAAAATAGAATAATAAACCTAGAACTCGGCATAGATACCGAGATAAATCATTCATGAACTGTGGGATTGCCATATCCGGATAACCTAAACAAGTTAAAAATATGCTCATTCAGAAGTAGATATCGTGAGGATATGCTTTAGTCACCAAGACAAATTTCAAGGAATTATTTGTGCCATAAGCACTGATTTAGAACACCAGCCATGATACATAACTGCCTGTAACTGGATATGAACAAGCACTGCCTAAAGCTTGTTTGGCACAGATTTTTTCAAGTGAAAAATGATCTTTTTTTTTTGGAAGCTGTGCGGTTGAAAATGAAAAAATGATTATACAAAAATCTTATGCCAAACATGCCTTTAATAAAACGAGGTGCAGTATTTCAATTTTTTTTCCATACATGGAAAAGTGGTAAAACTCCTGCAACACTACGAAAATATTACTGATATACAAAGACAGACAGACAAAGTTATACAAATGAAATTACAATTGTTTTATATCTGACAACGCACTTTTACAAGATAGAGAAGAATTGGGACAAATGCTAGCTCGCATATACATGTATATGTATGCATATACATTTCTACATTTACTTCTTCCTAGCTCTTAAGACTATTGACAAGCAATTCCAAGCACAAAGAGAAGGCAGATTCAAGTTATCCCAGGGATGTAGCGGTTAGGACTTTGCTTCCGAAAGGATTAGGGGAGAGCACCGGGTCAAGCCCAGCAAAGAGGCACTAAAGTTGTATATACACACACATATACATCATACAAGACACATTCCTATCTTAGCTGAAAACTAAGAAAACAAAACAGCAAGAAATAATGTTAAAATAGAAGATCTGAGTTATTGATCGCCAAAGGGCCGTAAAGCATCGAAGGACAAGACAAAAGATCCATATGAGATATCAATATATTAGCTATATATTGTAACTCTGAGCATTTGACATTTGAAGTAAATAGCTTTTTATCTAAGTCCAGAACCAAGAACCAAAAATAAAAGATTATCCAAGCAAGAAATTTGCAATCGTAATATGTTATCCACCATCCTCGCTTTCCCATCTACCACAAGTGAATTTTATACCAACAAACTAACAACACAGCTTTGGACATCTTTTAAGTAAGCAATTTTAAACATGCATTACATCCAAAAAAAAAAGTGTGTGTGTGTGTGTGGGGGGGGGGGATTGAAGCATGATATAAACTCTCAAATAGGTTAGTACTTCCATATATATGTGCAAAAGAAGAGCTTCAAAATGCATGCATCCACCCAGCCAAAGAAATCTGTTTCAAATTGCTAATAAATGACTCTGTAGTGAAACATAAATGATCTACATGTCTAATATCAAATGATATGAGTGATATGACTAGCAAAATTTTTGCAAATACAGAACCTGAGGTCTCACTTACTTGCAAAGCTTTCCTCGAGAAGTAGCATGTGATGAAGGATAAAACAGATCTGAAAAATACTCAGAACATTTAAAGATATCAGAAAGTTGAATACGTATCAAGAGATAACCACTCATTCATCATAAACCATATCAGGACTCTAAACAAAAACAATGACTCAGATATCAGAACTATGAATTGATTAATTTACTTCATGCAGGGATAGAAGTGGTACCCAAGCAAGTTACTATGAATACCGCAACACCCAAAAGAGAAGGGGGTAAAAATGAAAGGAAAAAAAATCTACATTAGGACAAGATCTCCAAGGCAGGATTTATATATCATCATCCATAAGTTCTCACCAAAGGAGAGAAAAGTCCATTATGCACATCATTTATTTTTCACTAATACTGCTCTTAATTTGAACATCCTCCCACTTCAATGGAAAGGGCAAAATTGCACAAGGCAGCAGACCTCAAGAACAAGCATTCTCAAAGGTGACAGACTGAATCCTGAACAAGCAATGCCTCATTGCAACAATTCACATTAGACGCCAATAGTATTGCAGATTTTACAGAACATATTCGCTGACAATTGGTGCTATAGGGAGTACTTCAACATTCTTTTGGGCAAATATGGCCTTTGTTCTCTCATGGGGTCTTCTAAATAAACAATTAAGTAAGAACTCTTTAACATCCAACAGATTATGGCAAGCAACAAAAACGTCTCCCTAGGTAAAAACATAAGAAAGAGGTAGTAATGAAGAAGTGTTGAACGACTTGATCTAAAAGCTTAAGTCATTAGATAAGTCCAAACTTATATATTTTAATGTTGTTTTTCAACATGCCCCTCACATTTAGGTAGGATTTATTCTTTCCCATAGAAGCCTAACATGTCCACAATTCATTTAAATGAGTGCCGGAAAGACTTCAACGCTGCACCTTTGCCTACACTGGTACTATGTTGTGCCACTTGATCCAAAGTTTAAGCTATTAAATAGTATATTATTTAAATATTGTCTTCAACAAAAGAAAAGAAAAAGAACTATCCTGAAATAGAGTATTTAGCCTTCTAATTTATTGAATTCAAGATATATCAGACCAAATAGGCTATATCCTACACGAACAATAAGATATGAGCTACAAATTATTTTCATTTCAAAGAGGAATGGAGGAAACATACCAAAATGAGTATAAGAGTAACAACAAATAGAAAAATAATAATAATAAATAAATAAAAAATCATTGAAATGCATTAAAAAAAAAGGGAAGGTGTTATTTCAAAAGAACGGGAAACTCATTAGAGTCCATAATCATTGGATATTGGGATTCTCAAAGCACCAGTGGATTCCAATAAAAAACTCCAGAAATATGTATATGCCTTTTGTCCAGGTAAGACACAAAGCCAAAGTATGACATTTTTCACAGGCGCTGTAAGCGCATTACAACAGAATGCAGATGAATCTGATGTCCGTTAAAAAATAATGCCAAAACTCCTTTAAATTTTATTTTCTGAACCTTGTTTGAAAAAAAATTAAAGAATAAAGTAGGGACACTGGCACCTTTAAGCGCCTGGAGATTGAAACCCCTCATTAGAACCTGGAGATCCAGGATTAGGACTTGAAACCCACCCCACTCAAAAATAATAAAATCAAAGGAAGAAAGAACGCCAGTTTTCAAGTGATAACCACTTACGCGGATGGCAAAGGTTTGAAAAATCGAAGGTCCCATATATCTTGGGTAACAATACATGCATTTGTTGTGTCCTGAAAGATGTCATATATAAAAGAGGTCAAGAAAATTGAAATCCACATTCTTATGTCAAGGCATTGTGTAACAGAAGAACAATTTATCAAAACAAAAGAAGTAACTTGACAATGCAGATATTTGTGATCTTACACTTAACAATATGTTACAAAGGAGCATCAAAGCAGCATCCACCTGCAATTAACAGAAGCACAAGAAAGCAAATAATGATGAAAAATTTTCATCATTTTAGAAATTATGAAAATTGCCTTCAAAAGAGCATTAGTGATGGTATACTATTTGATACGCCAAAGGATTAGCTATGGATTTCAGTTATACACTTGACTTCCACATGTACATGGTGCAAAGAGTCAAAACAGAGATATAACTACTTCAATTGTACCACTCAAAAAAACACTCTTCACTTTTTTCTCAAAACACTTGAAGACTCCACAAAAGGAGCTTGGAGAAGTGCTTACTGCAGCATAACCAGTGATGGCAACAGTAACTAACAAGGAAACTCACATATCAAAATCGATAATCTACCATTTCGGATGGTAATATTAATCCATGTGGAGTTTAATGGCATTTTCTATTTCCCTATATTTCCCTGCGAAAGGTGCTTATGCAGTGACAGGTGATAGACAACGCTGAAGGTGGACAATACACCACACCAGTAAAAGTCCTTAAGCGCAACACTTACAATTGAGGGGACATTACTGAATGTAGGCAAACCACGCATGAGACAGCTCCATATTATATGCCAACCTTTGTCAGCCTACAAAAGCTCGTCAAGAAAATCATATTGAGAAGAAAAGGTTAGGTAAAAAAACAAGGAAGCCACACACAAATTGCACATACAGATTAACAAAGGATTATGCTGAATCGAAACTTGATATTTAGTGTAAGATAAAAAATAAATAAATAACATGGAACCCCCACAAACTGCACATACACATCAACCGATCAGAGCATTATATTGTATTTCAACTTTTTAGTCAGTCTTTGCCAGCATCACTAAATGCAGGATCAGTGAGTTTGCAAATAAAATTTCTATACGTTATATTATATTAAAAGTTTGTCTTTCCCTTTTTCAGGAAAAAGTAATAATATTGATAGAGGGGAAAGATTCAATGGTTTAAAACTGGGGAAATTGTAAAATTACACCATGAAAAGATTCAATAATTTAAAACTAGCAAAAATTACAAAATACATCCTGCATTTAGGGTGTTTAAAATTTGCAAGCACAGAAGGTAATGGCCATCATTGCCATCTCCACACTCTTGCCACCCTGGGTCCATATAGATCCCCAAAGTTAAGTGATATCTATTTCTCTTATAGACAATGAAGCTTATTGATACTTGTTGAGGTTTAGATGTCCACAATTACATGAAGAGTTCAAATCTCTACATGACATCTACAAGAACACTTTGGCCCCCAAGAATCCAAAGAACGACACCTCATCAGCAAACAACATGCACTAAAGCACAATTTTGCAGAATATCCTTCAAAACAACTAAATATACAACTAAATATGTCAGAAAGAGTATAAAATTGACATTCCCAAGTTTAGAAAGAAAAAAATTGTCATTTCCATACAACCAAATGAAAATAGGGGAAAAAAATATATTTATAGAACTTAAATCCATTCAGTTGCCTAGAAAAAAATGGTTTGAATTACCTCATTCACGGTAGAAGATGACTTTCGTACAGTTTCCGCACTTGTATCAGGAAATAGCAGCAGCGAAGTAAGTCCCTGAAGACTCCTTCATATGCAATCAAATGTAGGCAAAAGTCAAGCGGAAGAATTCAGAAAGAACCTAGAAGGACTACACAGGCAATTTCATATGCACTCAAATGTATGTAAAAGTATATCTGAAACATACGCAAAGAACCTAGAATGCCTATGAGCATCAAGTACCAAGAGTTTGGACAGATACAAGTAGGGGTGAAGGTTACGTTGAGAAAAATGAAATTATGGACAGCGGTTACGCATTGCATCATGCCAGCTCCAGCACAGTAGCAATGACTGAACATTATTTTATAAAATACAACCAGCTTACCGCAAAGTCCACAGTAGGCCATCATAAGCATGCTCCATGTTTGCATCATTAATTATTCTGTAATGGAGAATGTCCTAGTGAGTCCCAAAGATAAAAAAATTATGCATGGACTTCAAGGAGTGTGTAAACTCAAATTGTGCACAAGCATGTATGGCCACACAACTGAATGCTTCTCCTTTGAAGCGAAAGGAATAGAGAATAGAACAAAGAAACTAGAATCGGATGAGGATATGAGGATTGCACGTGTATAGCCAAATGAATGCTATACTTTCAAACTGAAAAGAGCATTCAATAAAGATAGATTTTGACTGTTAGATTATTGAAATTTATGAGAGCTAAGCATCTCAAAAATAAGTAATCAGACAAAGAGAAGTTCCCGAGAGAGGGAGATAGAGTAATGCTAATTTTGTAAAAGAAAAGGTAGAGGGACAATAATGTTGTAAAAGAAAAGTATATGTTATGAGAGCTAAGCATCTTAAAAATAAGTAATCAGACAAAAAGAGAGGTTCCAGAGAGATAGAGGGAGGATAATGTTGTAAAGGAAAAGGTAGACGGAAAATAATTTTGTAAAAGCAAAGTATGGTCAGTTTGTCATTGATGGAGAAAAGACAGCTATTACTTTAGATGCCTACAAGGACACAATCAAACCTCTATCGTAAAGCTTATAAGATTACCTTTCAAAATTTGCAGATATGCTTTCAAACCAACAGAATAAGAGACCTTTTTTGATGCCAGTAGAGAATTTGCGGATGAGAAAGAAAAAAGCAGCATGCCTGTCGCACAAGTTTCATATAACCCAAAAGTGACCATAAGAAACTACAAGTTTAACGCACGAGCATAGAATAGTGAATGAGTGATTCTCTTGTTTGCATGTAATCCACATTCCAGAAATCCTTCTTGCTTATATCCTCTTTTTTAAAAGGCTATAAAATTGAAGGAATAAAATTTCTGGAACTAGTAAAAGGGAGTCTACATGCCATTCAACCACCATATTCAGAAAGAGATTTATATTTAGCTATCACATACTATCAACATTAAAACAAGTACATATAAAACCTCTCAATCAAAATCAGTCCACAAGTATGACATGAAATTCTAAGTATACATAGTTTTTTTTTTTCTCTTTTTCCATTTTTTTTTTTTTTAAAGCTAAACATCAAACAGCCTCAGAGGGTTTTCAAGCTCCACCAAGGAAGGTTGATAGGTAATTCTAAGTATATTTATTTAGTTAACAATAAAATACTTCTTTTTGAACCTACCACGACCATTTCCCCTCCACGAGCCTCTCTTTAATCTGGACCACAGCATGCTCCCGTCTGGCTCTTTTTTCAGCTGTCCGTGTTTTCGGTGCATTAGTGCACGCCTGAGAAGAGAATCACATGAACTAGTTACCATAATCCCACATCCTTAACTTAGACACTTATGTTCCTAGTATCTTCGATAAAAATGGAAACTCCAGATTTTATCGTGTATGTATGCTAATATTTATACAGGTCCCAAGGAAACTTTAAAAATGTAAGGAATTGTATAGAGTAAATCGAGGTTATTCAACCATATAATCTAGCAAGAACTGACACAGACACAAACATCAGTTACAACACGACAAGGACATGCCGATATGCAATTTTCTAAAGAAATAGCAACATGATACATCCATGACACTCAAAATAATATTACTTTCTTTTAATTTTTATTTTCATCTTTTATTTTTTTTATATATTGTAAAGTAAAAAATAATAATAATAATAAAAAAAAAATTATGTTGATAACATATCTCTCATCCGCATATCTGCAATATATCTCCTGATGTGCCAACACTGTATCTCCCAATGTGGTCAATGGTAAAAAACCAAAAAAAAAAAATTTGAACAAGCCACTTGACATTTTTGACACATGTTGGCAATGTCGTGTCAATGTACGACGAGATGCATTTCCCAGCCATATGTCAACGATGTATCCAATTGAAAAAAAATAAAAAATAATTTGGACATGCCACGTGTTGGCGACATATCAACATCCAACACGATGTATCTCCCAATATGTCAGCAATGTGTCAACGATGTGTACACATGTCTGACACCAACTCATTGTTCCCGACGCCAAGAGGGTGTTAATGCATCCTAGAGTACAATACAACAATCAAAAATTCCATTTTCTCAACAATGTAGAAAATTGGACATCATTTTCTATTAGTTTTTTTTTTTTTATTTAAGATAAGTGCAACATGGCAGTTGAAAGACAAGCAACTGCAAACATGTAGTAAAGAGGGCTACAGGGCATCAACCATGAGAATGGGGAGCAAGCTAAGTTTCTATAGCGAGTACCCGGCGAAATACAAAGGCTGAAAGCTCCAATACGCTGTACTGTGAGCTTGTTAAGATCCCACATTTGTCGTCCCTGGTTGCATCACTCCTAAATGCCAAATCATCAACATAAGAAAAGTGGAAAGCATTCCAAATACCCCAAACATGCAAAATAAAACCATACTAACCGGGGAAAATTTGTGCTGGCAGAACTCATCTGATCTAGCTCCTTGCCTAATACGTCCAGAAGTTGTTCTAGTAAAGCTGTTCCATCATCGGCGCCCCTAGTTAAGCTTAATTGCAATTTCGCATATAGAACAAGTGAATCCTATAAAAAGGACAAACATTAGGAGACAAAGCATTTCAATTCAAATCAAAGAAATTGTCCAGGCGTTCCGTTGCATACTTTTAGACTCCGGTCATGAGTTGTGATCCAGCAACGGAACACAAATTGCTGCACAGCTTCATGCATTTCCAGGGATTTACAACCTAAATTTGGTCCATCCTTCATCAAATATATATTGATGCACTCAATAAGCTTGCGTGAAATCTTTCCCTCATCCCTAACACGCAACGGGAAAAGTAATTATCTGATTTTAAGCCACAAAAGCACTGTAAACTGCTAAAAATACAAGAAGAAAGATAGAAGTGAAAAGAATAATGTGAGGAGACTATTCAATGTCTTACCTAACATTAGAAAATATTCCAATAAAACCCTTCACAATGTCTTCCCTGAGATCATCAGGAACATCTCCAGGAGGATTTTCAAGAAGTGAATGAAGTGTAAGAGTGGAGCGGAAGACCTCCTCTTTGGGAGTTAATTGGCCGATGTTTTCTGCACTCAAGCTTGTCCCTACCTTTTCCATGTACAGAAGTACAAGATCTATGCATATCAAAGGACAAGCAAATTTCTTGACATTGTAAATATTTTTTTCAAGGGGATTTTATAAGCTAATAATTAGTGAAGAAGAAGGTGTACTCACTGGAATAAACTCGTTTTCGCATATGAAATCGATAATATCTAACTGTTAAAAGATGCCTGAGGATAACACCATACTCAGACTGAAAGCTTGGAACGTCCCTTAGGATATCCCACACGTGACTGAAGAGTAGTTTAGCCACAGGTAACAAAAGAAACTTTTTGCCTGCAAGGGGATAGAAAATGACATGAAACAGAGACACTACTTCTATTGTAAAAATTTGTATGATAATGATACTTTAGTGGCACTTATATGTATACTTAAATACTCTAAACAAACAAATCAAAGAATCGAGATCAAACCTCAAATTACACTCTACCAGTACATGTAAGTATGTCAATGAACTCACACCCAAGAAAAATAGGTTTCAGCAAGGACTTTCTCACATCGTCCTAGACCAATAAATTCACAAACGAACCATTGATATTAGTTTTATCGTGTAATGAATTCAAAAGCTGCAGTTATGGTGTGTGACCTGTCATGCTATATGGTAAGCTCATGAGTTAGAACAGTTAGAAATGAGTTAGAATGGTTAGAATTTCTTTTTTCTTTTTTTTAGATAATCAAATATTTTATTAATCACAGATAATACACAGGCAGTGTATTATCAATTAATACAAGAAAAAAACTTAAAATTAGGCAACCCGTCTATACGAATAAAAGCCGTAGCATTAAACCAAGAATACAATGTCATATAAAAAAATTCTTTAATTTGCTCAGTTGTCCGTGTATGATCATCAAATCAGCGACTGTTTCTCTCCCTCCACACGATGCATCTTGGAATAAGATCCCAAACAAGTGTGTTATCCTTATTACGAAATTTTCTCCTCCATACTTTCACTACGTCCTCCATACGTCGTGAAAATACCCAATTCATGTGTTGGGAAGCCAGAATATCGTTCCACAGGGAACAAGCATCTTCACAATGAAGAAACAAGTGGTCAATCATCTTCTCATTCTTCCTACACATATAACATCATTCCGTAACATACAAACCCCTTATTCGGAGGTTATCCATGTTAACACCTGTCTCCTCACAACCATTCATAGTAAAAATGCCACCTGAGGGGACAGTTTACATTTCCATACCACCTTCCATAGGAATAAGCTCTCCACAGGATCCAATAAGCATCTAAAATAAGTGCCAACTGAGAAGATACCATCCTGTACAAACCTCTACCTGCTACAATCACTCTTTCCTACCTTGATGTGCACCTCATATAAAGAGGTCAAAAGCAGCGCATAATCATCCAACTCCCAATTTTGCAAACCCCTCCCAAAAACAATGTTCCAACTGAGATTTCCATTATATATATATAAGACTTCATTCACCATAGCAGATGGCCTCAAAGCAACACGGTACAGAGAAAGAAACTCCACTCTTAATGGTTGATTTCCACACCAATAATCTTCCCAAAATCTGATAGTATTGCCATTCCCCACCACATACGTCAATCTATCCCGAGAGTCTCTCCACCCTCGTCGAATATACTTCCATAAGCTCACCCCATAAGAACCACAATCCACAGCTGAGCACCATCCCCCTCCATAACACCATATTTTGCCTCTATAATTTCTCTCCAAAAGCTCTCCCTCTCCACGCTGAATCGCCTTAACCACTTGCCCAGCAAAGTCTTATTAAATAATAAAAGACTATTCAGTCCGAGGCCACCCATCGTTACGAGAAAACAAGCTGCGCTTCAATTAACCAAGTGAAGCTTTCTCTCCTCTCCTCACCCTCCCCATAGAAACTCCCGTTGAATCCTCACTAATCTATTTGCCACTGAGACGGGAATAGAAAACAGTGACAAGAAATAAGTAGGGAGATTCGATGGGGGTAGACGGGTAAGACGTCCTCTCTTTGAGAGTTACGCTTCCAACCCACTAACCTTCTCTCCACCCTTTCCACAATATTGTTCCAAATGTGTATACTTTTAAAACGTGCTCCTAAGGGAAGCCCAAGGTATGAAATAGGCAGATGCGCAACCCTACAACCTAATATAACCGCCAACTCCTCCACGTTGTTGACATCTCCCACTGCAATAACCTCAGATTTTCCCAAATTTATCTTCAAACCAAATATAGCTTCAAAGCATAGAAGCAGACGATAGGAGTTATTGAATTGCTCAGCATCTGCATCACAGAAGATCAATGTGTCGTCTGTAAATAGCAAATGAGATACCCACAATTGGTCAACCATAAAGCCCCTCAACGAACTCTCCTCTACAGCCTTCTCAAGCATCCTACTGAACGCCTCCATAACGATAACAAACAGCAGTGGAGACAAAGGATCCCCTTGCCTCTAACCTCCGCTACTCTGGAAATAACCTTTGAGAGTGTCATTCACCAAAACTCAAAAGGAGACCGTAGAGATACAAAACTGAATCCATCATCACCACTTAACCCCGAAACGCATCGCCTGAGCATATACAAAAGGAATCCCCAATTCAACTGATCATATGCTTTTTGAATATCAAGCTTACATAACATCCTGGAACCCCTGTTCACAATCTCGAGTCAACACATTCATTTGCTATAAGTACGAAACCCAGAATCTGTCGCCCTTTGACAAATGCAATTTGAAATTTAGACACCACTTTCCCCAACACCTCTTTTAATCTATTTGCCAGCATCTTTGCAATAATCTTTTACACCCCACTTACTAAGTTGATAGGACGAAAGTCTTTAATGTCCATCATTCCCGATTTTTTTGGAATCAGCACAATAAATGTAGCATTAGAACTTCTCAAGAACCTACCACACTGAAAGAAATAAGTAAATACCTCCGCAATGTCTAGCCACACCACTTCCCAACAATCCTTATTAAATGAAAAGGAGAAGTCGTCCGGTCCTAGTGCCTTATCGTCATTGATGCTAAACACTACCTTCCAAATCTCATCCTCCCCAAATGGTTGCTCTGACCAGTAGGCATCCTCCTCGGTGAGAGGAAAAAAATCTAACCCCTCTAGCTTGAGCCTCCAGTCAAACTGCTCCCCATAAAGATTTTGATAGAAACTCATCATTTGAGTCTCAATTTCTTGTAGGACCTCATAAGTAACTCCATCTACCTCCAACATAGTGATAGAATTGATACGCCTGTTAGAATTAGCGACCTTATGAAAAAATTGGGTACATTTACCCCCCTCCTTCAACTATTTGACCTTAGATTTCTGGCGTCAAGCTATTTCTTCCATCTCTACCAACCTCTCCAACTCTCCTCGTAAATTTTCACATCTCCCTCTCATCCCCTACCAATCCTTGACTTTCCTCTCTCCTGTCCAGCTCTTCTATATCTAAAATGCATTGATTTTTGCGTCAATTAACATCTCACACCTCCTCCACATTCACTTCTTTATATCTCTCTTCAAGACTTGCAATTTTTGGTCCAACACACAACTAGGAGACCCCAAGAAATCATAAGATGTCCACCAACCTCGCACACGCTCCCTATGGCCTTCTACTTTTAACCACGTCTTCTCAAACTTAAAATGTCTTCCACTACACCTCACATTCCAAGATAGCAAAATAAGAAAATGATCAAAATACACCCTCCCCAATCTTCTTTGAGTAACCTCTGAGTACTTCTCCTCCCAATCCCCACTAATCAAAAATCGATCTAATCGAGATAGAACAGGTTGATCCTGATTAGAAGATCAAGTAAAGTCTCCTCCAATTAAAGACAGGTCCACCAATATATTCTCCCTGATAAAATCTGAGAACTCCTCCATTGCCCCTTTTAATCTCTCACCGCTAGACCTCTCAACAGTGAACTGAACCATGTTAAAATCTCCCCCCAAATGGTTAGAAATCCCCGCAAATTCAATTTTACATTAGATTAATATAGACTACCTGGTGTCTATATCACATCAAACAGTCAACTTTACAACAGGGGCCAGCTCAATTATGGCCAAAAACATAATAAAAATAGGCAAAAGACATATCTTCAACTTTGCTCACCAGCATCCGTAGTTATTTTAGTGTTGCTGACCCCTCATCCTTATATTATCATTTTCGAAAAAAAAATTATGGAGTGTTTGACAAACCTTTTGCTAAAAGCTTTAGTGAATTTTGATAGAAGTTGACGAAATATATGGTTGAAAAATAGATAAAAGTTGTGGGTCCCATGATATGTGTGAATAAAATTAATTGTTGACTTTTACCTCAACCTTTTAGCCACTTTTTTAACTTTCCAAACAAACATTTAATTTTCAACCATCACGCCGGGGTTCAATTCAGAAACAGTTAGCCATCCAGTTCATAAAAATTTGACTTGAGTAATTGTAAACATTGTAAATATTTAACAAATGCTACTTTTATGCATCATATATACAATAATTCGAAACACTGACCAGCAAATCTATCATCCTCAGCCCGTTGGACAACGATCCGAAGAGTCTTTCCCAAACTTAACTTGGGCAATCTCTTCTTGCTCGAGGATATTTCCAGGGATATGCATTGTATTAGCAATTTGACAAGAAAAGGCCACGTCTCAGCTGCACGAATAAATAGTCAATAATTGGGCCCTCAAATTTATCCCAACAAATAAAACACTTGAGAGCACTGAAAATTAAACAGAGACTGTGACATATGCTTACAATTTGGAATTTCATTAGGTTTTAGCATTGCAGTCTTCTCGGACAAGTACTTACAAAATCCAACAGATCGTTCACCTTCTAGCCATGTATTCAATAATTTTATCCCTTCCTACAATCACAGGTCAACAAATATAAAAATGTTATACATTTAATTTAGATTTCTTCAATTCAATTTTTGGTTTGAACAATGTATCTTTATTATTAGAAATAAGAAAACATTGGCATGTGAGAGTGAATAAAAATGTCCTGCTCTAAAGATTATGCGTAGATTTTCTACACACTTTTCCAGTTAATTTTTAGTAAACACTAAAATATCAAGGTGCAAAATTAAGAATTACTTTTCTGCTTGTTTTTCCAAATTCTTTCAGAGAATAGTGCAATTATGATGAGTAGCAATAGTCTACTTTGACTTACTTCTAACAAAAATTACATTTCTACTTACTTTACTATTACAACAAAAAAGAAATAAAATGTACTTTTCTGCTTATTTTTCCAAATTATTACAGAGATAGTGCAATTATGATGAGTAGTAATAGTCTACTTTGACTTATTTCTAACAAAAATTACATTTCTACTTATTTTACTATTACAACAAAAAAGAAATAAAATATTGGAAATGTAACCAGAGAGAAACGAATTACAGCTTCCAACTATTCTCCAACGCTGAAAGAACATAGAAAATAAATAGTTCATCCAAACCAGATGACGCCTGCCTTCCCAAACGTCTAAATTTTAAAAAGAAAAAATGCATTACAATTGTCTATTTCTGCTTATATAAAACAAAATCTATCACATTGGTACTGTTTCTCACAGATTATCTATTGAAATCATTTAAAAATAAAAACTAATCAGAATTCACTTATCATTAACATTAAAACTTTTCGTAAGTTTTATATAAACTGTTTTGGAAATTATATATACTTCGCGAAGTTTGGCTTTATCTGAAGACAGTTTGTTGATGACCTCCTGAACATCTCGTGCAGTAACTCTGGTAGTCATTTCCGTATCTTAAACAACTGTCGGCTCCGATTGTTGATCATGGAATCAATAGCATATTGGTGCTCAGAAATATAGTGCTGTTCAAAGAGGAGGGGGAAGTGACGGGAGAATGAGAGAATTGGTTCGTGTGAGGGTTTACAGACTGAAGGGGTTTTTGTAGAGAATGGTGATGCGAGCAAGCGTGTTTTCTGGATTTGGACTGTTGTAAAGCGCGCGTCCACGGTAGTCATCGGGGGTACAAAAAGCGACGCTCCTTTTCTTTTTTCTACTACTGGCCCAGATGAAAATGACCCGGGACTAAATGGCCAATGCATGATTGAAATCCCAAATCCAACTCCAATCATACATATTTACGCTTCTACTACTGGCCCAGATGAAAATGACCCGGGACTAAATGGCCAATGCATGATTGAAATCCCAAATCCAACTCCAATCATACATATTTACGCATGGATCTACAATTTTTCCTACTTTTTAACCATATATTATTAAAAAATTTATTTTTCACAAAATTGATTCTCAAAAATTGTACATCAAATGACCATGTATCATTCGACACGTCGGCCATTTATGCGTATGAATACACAAGGGTTGCCCGTCATTACGTTATTTATTCATTTTGTGTGCAAAGGCTTTTTTGAGGCTAATAAGGTGAGTAGAGTGCAGTGATTGATTGATGGGAACGTGGTGCTCTATAACACATCATCAACTGACGTAATCTATTATTTGTAAATGATTTTATTAATTAAGTTAAGAGATTTTAAATGTCGGATATTAACTGATATTGTACATATCTATGAGATGGAATTAGGACAATTATTGAAATTTATTACAATTGGGTGTAGAAGAGTAACCTATGGGGCACAATCTTCTTTAGCAAAGGCTGAGGTGGTAAGTCGGAAATGTGGGGTCAATTCAATTCATGTTTTTTTGAACCATCACTATCAAAGCCTATAAATTTTAAGTCTTAATTGTGTGGGGAGGGTGTTGTGATTGGCAATTCTTTGTAACCACACGTGCTTGATATGTCATGAAGGTGGAACGATTATCCATCCTAATAGACACTACACATATATCTATCCCATCGGGAGACACCAATTGCAAGATGAGTTGGTGAGGCATTGTAAACCTAATATAAAGTCGCAGCATGTTTATTGGTTTGAAATTCTAGTAATATTGGGCTCACCGGACGGTGGAAAATTGTCTGGAAAGCACTAGTGAGCCCAAAATTATAAATTTTCTTTGTAGATCCAAAATGGAGCTATTATACCAACTCATATGAATCTTAGAAGGTTGGTGTAGTTAATGAGGATCTGTGCAGATGATGTTTGTTTTTTACTACGAAACAATATTGTAAGTACAAAGGTTGTGACAAGAAGTAATAAAAGTGATGGAGAGCATTGAATCGCACAAGGATTGCTCTATTTGTGCTCATGTGATTCAATTCTAATTTCTTTAAATTGTAGAGTAACACACATGGACGAATTTGTAGAATCCTAAAAGTTTACAAGTTGTCACATGTACAATTATTTAGCCAATTGATAGGGTTGCATGTCTACTCAGTATGCAAGTTAAATCATTTTGACAAAACTTAAATGCATAACATTTTAGACTTGGTGTTCGCTATAATTATATGCTGTAAGTGCACAGTTACGTTCAATTAATAAAGTGGATGTTGAGTCCAAGTAGATCCCTCGAAAGTGTGTTTATTTCGATTACACTATAATTGATTCAAATTAAAGATAAAGGCACGGATAATTAAAATCTTTGAAGTTAAAAATGAAAAGAATGTAATGTTATACTTTAATTAAACTAAACAATTATAAAAGTGATAGTATTTTAGATTTTAAATGGAATGGGATTTACGATATTGCTTGACCTTTGTTTTATTAATATCTCAATAAATCGGAAATATAAATCATCAATTTACGATGTTACAACTGATTTTTTAGTTTTAGTTAATTACCTTTCTCGAGCAAAAATAACTCTAGTTAATTAGTTTTACCCACTACATTAGATGTAACAAAAATAACTCAAATAGGTGGCCTAGAGTTAGAAGTATATTTTTATCTCCTAAAACAATATAGGGCATTAATTATCTCTCGATAATTACCTAAATCGCCTAACACTGTCATCTATTGGCCAAATAAATGATGGAAATGTAAACACAATAAAAAAATGCACAATGATAATGACAATTTTAGCATCAAATTGTAATTATATTGATATTGATGAAAACTTAGGTCAAGCTAAATCATGTTCCAGCTTTATATACTTAGTTCATTACACAATAGCAACAGAACAAGGAAATAAAGAGGAAATACATTACAAAACGAGGGTTATAATGAAGAGATACACGATAAAAGAAGAAACATGTTCCTTGGATATATTCTTGAAGAATATGAAGGGTTGAAATCTTGAATCATCCTTTGAAATCCCAAACTTTGTTTGATATTTTATCTCATTTCCTGCTTCCCCTTTTTTCTTCTAGGCCAAGGTTTTTAAGATGTTGAATGATGAATGAAAAAAGGGATTCAAAATATATTAAAAAGGATAAAAATCGTCCTAGCGAATTGCAAAATGATTCCAACCTTCGAAAAACAGCAAAAGTCCCCAACTCGGCAACTGGGGTGTAGGCGCTGCTATAATGGCACCTAGGCACCACTTCACTTCACTTCTTTTCTTTTTATAGCTTTGGTCCTCCACATAATTGTGCGTCCACTCCATCAACTTTTATCTTGTCCATTTTAATTCTCAAATTTTGACTTTCCTTTCTATCATACCCAAAAATTGCAATCCTAGGTCCCTAAACTTTTGACACATACACCTTGGTCTCCAAAGTCATGTTTTTGTGCACTTTTGTTCTTATTTTTCATCCTATAGCTTTTTTCTTCTCTAATTTGGAATTTTGGCCTACAAACATCATAATTACACAATTATGAATAGGAATTCACTCAATTTCATTAATAATTAGCTCGTTGAAGTGCCTAATAAGTGTATGACAAACACACTTATCGCTTGGCATAACTCATACTGTAAGCATGACTAGAATTTGAGGGACTACTACGAATGAGGTAGAAATCGCCAAGCCTCTGGCATGACAACAGTAGTCAAACTAAAATACGAACATTTTGTTGTAGACCTCAACTCAAATATAGGCCATCATATAGTGCATGTTTGTACAACCTTAATAGAGCTTTTATGTAGGAGTACCAAACTATAAATGCACACTCTAATATGCAATTGGTGGAGGCTTTCTTCGAGCAAGGTCAACAAGTTGCTATAGCGATATCGAGAGTCCTAGATGAGATATATCATTGAGATAGAGTATGACATATATGGTAAGGACCTCATATTGGACAAATATATTGGAAGAGTTAATGTCGAGCCAGAGGCTAGACTTGAGCCATAACATGAGATTGAGGTTGAAGTTGAGCTCAACAATGTGAGCTTAATGGGCATTGAAGTGTTTGGATATTTGGGCCAACCCAAATGGTAGGGCTTGGTGGAGCTTATTTTTGGCCCACTCACCCTAATTCTAAAGTCGGGCTAAGGATAGGTGGAAGTTATGAGAGAATGGGTCATGTTGGTTAATGCTAAGTTGACGAAGGCTAAGAGGTTTGAGACGGTATTATGTTTGGAGATTAAAGGAATGGCTTTCTAACAATATACTATTTGTCCAGAAGTTTAATGTCGGCATCTCTGATGATTTAGAGTTGGAGAAGAAAAACCTAGTGTTGAGTTTTCAAGAAAGATAAAATGGTAGGGTCACAACAAAGTAAAGGGCAAGAAAAGAAAGCCTGGATTAGGCTAATGTATTTAGCTAAAATGAAGGTATGCTATAACTATGATAAGACTAGTCTATTCCTTAGTGTCTAGAGAGAGAGAGAGATGGCGATCAACCTATATGAGTTGATATGTCCAGAGAAGAATATGGACAGTCACTTCCTTAATGCTTCAAGTGCGGGACGCGAGAGCTATACCAAATCAGTTGTCAATGGGATCCAAACTTTTGGTATGTTGTGCTTATATGGGTTTATGCTCTTTGTAAAAAATTCATAACTTTTGACGGACATTTGCTACATTAAAATATTTTTTTACAACTCATTGTGCAATAAGAAAAACAACATCAGCTTGCTGAATTTTTCTTAAAGTATTTCTAAAATCATTTTCCCATAATTTTCAAGTTTATATTAACAAAATTTAAAGTTCTTCCATTATTCAATACTTTGAACTTTAACACTCTTGAATTGTTTATTTCGACATTCAACTCAGGGAACTAATTTTTAGTAACTCGTTGAATTGCTAGAATTCAGGACATTACAAAATTGATTTCATCTTGCTAACTAACCTACTTAAATGAAAACAAAAGTAAAAACAAGTAAAATGAAATTTGGGTGACTCGATATGTTTAAAAAATGTTGGGATGGTTGACTTCACTTAATTGTCAAATATTTAATTTCTCAATAAGCTTTTTGATATGCTACCTAGTATTGGGTGATTGATCCGGATTCTCCAAAATTAGCTAATTACTTCTATCGAAAGTCAAATTGGCTCTAATCAAGTATAATAATATACTATATCTCCACATAGACTAATACTTATTTAATCGTGTTAATGTTTTATGAAAAGCGCAAATAGGGTTACATAAGGTCAGAAATATATATCGATCTCCTATAAGAACTAAAGTGTTTGATATGCGGTCTAAAATATACAACGAATTCTAGATAATTGCACAAATGACAAAATAATTAGTTAATGAGCAATTAAAAAAGAAAATAATTAAGCGAATACCAACCGCAACATATAAGTGGGTAACGCAATTTCAAATAGCAAACATTGAAATTAAGTATACTGAATTAAAGCTATATTGTTTAGTTCAAAATAAATTAACTTAGCTCATAACGTGTAAGAAACAAGACGTACAAGGGTTTAAGATATACATAATAACGTTGAAGAAGTTTAGTGATGAGGATCATCCCTTGATTGAAATCCCGGACTGATTTCGAACTTAATTCTTCCTTTTGGCTTCAATTACATTTTGGTTTCCTCTATTTCTATTCTTGTTCTTCCCCGAGTTTCAGCCTTTAAAATGTCTTCTGGAAGTGTTCCGGCCCTCATAATGGCTAAACTAAGTCCATCTACAGTGCCCTCGTTGTCCTAGAAAAAATTGTACAAGAGACGGACAAAGTTGTCCTTCAGAATCTGGTAGAAATTACACATTCAACCCCTAAAAATTTACAATTCAGGGCCTCGCCCGGCTTGAGCAGAGAATACGTCACTTAAGCAGACAGAGAGATGAATTTTCAGCGTTATATCCACTCGAGCGAACTACATTGTTTGATTCCCAATAGCTCCGATGAAATGCCCACAACTTTTTATAGGAATCTCCAAATATAGATACATGAAAAGTGTTGATCTTCAAATTCGAAAAGATTTTCATTGACATATAATACGCGTTTCAAAAATTTCCATATCAGTTACTTCACTCTAATTGTACATCATGCTATATGTGTATGCCCCCCTTTTTTCATCTTTATTATTCGAGTATTTGACCCTTCAATTCTACTTTTCACAGCCTCTTCAAAATATATTCTTTCCTTTCTCGTCTTCCATTTCTCAACTATTGATCCTCACTTGAAAACCTCGACTTCTTTACAATTTCGTTCCAGTTTCACCCATGTATCTCTAGTTCTGGAATTTCGTCCTGCAATCATAAAAATGAATAATAAATTAAAAAGACCATCTAATTATTAAATTTTTTTTTTACTTAAAGGTCCAGATACATGTAAAAATTACACTTATCAATCCAATTTTTCGAGTCACTTTCACTTGTGCCATTCTAGTGTGAGGCAACCAAGGGAGTCTGGAAGGCAATGTGAGGGTTTTCATTGGGGTTGAAGGTGCACTTGGGTGATATTGGGACAATTTGGTATGTATTGTAAGCATTATCAAATACACAATTATAAATACATCACAGGCATTGTACGCGCCATAAACTAGTAAAACAATAAAAGGCACAAGGAACATATTTTCTAATGATGCTATATGCATAAAAGGGTTAAGTTTATTCACGTGTGATTCTATTTTTGTTGGTTTTTTACTCAAAAGTTGAGCAATATTATAATTTGCTGTATTAAGTCGAGTATCTTGACATTATGTTAGCTCGATTGAAAAAGAAAAAGAGTAAAATATTTTTCCATGATTGGGTACTTGTTTGTTATAGATTAAAAGCTAATTAAAATCAATTTTTTGACCGTTATTTTACTATTTGAACTATTATTCTTGAATATTTCTCTTACAGATAGGACTCACTTTTTCTCTAATGGTTAAAAAATCAATTATCAAAAATCCTACCAAACAACCTCTTGGACCAATGGTTATAAAGTTTTAGTACAACTAATTCTTAAAATAAATATATTTTATTAATTGAAGTTGAAAGTTAGGCAATTACTTCAAGAATACAACAAAAGTTAGCCCCTGTTTGATTCTCATTATTTCTTTATTAAAATAAAAAATATGATCATTATCCATCACATTAAACACCAAATTCGAATTTTTATCTCTTGTGTGGGACTCGTAATGACTATATTTTTCATTTTCATTCTTACAAAAATAAGAAACAAACGGAAGCTTATTATAAACTCCCATTTATTTTATTTTCGGGACGAGATGGGAAATTTTGCATTCCCAGAGAGTAACTGTTTATGGGCTTTGATATTGGGCCTTGGACAACCTTAGCATACATCGAAGTCAAACTCCTGGTACAGTTCCAACCCACCAGACCTTATCAATCTATCTCTCTCCATTTTTTCTTCCTCCAATAAGCGAAAAAAGAAAAGCACGCAATCACCTTCTCTCGCACCTCCCCCATTTACGGGCACTCCCTATCCTTTCTTCTTTTTAACTCGTTCATCAATCGTACGTGCGTGTAAAATAATCAGACTTCTAATTTTGAAGTCAAAAGTACCCGAAAATAAAGAAGGAAAGGTCTGCGTTTTGGGATGTTTTTATTTGAATAAATCAGATCAATAGCTTCTTGATTAGTTCAATTCTGAAAATTTGACTTGATATGTGCTAATTATTAAGAAAATGGAGCTGGCTGTTATTCGCGTTCGAAGAATTAATAAATTTTGTAATTTAAATTGGATTTTGTTTCATTTTGGGAGATATGGGTTTTTATATCTGTATTTTTTATTGCCTCCGTGATTTTATTAGTTAAAGGCATTTATACTTGCAGATTTAATCAAAGAGATGATTTTTATTTTTTCCCTTTAAGTGTTTGTTGACTACTTTTGTGCTTGAAGTTCCATTAGTTAAAGGGCGTAACGAAGTTGCAATGTTATTAATGACATTTTTGTTCATGTTCAAGATAGAGTTGTGCACTGCATTTTGTTTTATATCTGGTTTAGAATCTTTTTAAAGTTAATTTACCAGTAATCTGAATTTTTTGATCTGAAAAAATTATCTTAGATAAACTAGGAAATTGAATGGAATAAAAAATTGAGCTGCTGAATCGATTATGTAAGAGAAGAAAGAAGCACCAGGAATTCTACATTCGAAGTTAAAAAAATAATCGAATACACTAATTGGGTGAACTTTGCTCTCACTAACAGGTCTCAATCTTTTAGGTGGCACATCCGATGTATGCAAGGAGAATAAATTGTAATAATCAAAGATGGAGCAACGTGGTCCAACGTGGCAAAGATTTGATTTGTTCTAACTGTCGAGATCACTTCACTGCACAATGTTCAACCTGCATACCAATAGCCAGGAATTATAGTTCTCAAGCTAGTTTGGTTGGAAGATATTTGTCAAATTCCTTCTTATCATCATGTTATAGGTGCTTCACAAGATTGGAACGGAGGGCAGATATTAGTTGGAGAAGTTGTGGACGAAGGTTTTATGGTTCTGAAGGTGATGGAAGGAATACAAGTGAGGACAAACACACACCTGCCAAAGATGTGACTGATTGTGATAAGGGAAAGATTCAGAAGGAAAGTATTACAGACAGTATCAGGCATTATGATGCACATACTCGACTAGGGGAGCAAGATCAAACGGAATGGCTCAAAAATGAAAAGCATGCCATAGAAAATAAAAAGAAGGAATCCCCTTTTCTAACTAGAAGAGAAAGGTTTAAAAATGAGTTTTTGCGTAGGGTCGTCCCATGGGAGAAATTAACGGTCTCATGGGATACATTTCCTTATCATATTCAGTAAGCACCATGGCTGATTTTTTTATTATTTTTTTCCCTCTTCCGATATTTAGTTACTTGTTGGGATTCTAAGATATTATTCTCACAGTGAACATGCAAAAAACCTTTTGGTGGAATGTGCTGCCTCCAATTTGAAACACAAGAAGTTTACTGCAGCTTATGGCGGCCGCTTGACCTCTTCGAGTGGGAGGATTCTGCTTCAGAGCATTCCAGGTCAACTTTTACCACCCTTTCCAGATTTTCCTGTTACCACGTTCTCAATTATTCTGTTACCATATTAGTTTCCATTTGATTCTGCTGATTATATAGCCATTATTGGTTTATAGGTACCGAGCTTTATCGAGAGAGATTGGTCAGAGCACTTGCCCAGGACTTACAAGTCCCACTACTGATGCTTGATAGCAGCATATTAACACCATATGTAATCTTTGACTTCCTCTTTCCCTCTATGGCTCAGTAGCTAAAAGTAACAACCTTTGCCCCACTCCAAAGGAAAAAAGAGATGTTAAAGCTCTTTTGTCTTCTTAAAAATGTTGAGAAATATATATATATTTTTTTTCAGATTGTTTTGGTCTAAAATCTGTAATAGGGTAATAGGCAACCATCTCAAATCCCCATATATCCTACTCCCTCAACTCTAATTTCTTAGTCTGCCACTGTTTTATGTTCCAGTAACTGTACTCAAAGTTAAAATAAAGAGTTTTTTTCTTTTCCAATTTTATTTATTATGTCAAAATTCTAATTTTTCGCATTTGTGGATGATTTTTCAGGCCTTTAGTGAAGATTATTCATCTGAAAATGAAGCAGATGAGGATAACACGGAATCAGGTGAAGTAGGTACATCTGAATCTGAAGTTGAGGATGAAAATGATACGAGTAACGGGGAAGAGCATACCAGCAGTAGTGAGGCAAGAACTGATGCCAGTGACAGTGAAATTGACGTCCAAGCTTCGGCTGAAGCCTTCAAAAAGCTAGCTCCATACAAACTTGAAGACTTTGAGAAGGTACGATTGTTGTAAACTTCATTTTTTGTCGTGAAGTTTTAAACATATTAAGAGACATAATTTAGAATGATGATCCTAGTATTTTAGGAGAGTAAAAGAGCCATACAGGCATTCAAAACATTTTCCATGCTTCAGCTAGCCCGCAACCCTTCAATCATACATCCGTTGACTTTTAAGCTTCACATATGCACAATATGCCATCTTTGTTGGCCTACATAAAGCATGAAGTAGAATTCATTTGTCCTCCCGTGGTAGTTGCAGCTTTAGGCGACTGAGTTTTCTCCAAGGACCCCTTTTTGATGGCGTAGAAGGTGCTATAATAAGATGGAATTGACACATGTGATTAATTATATTTAGTACGTGTTTGAGCCACATTATTTTGAAAGAATGTATTTTGGAATAGGAGATTGATGGAGAATGTGTGATTAAAAAATGAGGAAAATTTTTGGATTTGCCTGTATTATTATTTTATTGTAGAATGTGTTGTTGAAATGATGTCAAATTACTGTTTAAATTTTTTTTTGAAAGAATACGGCTCAAACATGGCCTTAATTTCTTTTTTTCCTTATGACAGAGAGTCTTGGGAGAATCTGATAGTTCGTCGGAATCTTCAAAGTCAGAGACTGTTGAGCCTTCTGATAAAGCTAACAGATCGTTAAAGATTGGTATACATTTCATGTACTGTTCTTGAATGTAATCTTGCATTCATATTATGGTTTCTGAAACTCGACAAATTGAAAATGGAAATATATTAGGCAGGCTTTTTCTAATTTGCTTAAATTTGAGATGAGAGAAAAGGTGCTTGCATTTGTCCTGTTCTCATTTTTCTTATGGAGTAACTGAATTCACACGAGATCTGCATATAATTATATTTATCTTTTCCTTCTAGGGAGACAAACTTAAAGCATGTTTGGAGTTGTTTATAAACGGTTTAAATTATAAATAGATTGAAATGAGAAGTGGATAATTCTGTAGCATTTGTGGGTCTTACAAAATATGTGGATAAAACGTGGTTTGACCTATTATAAATAATTTATAAGATGGTAGCCAAAGAAGGGCTTATTCTGACATAGAATGCTTTCTCCATCCATTGTTTATCCATCATTTTAAAGTAATCCCATTTTCCCACTTTCTCAACTGTGTTTTGGAAAATGAAACTCATATATCCACAAACAAAACATGAACTTCATGCAAACTGATAGTTATCAAAATGTCATTCTGAACAATAATTATTTGCTTCACTTTTGAATGGCTATGATCTTTAATTTTCAATCATTTTCGTCCTATTGTCAGGGGATCGAGTGAAATACACTGGACCTTCTGTTCTCATTGAAGCTGACAAAAGGTTATTTTCTTTGTTTGGAATATGTTACGAATCTTTAAACCCAAAAAGTTTAGTCTGTCTGACGTGCCTGTAGTTAAAACATTCTTTTTTCTTGTAGCGTTGCATATTTTTTCCTTTATAAATTGCAGTTATTGACCGAATGAAATTTTGTTTTATGCTCAATACTGCAACCTACGAGTGTTTCTGTCTAATCATTTGACCTAATTTCTGTTACATGGCTTAAATTATATGTCAAAGAAGTTTTACTCCATGCAAATCTCTTCTATGACTGCTGAGGTGTTGCCTTTGTTTGTCATTTTCATGTTGCTTAATGATTGGTTCTTTTTGTAAGAATTGACTTTTTTATGTGCTGTCTGGAAGTAGTTAATTTTGTGCGATAAATTAGCATTTTTTTGCCCCAGCACACATAATCTGGGAGGAAACTGTGACCTCCTGTAGCAATATTTGCAGTAACCATTTCTTCCTTCGAGAAACCATTAAGCATTTTATGGTCAACACCTTCTTAAACTCTCTAGTAAACGTAATTAATTGCTGGTTTGAGGAGAAATCCTATTGGTCCAAGATGAAGATGCTTGCTTACATTCTTAAGAAGTATCAAAAGGTGGGTGGCCAAGTTAGTGGTTGGATTAGAAAACTAACTACAGAATTTTGTGGGATAGTAGATGAGATAGCATCACTATCACTTGGTTGCTTAGGACATGGTTTTTAGAAGTTGATTGGGGACTCCGAATCGACCAACTGCAAAAAGAACATAAGAGGTTCGTTTAAAAACCCCCCAAGAAGTTTTTATCTTAGGGACATTCCTTATTTATCTGGTTCACAAATTGGGATATGTTATGGGGGATAAGATCCGGCTTTGGGAAGACTATTGGACTAGGAATGCATCTTTTGCATAGTTGTTCTCCAGTATCCACTTTTCTTGAGGGAAATTCAAATTGATTCTGTCTGTCCTCTTTTTGAATGGTTGGAATTCTCAATTAGTAGGAAGTTACCTGACTCTTCATTTCTGCAAAAGCTACTTGGATAGCTGCATTTCCCCATAGAGCAGTTATTTTGGTTCAGATGATAGGCTATACATAATGTACAGAGGAAAGTTTTTCCTTGTTTCCTTTTTAAGGAAGCTGGAGAACAGAAACATGCTGAATTATTTTATTTTATTTTATTTTTGGTTTGAAGCTTAGCCATTCTAAATTGTTTCATTAACTCTACAATTAAAATCCTATTAAATGATATTTTTTCCATGCCGATGTGCTATTTCTGCACAGCCAGAATGGAAAAAAGACTTGTAGGCACTTACTATAGTGTAAGTGCGTGGGATTCTCATTAAATATTTTTAATGCTAATTCCCTTGAATGCATTTTCCAGCATTAAAATGGCTTGTCCATTTTCGTTTTACTTCTTTTTAGTCGTACTGGGCATCTGATAGATGGCTTATGTTGTAGTATCACTCCTTTTGTTGTTTCTTCCTTTTAAAATGAGGAATTGTGTAGATTCTTAGCTCCTTAACGTGGAAAAATTGAACGACAGCCAATCTTGATTCTCTCCCTCATTGTTATTTCCCTTTAATTGGGTTTGGGGGGAGGGCCTTGTATATGCTGAAAGACCTTCAGAATAAACACATCCGTCGTGAACTTTGATTTGTGTGCACCTGATAATTGACATATCAATTCATCACAGGATTGTATTGGGGAAGATACCAACACCTGACGGACCAACAAATGCTTATACTGTTATCCGTGGCAGGTGGGTTGGTAAGTTGTCTAGATGTATGTAGAAAAACTGTTGCTCCTTTTTAAGTGTTTGGAATGTTAGTCACTGAACGCATATTTGTCCTCCAAAAGTATCTAGGTTCTCTAATACTTCTGATAAGAAATTATTGACTGCCTAGTAGCTTGATTCTATGCACGGATATTTTCTTTACTCGGTTTGCTTATTAGATAGCTTCTTTAAGCAACCAATGTGATGTGGGGTGGGGGGTGGGGATGTGGTGAGGAATTTTAATAACACTGGATAATTAGCCCTTGTTTAGTCCCCATTCTTTAAAACTTATTTTTCCTCAAACTCATTTTCAACTACACATTTCATGATATCCCCAACTTTTATGAATTTTTGATCCAAACGTTTCATCAACTTTTTATCATAATCTAATATACTTATGATTTATTGCTATACCAAATAGGGGCTAAGTTAATTGTCTATTATTATTTCATAATACTTCTTTCATGTATATTTTGATTCTTTAAAAAAATGTAAAGTTTCTAAACTTGGAACTAATAAGTATTACAATAAAAATGTTTTGTATATTCACTTCATGTTTTTGTCTACAATGGGTGCATATTGTTGGCAAGTCTCCAATGCAATCTCTCCATCACGGTGTTTACCTTGTTTTGAATTTATAGTCTGCACCATCACCTTCTATCCTTCTCATTTCTATCCCATGTCTTCGGATTATGGCAATTGGAACTATTTCACCAACATTTTTCTCGTAACTGAATCCACTCACTTTTGCGTTACGAACACAATTATGATCATAATTTTCTTTTAATAATGAGCTACAAAGGCAGTAATACATTCACCTTTGATATTTTAGATATTTAAATGTGGTGAATCAAAAACCCGTGATCATGAAGGCTCCATTGAAATGTAAAAGTTCTTTGAACTCTTATTTTCTTGTGCTATAATTTGTTTTCATATATGTGTTTTTAGGAGCATAATTAAGACTTAGGTAAGTGAAGCGAAGTTTCGTCTAGTGCATGTTCCTCGTGTAACAAGGATAATTCCATGGTCTAAAGAAGGACATTTCATTCTTTAGGATTTTCAAAATGAAGCCTGCAGGAATTGCTTTCACCATTATAATGTTGGCAAAATAGAACGACATCAGTTTTGAGACCGGGCTTTAATATTTTTGGAGATTTAATTTTGTGGACATGCCTATATCATTATATATTCTATTCGTAAACCTTTCAAATAAACAATAATAGCTTCCCCTTCAAATAGTAAAATCATTGTAATTGTTCTTTTGATTTTTTGTCATTTCTTTACCTTCTTCACACATACTTAGGTGTATACCACTACATATTTGTCTAGGTTAATACATCAACCTCTCTTGACATTTGCCTCAATTACAGTGTGATCACGTGATCTAAATGAAATTCCTGTTCTCTGGATGTATGAAATGACCTCTACTTCTATTGTTCATGCATAATCTTTGCATATTCTCTCTCCTTCCTTGACCTAGTGATTACTACCACCAACTGCTACTCTGTTCGCCAAACAGAACTTGCTCTTCTTGCAAGGGGACGTGGATGCACAGGAATTTCACTTAAGATTTCTTCCTCCTTTTGCCAAACCGGTGCTGATTTGCTATACGAATTTTTTAAATCATTTTTGGCTTAACTTCAATTTCGTAATTGCTATCAAAATATGTTTCAATGACCTGGAATTTGATATTTGGTTCTTGGAGTTGTTTGCCATTAATTTAGATATTTGGTACATTCGATATTCATCCATGTAGGTGAACAGTGAATTGTTTGTGCATGCAAGTGCAGGCCTGTTTGCTTTCATGTGTATACAGGTAGATTAGTTTGCATTTGTATGCTTGTACATGGTCTAAATTTAAACTATATACTCTTTAGCATGTCATATTGGATTTATATTGGTGAGGTGATGTGAATTTAACTTTCTTGTAGTTTTAACGTTCTCTTTTATTCCCCTATATTTCAGAACTTTCAACATAGCAATCATTTCATCTAGATTATGAAACCAGAATCTTTATTAATACTATATCTTTGTAGGACTTTGTCCTGTGGTCAACGAGGAGAGGTATTTGAAGTGAATGGTGACCAAGTAGCCGTAATTTTTGATCTCACTGGAAAGGCATCAAAGGAAGATAGAATGTTAGACCCTGCTGTCAGATCATCAATTTACTGGATTAGCGGTACATATTCTCCTCTTGAAAGATTGAAATATATGTTGAATATGAATTGAGTTCATTCAGAGTATTTCATATTAATGTTATGCCTTTTGTGTTCTTGCATGCCCCATCTCAGTACAATACAGTCATCTTTTAAGATGGGATGCCACTACACTGAGTTATTTTGATTCTGGACGAAACTTGTAGGAAAAAAAAAATCAATAAAGTCATGCAGTGGAACGGGGATTAAAAAATATGTTTATTGCAATAGTTCAAAAATAAATTGGTGTTGCAGCGCAGAAACAGGCATATATAAAATTTGTTTTGTTGTGATAATTGTAATGTTGATTCCTTTTATTTTTTTGGTTTTGACGGAATGATCTGAAGAACAATAGAATCTCTGGTTTAAAGTTGAACAACAAAAATGATTTATTCTGGATATGTTGCATCTGACTTCGGCAATTTTTGTTTTTGAGGTGAATTTGTGGTCCTTTCTATTAAACTTCGAAAGTCACTTCTCACACCCCCTTTTTTGTAATTATAGTGAACCAAACTGCCTAATTTGCAGGTTCTTGTGGAATCTCCTTTTGCAAGTCTTGTTCATGGGTTGTACCTTTCAAAAAACTCTTGTTCATGGGTTGCATTTTTTTGGTGCCTATTTTGGATCCTTGGCAGAGAGACTACATAGACTTCTTATGTTATTCATATAATCAAGCTTTTCAATGATGCACAGCCATCTGATGTTTATTTACCCGATCTTGTATGTTACATTTATGTTTTCTGTGCTTTTTTAAGTATTATCAAGCTGACTAGTTACTTCTCTATGCAGTTAAGAACATTGAACATGATGTTGATGCTCAAACTCACGACTGCTATGTTGCTATGGAAGCACTCTTTGAGGTACCGTCTTTAATGGATAAATAACATAATTATGTTTTTGCAACACTTCATAATGACTTTAGTTTCCTTACCGTTTTTGCCATGATAAGTGCAGGTCTTGCAGTCTCAACAACCACTGATTGTATACTTTCCGGATTTTTATTTATGGGTTTCAAGGGCTATTGCAAAATCGGATCGTAAAGAGTTTATCAGCAAGGTCAAAGAGATGTTTGACCAATTATCAGGACCTGTTGTTTTAATAAGTGGAGAAAACAAAGCAGAAACTGGGTCAAAAGAAAAGGAGAAATTTGTAAGTCTAATAAATTTATTATATATATATATATATATTTTAACATGTCTGCTCTTCCCTCAGCCGTGTATGATGCTTCAGTATTTGTGTATAACATTTTTTCCCTTCTGTTGCCAACAGACTATGATACTTCCGAATTTTGGCCGTCTTGCTAAATTGGTAATTTTTATAATCTCCGAAGCTGTTAGATGCTTATTGATACTTTTTGGACTTTCGGTTTTAGACTTAACTATATATATTATTTGTTTTAATTGTGTGATCATCTTTCCTTCATCATATCTTGTGAATAGAAGAATGTTTTATTGTGTTGATGCTACTATAATGGAAGTTGCATACATTCTAAAATGTTTATGCTTGTATTATAGCCCTGGCTTAACATATAAGCAGGTGGTAACTGGTACGAGATGGCAGATCTCCTTCTTCTCGATTTTTACAATTTGCAGAAAGTCTAAAAAGTACCTCCATGCAAATGACCGAGTCAAAACAATTTTAGTGTGTGATTTGTAAAATCCAAGTAAGACTATAAGTCAAAATATTTGGAAAGATTAACCTTGTGATTGGTAATATGGCAGGAAATTTTTTCACGCTTAGGGGTTGCTTACATAGTTTGTAAATTATTTAAAAATTTTAAATTTGGGATTCAATATTATTGTTTTTTTCCCCCTAAATGCGAAAAGTTGATTGTTTTCAGTGTGGTAACTTATTTATTAGATTAAATTGTGTAGAGAGCCTGACAATTTATTTTTACATATGCTAGGAGACAACCTTTATACAGGAGAATGGACTACTAGGCACTAGCTGTAAAAAAACGCAAAGTTTCATCACCATAAACCTCTTCTTTAGCTGTGAATGTTCTCCAATTCAGGACATCCCAACCTGTAGTACTTCCAGTTAGATGGATTATTTCCATAGTTATGAAAATCTGACAGGCTGATTTGGCCCGGTAACTGGTGAACCATCCGGGTTGCTATATTGGACCGTGTAGCCACGGAACTGGTCAACAACCGGGCGGCTATGGATTGAACCTGAACTGGTTCAATGTGCCAACCTGTCCGCTAGCAAACCATTTGAAGAGAACCTTTAATCAATATATTAAAATATATGTCATAGAATCCATAGCAAAGTTATGACAGCAAAATTATGACTATTATAAAATTAAGGAAGCGACATATGAAATAAATTTATAGTATACCTTGATTTGATTTGCCCAAAAAATATATTATTTGTTTTTCAGTTAGTATTTTATCTAGGCAACACACATCTAATTTGGGGTGCACATTAACATACTATTTGAAAAATATATTTATTTAAATTAAAGATCCGGCAACTACCCCCTTTTTCAGTGAACCCGATAACTTGTCCTGGTCCACCTCTGGGCTGTGTCTGAAAAATATGATTATTTTCAAGTTAAATGATGTCTTCCATATAGGGGTAGAAAAGAAGTCATCTGATCTAGCAGTCTTTCTTATCACGACCTTCTGTTTTTCGGTGAATTTTCCTTAACTCTGGATATCCCTGCTCGGATTGCTTTTAACTCTGCTATTAAAATATACCTTCCTGCATTTGAAAACGGGTTCTAGATAACTTATTTGCGTTAAATGTCTTGCTCTGTTACAAAATAGGATAATATATGATATGATATTCAGATGCTTCTTAATTTTCAGCCTCTTCCTTTAAAGCAGCTTACAGAGGGATTCAAAACCACCAAGCAATCTGAAGATGATGATATATATAAGCTATTCAGTAATGTCATTAGTATACACCCCCCGAAGGTAATTACACCCCCTAAAGGTAATTTTTTTTAATTAACACCATAGATAAGTAATTAAAGGATTTTATGGTACGCTTTGCTGTTATATAGCACTTAGAGTGATTATCATTTCATTTTCTCTTATTTGCTGAAGGTATTCTTTCTTGTTATAAATATCACTTTCATTATCTAAGGAATTCAGAAATTTAATAGTTGCAGAGGGAAAGCTGGCACCCTCAACTAGAGAAATATTAATCAAGTGTACATACACAGGCACAGAACACGAAATTGCAAATTCAAGCTGTTGAAGATATGGCCTCTTTTTGGGAAGAATTTATAAATGGTATAATTTATAAATAGATATAAATGAGTGGTGGGTAAGTGAATAGTACTTATGGGTCATTGGAATGAGTGGTTGAAAATAAATTTGTAAATGATTTTTAATTTTTGCCAAACGGAGGCATAAATTTAAATAAATAAACTTTTTCCTTCTCCAATGGCTTAAGGTTTTCGATGAGGATGTCGTCTAATAAAATTGTTAGTTAGTATGAGCACATAACATCGAATGGTAGAATCACGTGATCCCGTGATGATACTTGCTGTTAGCAGGAAGAAGATCTTCTGAGGACATTCAATAAACAGATTGAAGAAGACCGGAGAATTGTGATAGCTCGAAGCAACTTAAACGAATTGCATAAGGTAAAAAATGGGCTTTTGGTTGTGGGTGTCTTGTTGATCACCTCATCTAATTTAGTTTGGTTCTGAAATATTTGTTAGCAAATCAGTTATCATACATGTTCGGCGAAGCTTAAAAGCTAGGCAATGGTGTATAGACTTGTAGGACTAATTTTAATGTATAAATATTCATTTCAGGTCCTCGAGGAGCACGGACTATCATGCACGGACCTGTTAAATGTAAATACTGATGGCGTCGTACTGACAAAACAGAGTAATATTTCTACGACTTACACAACCGTGTGGTTTCAAATGTATATAAACACGACATATTGCATCGTATGCCATTATTTGACCAAAGGGTCATCTTCATTTGCATTCAAAACTTGTTGTCCAAGTGGCTAGATGTTCAAGGAACTTTATTGGCAGTGTGGTCAGTTTTGAAAGAACAAGACTTGTCAAACAATTTGGTGTCCTCAAATAGGATCCTCTCCTCTTTTTTGAAGTTTCAGTAGCAAAGGTCAGAATATGAACAAATAGTAAAAACTGTGGAATTACGGAAAGGAACCAGTTACTGATTTTATGCTCTCTCTCTCACTTTTTTTTTCTCTCTCTCTCTTTTAAATAAAAGATACAAGTATATCCTGATTTTCTCCATCTGTTCTTACCGTTTAGATCCCTGATTTAGTTGCTAATTAAGGAGATCCTGTGACAGCTTATTGTCACGGTTTTCCTATAAGTATCTCAGTTTATTTCTTTTCAGAATTAGAAAAATAAAATGCAGTCCTCTCTAATAATCTACATTTGTGAATGAAAATTTTAAGCGCATGGAAAAGGAAAAATTGACGAACAATATGTGGTACAATATGCTTACTACGTGAATTCACATGTGATACTTACAAAAAGAAGAGTGTCAGGATATGCTCTGCATCAGAATTTATGACTACTAGACATGAAGTAGCTCGCTATTAAAAGTTTTCTTATTTGAAAGTGCAATTTTTATAATGCTTCTTCTATCGAACAGGAAAATCAAGCTTTGAGGGACGACTGTAGTTTATATTTACTCTTAATGCTTGGCATTTAGGTGGAAATGGTGAAACACATGCTTAGAAAATATTGTATTTTTGCAGAGATAAGGCAAGTAATCTATTTACATCAAGTTTGTACTCTGCAATGAAATCTTGAGGAGGATTACAAATTTGTGGACAAGTCATTTGCAATGCCAACTTAAGACAAGATATTTAGGAACTTGCTTAACTGGAAGGTTAAAATTCATGAATGATTTCATTGTTAATGATCGACAAGTGGAGTTACTTTGGGCAGGGTTGGGGGAGGAGAGGAAATTTCATTTGGTTAATTGGGGCGATGTTTGTTCCCCTATTACAGTGGGGGTCTTGGATTGAGGGCCTTGTTTAACAAGGCGGCGTTGGGCAAGTGGCTATGGAGATTTGCAGTGGAGAGGGAGAGTTTTTGGAGAGAAATCATAGGGGTGAAGTATAGTGTTATGGATGGGGTTGGTGTTCGGTTGAGGGTTGTGGCTTTTATGGGGTGAGTTTGTGAAGGTATATTAGAAAAGGATGGAGCGATGTTCGAGATAGATTGACTTTCATTGGGGGGAATGGTAAGAATGTCAGATTTTGGAATGATTGTTGGTGTGGAGATCAACCACTAAAGGTGAGACTTCCTTCTTTGCATTGCACTGCTTTGGGTCCTCCTATTATGGTGAATGAGGTATTAGCTATACCTAATGGTAGTCCTAGCTGGAACATCGTTTTTGGGAGGGGTTTACGGAATTGGGAATTGGATGATTATGCTTCGTTTTTTATCTCCTTGCATGAGGTGCCCATCCAGGCAGGAGAGGATAATTGCAGCAGGTAGAGGGTGGCACGATGGTATATCCTTGGTTCGCACTTATTTTAGATCCTTACTGGAACCTGCGGGAGTTCATTCCCTTGGAAAAGGATATGACAATGCAAAGTACCTCCATAGGTGGCATTTTTACTGTGGACGGTTGTGAAGGGGCAGGTTTTAACGGTGGATAACCTTTGAAGAAAAGGATGTTATGTTATGACCACTTGTTCATTCATTATGATGGTGTTTGTTGGCCGTGGAACGATATTCTGGCTTCTCAACACATAAATTTGGTGTAGCCAAGGCGTATAGTGGACATGGTGCAGGCATGGACGAAAAAGCTTCGAGATAAAAATAGCAAGTTTGTTTGCGAGATCTTATTCTATGATGCATTGTATAGTGTGTGTGGAGAGAGAAGGACAACCGCTATTTTGAAGATCAAACACGAACTACAGAGAAGTTTGTAAAATTATTTTATTGGACTTTGTATACTTAATTTAATGTTGCGGCCGCTAATCCAATAGAAGGGCTGCCTAATTTCATGTTGTTTCTATCTTGTTTAAATTTTTAAGGCAGCACTTGTGTATTATCCTTTGATTAATAAAATTATTTGATTACCTATAAAAAAAAAAAAAAAAAGGTTATGGCGTGGTGTCCCTTTTTAGTTTATATTTTTCAGATCCGACATGTTCATGGACAGTGTAAACCGTGACAAGGGCTCTAAAAAATGGTGAAAAACTAACCTGCCAACAATGGCCTTTTCATTGCATTTGTTGGCAAGTGAAGTGGAAGAGTATTGTTAGTGAATGCAGTGGAAGAGAGAGATGGAAAGGGTGACACTCAAAACCTAAGCGTTATATTCTCAGGGACGAAGATGGTGCATGAAAGTGGGAACAACATTTTTTAAGTGGGTCAATCAGTCAATGTTAATTTGAGCGGTTAATTGTTTGTTTCTTATTTCTAAAAATGGGTCAACCATGTATGAAGTTAATGTTGAGTTTGATTTATATTTGACTATTTGTTTTCAAGCAATAAGTCTTTACACTATAAAATTAAAAATAAGTAAATATTTTGTTAATAAACATTCAATGTGTCGGTAATAATAAAAAAATCGAGGTGTTCAGTGATGTTGAAGCAAATGAAGTTTGGATAATTAAGGAGTAAGATAAAATACTTTGTTATTTTATTGACATACTTATATTTAATCTTTTTAATAATAATGATTTTTTTTGAATTTTATGATTTAACTTCTGAAAAATGCTACACACACACACACACACACGTATTAGCATATCCTAATTTTATTTATTTATTTATTTTTTCCAAAAGCTGTGTCCTCATACACCCATCGTATCGTATCCAAATTCACGCTTTTTAGTGAATGACGATAACAATGTTACTATTGAGAAGTGCCACTAACCTCCATAGAGTTGACATTCGAATATGCTTATATTTTCCATTTTATTTCTTCTGATTCTTTTGCTTTAGCTTTAGACTAAATATTGTTAAGAGGAAAATAATGTTTTCAAATATTGTAGTGCTTCTTTTATTCATCGTACTAATCAATATGACAATATCTACAATTTCATTTTGCCTTTTGGGTTGCAGAAGCAGAAATTGTCATTGGTTGGGCTAAAAATCACTACCTATCCTCATGCCTTCTTCCTTCTGTCAAGGGGGATCGGTTGCACGTGCCTTATGAGAGGTAATCTATCTTTATGCTTGTGTTTTTCTGGGTATCAACCTTTTTTATTATTCATGTTTATTGCCTTTCCTGTCATATGTAGCCTCGAACTTGCAATTTTAAGGTTAAAGGAGCGCGAAACTGTATCCAAGAAGCCTTCCCAGAATTTAAAGGTCTTTCCCTTTCTTATTTTGATACAAACATTCTATTGCCAACTTTTGTGTTCGTGCTTGTACTGATGAAAACTTGTTGCAGAATCTTGCCAAGGATGAGTTTGAGAGCAACTTCGTTTCAGCAGTAGTTCCTCCAGATGAGATAGGTGTCAAGTTTGACGATGTTGGTGCTCTTGAAGATGTAAAGAAGGCTTTGAATGAACTTGTAATTCTTCCCATGCGGAGACCTGAGCTATTCTCCCATGGAAATCTGTTGCGGGTAACTTAGATTTATTGTGGAACCAATTTATCCATTTTGTTGCATTTCGGCTTGTAATAGGTTGCAGCTTTTGTCAGCCATGCAAAGGAATATTACTCTTTGGACCTCCTGGGACTGGGAAAACCCTTCTTGCCAAGGCGCTGGCAACAGAAGCAGGGGCTAATTTCATCAGCATTACTGGTTCAACTCTTACATCTAAGGTGTGTATCCCTCTTACTTCGTTTGTGAGCTCGCTAAGGTGTGTATCCCTCTTACATCTAAGGTGTGTATCCCAATATGATTTCACCCATAAAGTACAGTTGGGAAGCATTCCAAGAGAGTGAAGAAATCAAGAAAACTTCAAATGAGATCAAGACAAAACTTATCTTTCAAACTGGTTTTGTAAAATATAAAACAAGAGACCTTTGAGAGAAGCTAGAGAGAATTCTTCATCAGTGCAATCATTCTCTGTTGTATCTATTTGTTTGTCTGATGGTAACTAAAAGAAACAAGAGAGGGAGAGAGATGAACCCAGTCTTAGAAAATTTTCTTGCACCAACTTGTCAGGAACAAGTTGGTCAACCGAACAAGAAATAATCAGACAGAACAAAGTTTTTCCATTTAATACGTGCAATTATCGCAAGATATTTACTTCAAGAGGAAACTCATTTGAAATGAACCTAATGAAAGAGCTCAAGAAAAAAAGAATGTATAACAATTACCCGAAATTTTAACATTTTTTTTTTCTGAATAGTAACCATCAAAATAGTCATCTAGAATACCCATTTTAGCACTGCAAAGGAAAACATGAGAAAAGAGATTTTTGGATTCAGATGAGCCCAAAACATTAACATAATGCATAAAGAGATAAAGCATGTTCTTCTCTTATAAATTTATAAAATTGTACTCATTCATTATATTTGTAGGATTTTTCCTCAATAGATAGAAAGTGCCACACAAAAGATCATTTATAACCAAGATAAAAACTTACACAATGCATTTTCCTCTGGCATCAGTAGTAGTAATAAGCCAGCAAAGAAACTCATAACCTGCTTAAAAATTATGAATGAGCATCACTAATGCACTAGACACTATGATTTGGTTTTTATTCAGAATTTACGCAATCAAAGTGAGCCATGACATTCTGTAGGGAATTCCATTCTGGTATTAACTATAGTGAATTCCCTAACAAAATCTTAACTATGTGTAGTCGATATCTGATTTTTTCCCAAGTTCTCTGCACCTTCCGAGGTAAAAAGTTCACAGCCTGATTGTACTGACCAACAATTCATAATGTACCCACTTGATCCCACTTGAACACCTTGGTGTTGGATGCTGAGGAAAAAGAGTGAGATTTTGAAGTTCAACATGGATATATTAATTGGGAGCATGGTATAGGTAAATACTACTTATTTTGGTGGTAAGTGCTCCATCGACAACTTCTCCTTGTGGTTTCTGCAAATTAGCAATAGAAATCAAATGCTGCTCATTCTGTTTACAAGTAAATAATCTTAAAAAAAGAAAAGAAAAAAAATAATGATAATAATCTAAAAATTTCTTGAACTCTAGGAAATTCAAGAATTTGCCTGTTCTTCTCGGCTACTGTTTGTGAGTTTGCCAATAATTGATAGAAACTCCTGAAAGCAAATATTTTATCAGTTCAGTTAAGTGCTAGATGCACAAAGCCAAAGAATCAATGTGTGTGTGTGTGTGTGAGAGAGAGAGAGAGAGAGGGGGGGGGGGGGGGGGGATACCTTGTTATGGGGTGAGAGATCGGATTTCGGGCTTCCCTTCAACAGTTGGAGCAGGCACAAGGTTTCCTATATCTCCGAGAGCTCGCCAATTTCTTCCTTCTGCCTGCACATTTTTCTGCTTTCCTCCAATTGTTGAATCAAAAGAAAAAAAAATCATAAAGGATTGTTAGATCAAATCTAAATCCAAGTAATTTCTAGAATTCCAAAAATGTACATAATGCTTAACTTCAAGAAGGATTAATCAAATAAGGAAAAATAAAAGAAACCCAAACATTTGTCAGTTCTCTGATCAAATACAAAACCTATGAATATCCCCTTCAAGATGTAGAAGAATCCATGTAAAGAAAGAAAACTAGTGAATCCCAAAATTGATCAATAATCCCTTCAAAACTCAGTGGAAATCACCACAAGAAAGCCTCAATCATCATTAAAAAAGAAAGAAAGAAATAGCAGAAATTGAGCCCTTGTTTGAGCCCCATTATAAAGAGAAATTTTGGTAAAATGTAATATGGAATAGTATTTTTGGGAGAATGTGTGGTTAAAAGAAAAAGGAAAATTTTTTGTTTCACGTATAATATTATTTTATTGAAAAATGTGTGGTGAAAAGAAGAGAGAAAAATGTATCAAAATTTTAAAGAGTGTTAAACAGGGGTTGAAACTAAAAAATTATACTCCATTTAGTATTGTTCACCCATAACAGTTCCCCCATGTGTAAAATAGTGCACATCCATTTTTACACCTTTGTATTACTGTAACTTAACTAACACAAGCAAATTTCATATACCAAGTAAGGTACAATCTTTGTCCCATATTGTACAATGGTCACACACTATTATTGTACCAAGAGATTGTTTATATGAAGTTGACAGGGAAGTCACCCTTATTGCCGCTCTACAGAACTGTACATGAGATGTTCACCTCCGGTGGCTCACTTTTTCTAAGTAATTGCAACTTCCGAATATTCATTCAGAATTCACGCAACCAGAGCGAGGTATGACCTTTTGTAAGGAATTGAGGGTCATCCTGATGTCAACTATAGTAACTAAATTCCCTAACAAAACCTTGACTATTTGTAGTCGATATTGGATTTTTTTCACAAGTTTCCTACACCTTCCGAGGCAAAAAGTACATGGCCTGATTGTACTGACCTCCTATTTATAATGTACCCACCAGTTCTGTACCTTAGTAACCTTGTTTTAATTCTCACAAACATTAAAAATTTCCAAACCACCAACCAATGAACTATGTTTGTGACGTAGTAAAGTGTTCAGATCAAATTAATTAGTTCGTCTTGAGTCATTGACGACATTGATTGAAACATATAAATGGGAAAACGCAGGAAAAAAATGGAAAAAAGAAAAATGATGTTGAAAAAAGGACACATGATGAGCATATTGATGTGATTTAAACCCAGTGGCGAGTCTCAACAACAGACTGAAGTGGTGACTTCCTCTAGTGACGGAGACTGGGGAGACATGGAAGGAACAGATAGGGACCCAATGGTCGAGACATATCGAGAGACGGAACCTTGGGCTAAAAAAGGGGACCCGGTTATGGATTCTGAGATATTGGAAGCAACGAGGTCGTTGCCGGATCGTGAGCAAAATATCATAACTGTATTGGCAGAAAATTTAGTTTCGACAATTGAGGATCAGCAAGGGAGGACCGACTCAACAGCCACGGTAGTGAATACCTACTGTAGGAGACATCCTAAGTCGCCGAAAGAAGGGGATCTTGGGAATGATAATGCTTTGGTGGTGTGGGTAGGTGGAGCCAAGAAGGGGATAACAGACATGGAGGTACAGGGGGAGGATGAGGTTGGACACTACTATGACCCTATTTTTGCTGGAGATGTAGCGAAAGTTAGTGCACTTGACGCCAGACCTCCACCGTCAAATTGGGTTCTAAAGAAAATTCTAGATTTGAGCAAGATGATAGGTGTATCCTGTGATGGGTATGAAAATAAGCTCATGCAATTATTTGAGGAGTTGGAGGCTAATAGGTGATAAGAGATGGGTACATCAGGATGTAAGACAAGAAGAAAGGGTGATCGCGAGCTTAAACGGCTTGAATGTTCGATTAATTACGATGTTAAGGGTTGTGAATCAAGGAGAGGTTTGATGGGGAGGGATGACGGAGTGTTAAAATGACTCCGAACATTATTAGTTGGAACGTAAGGGGGTTTAATGAAGCTGGAAAATGGTTAGGGGTTCGGAATCTATTAAGGGGATGGAGGGCTGATCTTGTATGTTTACAAGAAACAAAATTGGAGATCGTTTCGAGGGAGGTTGTGAATAGCATATGGGGGGGACAACATGTGGAGTATCAGTTTTTAGGGTCATTGGGGGCTTCAGGAGGAATGCTAGTAATGTGGGACACCAGAGTGCTTAAGATGGAGGAGGTTAGTGAAGGGCTATTTTCTTTATCACTCTCATTCAGAAATATCGGGGATAATTTTCATTGGATGTTTATAAGAGTCTATGGGCCTAATGTTGGTGGGAATAGAGGTGAATTGTGGGATGAATTGACGGGGATGATGACGTGGTGGAATGTTCCTACGTGTATTGGGGGAGATTTTAATGTGGTTAGGTTTCCTACTGAAAGGTCGAGTGGTGGGAGATTAACAGGGGCTATGGAGGACTTTTCAGACTTTATCAGGGAGAACATGTTGGCGGACTTGCCTTTGAGTGGAGGAGACTTTACTTGGTCATCGAATCGGGAACAACCTATCCTATCCCAAATAGATCGGTTTCTGGTATGTGGGGAGTGGGAAGCTAAGTACCCAGAAGTCACTCAGAGGAGATTGGGGAGATTGTATTCAGATCATTTTCCTATTGCATTGTCGGGAATGTGAGGCGTGGTGGAAGAAAGCCGTTTAGGTTTGAGAAAATGTGGCTTAAAGTAGAAGGTTTTAAGGAACAAGTACGGAATTGGTGGGCATCATATGATTTCAGGGGATCTCCCAGTTACGTGCTGGATCGAAAATTGAAGGCCTTGAAAAGAGATCTAAAAAAGTGGAATGAGGAGGTAGTGGGGGATGTTAGCTATCGCAAAAATCTATGCCTATCAGACATAGAAGAGTTGGATAGGAGGGAGGAGAGTCGAGGATTGATAGGGGATGAGAGGATGAGACGAGGAGAATTATGGGAAGAATTGGAGAGGTTGGTAGAGTTGGAGGAGACTGCTTGGCATCAGAAATCGAGGGTCAGGTGGTTGAAAGAGGGAGACAAATGCACCCAATTTTTTCATAGGGTTGCTAATTCCAACAGGTGCAACAACTCTATCACTATGTTGGAGGTAGATGGGATTACTTATGAGGAACCATAGGATATCGGGACCCAGATGGTAAGATTTTATCAGAATCTCTATCGGGAGCAGTTTGATTGGAGACCAGAGTTGGAGGGGCTACATTTTTCTACTATTACTGAGGAGGATGCCAGTTGGTTAGAGATACCATTTAGGGAGGA